AGAGAGTGGCTCCTCCGGGTGCCGTCGGCCAAACAATGTCGACTGGCGGCCCCCAGGGGGAGAGCCTTCTCTGTGGGGGCACCTACGATCTGGAACGAGCTCCCCCCGGAGATACGGAGGATCCCGGACCTGCGCACCTTCCGCCGCGCGCTTAAAACGTTTTTATTCCATCAAGTTGGCCTGGCCTAAATCTTCTCCTTTTTAAAATTTTAAAATTTAAATTTTAAATACTAATTTTAATTTGTTTAATTATGGGATATTTTTAAAATTGAGCCAAATTGTTTAATCTGTTTTAATTTATTTTAAATTTTGTATTCTTGTGTTTTATCCTTTGGCTGTTCACCGCCCTGAGTCCTTCGGGAGAAGGGCGGTATAGAAATCTAATAAAATAAAAATAAATAAAATAAAATAAATGCCTCCCAGTTCCAGCCAGTTCCAGGTGCAGGGCAAGATGACCTTGACTTTCTGAGAAAGGAATAATGTTATGACTATATCACCCCTGCTCCATACAATCCCCCCTCCCTGTTCCCCACAGTAGTAAATGTGGCCGGCCTGAAGGCCCAACGAAAAAGATGACTTCCAGGCCTGACAGTCTACCTTTGCCCTCTTGCAGTTGAATCAAGAAATCCTCTTTTTTTTATTATTTAAAGGTGAAGTTCATGAAAAGCAAGCCTGGAGCAGCCATGGTGGAGATGGCAGACGGCTACGCGGTGGACCGAGCCATCACCCACCTCAACAATAACTTCATGTTTGATCAGAAGTTGAACGTCTGGTGAGTTCCACCTGCATTTTTCCCAGGCCTTCTTGAGGAACTTGGGTCAAAGACAGGAGGGCGGGACTGAGCAAGCCTGTCTCACTTTGTCCGCAGCGTGTCCAAGCAACAGGCCATCATGCCTGGTCAGTCTTACGGTCTCGAGGACGGTTCCTGCAGCTACAAAGATTTCAGCGGCTCCCGGAACAATCGCTTCTCCACCCCGGAACAAGCCGCCAAGAACCGAATCCAGCATCCCAGCAACGTGCTCCATTTCTTCAACGCGCCTCTAGAAGTGACGGAAGATAACTTCTACGAGGTAAGGATTGTGACCTGGGGCAGCCTCAGCCTGCTTGGCCAAATGGCTAGGCCTTCTTTTTGAGGAGTGTCTTAATTTTTCCCCCATGCGCCTGGCCTGGCCACCGGGCTTTTTTGCGTCCTCGTGCACCCTTTCCTACTTGGAATGGTCACTCCAGCTACCGGTAGCCGTCCACCTGAAAAAGCCTGCCATCGTCCACTCCGGCAAGCCTGGCCATGCATGCACTTAAATAGGGCCAAATTTGGGGGGGGGTAGGGCGTAATTTTAACGCATGCGCACAAAACAGTGCTGGGCCTTTTTTTTTGGGTGGGCCGTGTTTTAGGAGAAACACAGTATTCAACACAGCACAGAAATATATGTAAAATGCAGTTCCACAGTGGCTGAAAACTATAGGAAGGCAGTGGCGTCTCTGTAAGAGCCCCTGGGAATAGGACTTGACAGAAGAGGAAAATCCTAAAATATACACTGGTGTGATCAGGGTAGTGGCTTAACGCTCCTGTGTTAATACATGTGGCATTATTCTCCCCCCATCAGATTTGCGATGAGCTAGGGGTGAAGAGACCGGCTTCCGTCAAGGTGTTTTCAGGGAAGAGTAAGTATCCCTCTGCAGAGATTGCTTTTGGGAACGCTGCTGTTTGGAAAGCAGGGACCCGGGGCCACGCTGCTCTAGGACGACAGAGCGGTTCGTGTTCCAAGGAGGTGGGCCTGCTCCAGCTTAACCCGTATCTTGCTTGAAATGCCCGCAGGTGAAAGGAGCTCGTCGGGACTGCTGGAGTGGGAAACCAAAGGGGATGCGCTGGAGACTCTGGCTTTCCTCAACCATTATCAGATGAAAAACCCAAGTAAGCCCCTGTCGCATTTTGTAGATGCTGAAGAAAGGGAGGCCTTGATAACTCTAGGATTTGGGAATCTCCCTCCTCTTTCCCCTTCCTCTGTTTAATTTGAGTGGCAGGGAAGGGAAGGGAAGCTAGTAGATCTTAAAAACACCCAACTGATTTTGACCGTCTTGGAGACTTGGCCAAATTAATCGGTTTGGGATCAGTCAGGAAAAAGCAGCTACTGAGCCTCAGTGTTTAGAACAGAAGTATCCGGCCTTGGTAACTTTAAGGCCTGTGGAGTTCCATCTCCCAGATTCACATAATAGCCGTGTTACTAACTTCACGACGGCAGGGGGTTCACTTAACAACTGTGGCAAAAATGGTTATAAAATGGAGCAAAACTCAATTGTCTTTGCGTAGCCACAGAAATGTGAGGCTCAATTGTGTTCATAAGTTGAGCATTACTTATAATCACTTAAGTACAAGTAACACCTCAAGTGTTTTTAGTTTAAATCTGAATATGAGAGGTTTATTTGTTTAGACACGTTTTCTTGACTGATCAGCCTCAAATGGATCACAGTGGGAGATGTTGGGGAAAGCTGGAGAAATGTTTCTTTCCTGTGGATGATGACTGTTGTTTTTATTTTCACGTAAATACAGTTGAGGGGACTCCTAAACCTGTCTGGCTTTTTCCTAGATGGGCCATATCCCTACACCCTGAAACTCTGCTTCTCCACCGCCCAACACGCTTCCTAATTGCTCTTCGGTTCCTGACCGAGAAGGCTGCTCCGTTAACTTACTTGTGTGTGATTTTGTTTTTGTTTTTGTTTGCTCCGGTGTCCCTTCGTTTTTTGTAAAAAAAAAAAAAACAATAGAAAACAAAAAAGCTTAATTAGAGGCTGCCTGCAGCTAGGTCAGCTGGGAAGAGAAGCCCCGTGGCATTCTGATGACATCGAATTTTAAAACGATGGTACCTGTGATATGTTTCCCCCCCCATTCATACAATGTGTGCTGCCTGTGCTAGTTGGCACATTTAATAAAGCTGTTTGGAAAATAAATTGTTGTACAAACTGAACCTGATAACGCCTTGAGAAGTTTTTTTGTCCAAGAGGACAGGCAGGTACGTCGAAGGTCTTTTTTTATTTTTATTTTTATTTGTGAAGGGAATTAAGTTGGTCTGGGTGTCTCTCTACCTTGTTTCCATGGAAGGCCAGGCTAAATTTAAAAAAGGGAGGTACCATTTAACTTGTTTTATGCAAACCTTTTATTCTTTTTCATTGCTTTATTGTCTGCTGGGAGGCTTTATAATTTAAAGAATGGAGCAGGGAGATATTACTAAATCTATGCCACACTATGCCATACAGTGTTCAACAGCCTTCATGCTTAGTTTTAGCTTTCCTAGGTTTCTAAGAACATTTAAGTCCCAAAGGTGCTTTTTTCGGGAGGCAACTGGACTTGCTTGTTTTTTCTTTTTTGAAGACGTTTCACTTCTCACCCAAGAAGCTTCTTCCGCTCTGACAGGATAGGGTTAGGGTCAGATCTATCCTGTCAGAGCGGAAGAAGCTTCTTGGATGAGAAGTGAAACGTCTTCAAAAGAAAAAGAAAAAAAGGAAGTCCAGTTGCCTCCTGAAAAAAGCACCTTTGAGACAAACCGTGATCCGGATGACCGAGAATCTCTACATAATTTAAGGCCCAGCATCTTTGCTACCTTTAATTAAAAAAATAAAAAAATAAAATCCTACATTGGCTTCCTGCAACACCAGCATTTAAAACATTTTGGAAATTGCCAACTTCTGAATGGCTGAGAGCTGCCAGTACTCCTGCCAAGGGGGAGAAGGTAAAAATGCTTCCAGATAGGAAGGGATGTGATTGTGCTCTTGACTTTTGTCAACATTTTTGCATGACGGGAGGTTTTGCCGAAAGGCCTTTTCTACAAGGGAAGACCAGGGGTTCTTCCTCTTTTGCCTCCGTGGAGCTTCCAGTGTTGGCTTAGATCAGGGGTGGGCAACTGTGGCCCTTTTACAACCTGTGGACTTCAACTCCCAGAATTCCTGAGACAGCTTGGCTGGAGGAATTCTGGGAGTTGAAGTCCACAGGTTGTAAAAGGCCCACTCCTGGGTTAGATTTAAGCCATTTTTAGATAAAATAATTCTGGGCTAGGGAATTCCGGGAGTTGAAGACCACACGCCTTAAACTTGCTTGAGATTCATGGGATAGAAAGCGAGGTCCCTTTTCTGCTTGCTGTTTTCGAGAGGGGACTACAACTCCCAGCAGCCTCCCTGCTAACCACGCTTGACAAGTCTGCGGCGGCCCAAACGTCATTCCCTGCTTTCCCATTTCGGCCACAAGAGGGCGGGAGAGGGAGGACGGCGCTTTATAGCTGTCCGGCTACAGAGGCGGAGTGCGGAAGCGGCGCCTCCTTCCGGAGGGGCGGTGGAAAGAAGGACGGAGCCCGTCTAGCCCATCCACTCACTGGTACGTCCGCTCCTTCGCCCTTGCCTGTGTTAGGAGGGCGGAGAGCCATGGCGGTGGCGGCGTCGGGGGTCCTCGGGGGGCTGCTTCGGAGGCGTGAGTGGGCCGACTCCCCCTCTCCCCGGTCCCTCCCTCCGCTTCCAGACCCTGCTGTCCCCCCCCGGGGTCCCATTGCCCCCCTGCTTCTCTTGCTGACCCCCCCTCCTAACCCCCTCCTGCCCCCCCCAACCCCAGCTCAGCCTCCCAAGGCCTTGGACCTCAGTGCCCATCATCCTCAGCCGGCTGGGGAGAAGCCAGCTTGCTCTGGAGGGGCCCCTGCACAGCTTCCCAGGGATTGTGGGGTGGGGGGGAATGCAGATGGGGCCCCCTCCCCTCCCTGCCTCGCAGCCCTTCAGTTTCTGGAGGGGGGGGCAGTGGGAAGGGTGGGGGTGGGGGGGTCCTCCAGATCCTTTGCCTTCTGTGCAAGTCATGTTGGTCTTGCTCATTCTCTCTGTCCACCCCCCACAAAAAAAATCCCCAGCAGGTGTCTTTGAACCACCCACAAACTCATCTCTCCAGGTAGTCCTCGATTTACAGCAGTTCATTTAATGACCGTTTTCCAGCACCATGGCACTGAGAAAAAAAAAAAAAAGGGACATGGCCATTTTAAAGACTTATGACCGTTGCGGCATCCCCAGGATCAACATTCAGACGCTTGGCCACCGACTCCTATTTACGACGGTTGCAGCGTCCCCCGTGTGTGTGTGTGTCTGTGTGTCACGTGATTTCCCCCTTTTTTGCGACTTTCGGACAAGCCAAGTCGAATGAAGGAAGCCGGATTCACTTCCAACGACCCTGGGACTAACTTAATCATGGATTCGCTTAACGATGGTGGCAAAGGGATTCGCTTAACGACGGTGCCTTGTAACACGGGGCAAAACTCACTCTTAAGAAATGCCTCGCTTACGGAATGGAAATGTTGGGCTCAGTTGTGGTCGTAAATTGAGGACCACCTGACCTTGCAGTTTTAACCCCTCTGGATTTGCAGTCTTTTTGGAGCTGACGCCCCCCCCCCCCACATGCCCCCTTCTGCCTCGTCCTGCTTTCCCTGCTTGCTGCTTCCACTCCTGCCCCGTCCTGCTCTTCCCACCTCCATCTTTTTTTTTGCCTACGGTGCATGCAACCTGCAACTCTCTTCGTTTTAGGATCAGGCTGAGCAATTTGCAATTCCACCGCAGGCAAAGAGATAAACTGTCACCTGACTGTGGTGGAATTGCAAGAACAGGACAGGACAGGACAAGCAAGATGTTTTCCCAGGAAAAAGAGCCACCTTTGGCCCTGTGAAGGGAGGGAGGCGGGGAAGGCGAGTGGGTGGGCATAAGAGCAGTCAGGGACCTCCCTTCCCTGGGATCTCCTCCTTTGCCAGAAACACTTGTTATTCTGCAAAGAAAAGACTCCCCACCGCCTTTTCAGCGAAGTTGCAAACCGATCTCTTCTGCAGGAACTTTGGAGTTGGGCTGGAGATTCTTTGGTTTCTAAGGCTCTACAAGTTGGCCCATCTCTCCTTTGGGGTGTCCCTGCCACAGCAATTCGGTTTCCCCTCATTGGAGGTAGATCTAGCCACTAGAAGGAAAAGGAGGGGTGTCTTAAGGAGCAGGAAGATACAGGTAATCCTCGACTTACAACAGTTCATTTGGTGTCCGTTCAAAGTTACAACGTCGCTGAATGAATGACTTATGACCGTTTTTCCCACTGACGCCCATTGTAGCATCCCCAGGGTCACGTGGTCCAAATTCAGAGGCTTGGCAACTGGCTCGTATTTATGACAGTCACAGTGTCCCGGGGTCACATGGCCCCCCTTTTGCGACCTTCTGATAGAACTAAGGAGAAATTTCCTGACCGTTAGAACAATTAACCAGTGGAACAACTTGCCTCCAGAAATTGTGAATTCTCCAACACTGGAAGTTTTTAAGAAGATGTTGAATAACCATTTGTCTGATGTGGTGTAGGGTTTCCTGCCTGGGCAGGGGGTTGGACTAGAAGACCTCCAAGGTCCCTTCCAACTCTGTTATTCTATTCTATTCTAAGCAAAGTCAACGGGGGGGGGGGGGGGGGAGTAACCAGATTCACTTTACAACCGTGTGACTCGTTTAACACCTTCAGGGATTCACTGAACAGCAGGGGCAAGAAAAGTCGCAAAATGGGGCGAAAATTCACTTCACAACCATTTCACTTAGCAAAATTCACTGAACCGTTTCACTTAACAGAAATGTTGGGCTCAATTGTGGGCGTAAGTCGAGGACTCCCTGTGTGTAGGTCCCTCGTGCTCCTGTTGAGAGAAGCCACAGCTTTGGGATTCTTGAAATCTCCCAGGGAGCTTCTGTGGCCGAGCGGGGAGGGGGAGGGGTGGGAAAGGGGCCTGGGTAGAACCAAGGCTTGGGGGCAGGGAGGGGTCTTCATATGATCACGACGTAAATCAGACCTCCCACACTTCAGGGTTTCAGCCCCACTGGACTCATCGGGGAGTTAGTTTGTTGGTTTGTTAGAGAGCCCTGCTTTTCATCTTTGGCAGCTAGACAATGCCAAACCTCTAAATCAGTGTTTCTCAACTTCTGCGATCTTCAAAGTTGCCAAGGTTGAGAAACAGAGATTTTAGAGGTTGCCTAAGTCTTAATTATCCCAGGTGGTGAATAATCCACGATAGAAAAAAAAGCCAGGAGACTCCCAAGGGGAAAGATATCAACGAAACATCCATCCATCCATTCGAAGCTCAACCATCATCCTGACCCAGAGCCTGGGAGGAGAGCCAAGTCTTCAGGAGCTTCCTGAAGGACACGGGGATTCAAGCCCTCTGGATCTCTGGGGAGAGGCCTTTCCAGAGGTCCCACTAGATCAGGGGTTGGGGGAACCATGGCCCTTTTGTGACTTGTGGACTTCACCTCCCAGAATTCCTGAGCCAGCCACCAAGTTGTGCCTTATGGACTTTTGCCTGCTGTCCCTTTCAATGCTTTTGTTTTAGGGCAGGGGTCTCCAACCTTGTCAACTTTAAGATTTGTGGACTTCAACTCCCAGAATTCCTCAGCCTGCAAGCAACTATGGCTGGCTCTGGAATTCTGGGAGTTGAAGTCCACAAGTCTTAAAAGTGGCCAAGGTTGGAGACCCCTGCCCTGGATGACACTAGTTAATTGGGCAGCCAAATCCCACCCTTCTACCTGCATGCATGGAGTTTACACCTGAGCACAGGTGACTTTCCTTCCTTTCAGGACGAAGCTTAGCCCTCTGCTGCTCACCGTCCATTTTTTCCCCTCCTCCCAGATCTCTCCGTTCATCCTGCTTCCTGCCGCGGCTTCAGGATCATGGCCTCAAAGCCACAGCAGCAACAGCAGCCGTCGCAGCCACAGTCCAATTCCTTGCCCGCCTACGAAACCTTGAAGTTGGAACGGGTCCGCGAGAAAGTCCTGCACGTGGAGCTCAACCGCCCCGAGAAAAGGAACGCCATGAATACCGCCTTTTGGAGGTAACGGGAAATCAGATTTTTTTTGGCGCTGCTGACGGAAGTCGCGGGGGGCCCGGGAAACACGGCAGGAGAAGCCTGGGAGGCATCCGCCCTGGCTTTTAACCCGTAAGCCTTATCGTGCTCTTGAGTAGCCAAACCGAAAATGAGGTACAGGTGGTCCTTGACTTACGACCGTGGTTGAGCCCAGAATTTACGTTGCTAAAGCGAGAAATGTGCGAAGTGAGGTTTGTCCCATTTTATGACTTTCCTTTCCGCAGTGGTTCAGCGAAGTGGTTAAGTTCGTGACAACGGTCATTAAGTGAATTGGCTTCCCCGTCGACTTTGCTCGTCAGAAGGTCGCAAAAATTGGTCACGGGACTCCGGGACGCTGCAACCGTCATAAATATGAATCCGTCGTATGAATCAGTCAAGCATCCGAGTGTAAATCACGTGATCATGCGGGTGCTGCAGTGGTCATAAGTGTGAAAAATGCTCATAAGCAAGTCCCTTTTTTCAATGCCGTTGTAACTTGGAACAGTCACTAAACGAACTTGTCAGTCAGGGACTACCTGTGTTTCTTTTTTTTGTTGTTGTTTTCAATAATTTTTATTAAACAGTTTTTAAAAAACAAACCAAAAACAAACAAACACAAATTTACATCTTTTCAACATCTTTGCATCAGTAATCCGTATTTATACATTTTCTCTTTCTTACCTTAATCTATCTTTTATACATATATTTCTAGTATATCATATATATATATACCGTCATAATATATTCTCTTAATCTAAATATTTTATTTACCCTTAACATAAACAGGTACCTAATTTCCTTTCCACAATTTTTATATCTCCCCATTTGTTTCCATATTCCTCCACCTAATTTAACCATTGTTTAGTTTTCTTTTGTCCCCCCACTTCCCCCCCCCCCCGCTTTCTCCTCCAACCATTTATACCATTTCTCCCAGACTTAGTAATATTCTGTTTCATTTTTTTCTTATATCTCCTTGGGAAACTTATTACAAAGCAACTTCATTGATATGGATTAAGGATTGGGTGGAACTGTGCTTCTTTTTTTTAAAATGAGGATTAATCGGGGAAGACTAAGGCACGGTTCCTCTGCTCCATTGGCCCTGGGCTTTTAATGTCCCAGATAAATACCTTCGGTCACTACACTGTTTCAAGTGTTCAGGTAATCCTCGATTTACAACAGTTCGCTTAGTGACTGTTCGAACTTACAACGTGTTCTGTCCCCCTTCCTCACACAGGCAAACGTAATACCAAGCACGCCTGCCAATATTTTATTAGGTAAAGAGATTAGAATTCCTGGCAGACCAAGGTTTTGGCAGCAAACTGTCAAATGCCTGCCAAGACCGTTTTCACTCCCATAAAGCAGAAGAGGACTTATCTTCAGTCCGTTCCAGGAGCAACCAATTATTCACGAGACAAGAGTTTAGTCAATGTTCAGTCCAAAATATATCCAAGCCGAATTTCAGAGATCACGATGTGACTTTCAGGGTTTAACTTTGTCCGTCACAAAGCCTGAAGAGCAATCCCACCCACTTTTATTCCTGGGTGGGGCGTGGCTCCGTGGCTCAGCTCAATCTCTGGCCCTCCCACGCCTCTTCCGTTGCTGCGCACGCTTCTCCCTCCGACGCTGCCTGGGATCAAGCCAGGATTCATCCTTCTCGCTCCCTATCAATTGGTGCTCCAATATGCCTTCCTTCTGGCACATCCCAGGCTGTTCCTCCTGGCCTTCGGATGGAACCTGAGGCATTGCCAGAGAGGAGGGTCCTGGAGAGGAAGGCCTTGTCAGTTCCTCCCCATCACCTTCTGAGTCCTCTTCCTCTGTTACGACAGGCTCGGGAGTCGGGATCACAACACAACGGCACTGAAAAAAGGGATGTCTGGCTGTTTTTCACCCTTATGACCATTGCAGCATCCCCATGGTTGTGTGACTGACATTCGGATGCTTGACCACTGGTTCATATTTATGACGGTCGCAGTGTCCCCCGGGGTCACGTGATCCCCTTTTTCCGACCTTCAAAATCAACGGGGGAGCCAGATTCACTTAACAACGGGGTTACTAATTTTACAAGTGCGCCGATTCCCTCAACAAAAGTCATACGACGGGGTAAAACGCAACAGATTTCTCGCTCGGCAACAGAAATGTTGGGCTCACTTGTGGCCGTAAGTCAAGGACTGCCTGAATTGGTGAAAAATCTAAAGCCAGCCGCCTGGCAGATCAGGTCTCCAAGGTTCTCCCGTCCGATGTGATCTTCTCTTGTCATAGAGAGATGGTCGAATGCTTCAACAAGATTGGCCAGGACTCTGAATGCCGCGCAGTGGTGATCTCGGGCGCTGGGAAAATGTTCACTGCAGGTAAGGAGAACGGAGGCATTACGGCCAAGAGGTTCCTTTTCCTTAGGTCAGGAAAATCTAGCAAGGAGAGAAGCAACTTAGAATTAAGGAGAAATTTCCTGAGAGTGAGAACAATTAACCAGTGGAACAACTTGCCTCCAGACGCTGTGAATGCTCCAACACTGGAAGTTTTTAAGAAGAGGTTGGATAACCATTTTGTCTGAAGCAGTGTAGGGTTTCCTGCCTAAGCAGGGGGTTGGACTAGAAGACCTCCAAGGTCCCTTCCAACTCTGATATTCTATTTTCTACTTTAGGTAGGATTTCTGTCTGCAAGGAGTATAAATCCTTCCCTTCCCCCAACCATCCAGTCAGAGCTGAAGAAGCTTCTTGGATGAGAAGTGAAACATCTTCAAAAGAAAAACCAGAAAGTCCAGTTGCCTCTTGGAAACAACCAGGATTCTTGCATGACCGAGAACCTCCATAGACATTTCAGATCAAACTTTCAGTCCTATCAGAATTCAATTTACACAATCACTCCCAAGTCTCTTTTGGCTTAGTTTTTGCATGTTGGGAAGTTACAGTTTATACCGCAGATCAGGTTTAGGGCAGGTTTGAAGGGACTCCTTTCAGAGTTTAAAGAGTGCGTGTGTGGGGGATGGGGGACAGAATCCCGAGTTTTAAGGAGAAATGTGAGTACTTTTAATACCTACAAGATACAAGTCAAAGAGTTTTGCTTGTGCTGCTGAGTGAGTCCAATCAGTTGCAAAATGGGATGCAAAATTTGATTCCACCCGCTTTGGAGAAACCTCCAGGGCCCAAGGATCTCCAAGTTTTGCAGCCTTGTTTTCAGGAGTTGAAGAATGCATTTAACAAATAACGTAGCCCATGGTGGCTTAGTTGGCTGAGGGCCGGCAGCAGCGGTGGGCTTCAAAAATTTCAGCATGGGGTTCTCTGCCCAGTTGCTGGGTGGACGTAGCCACGGTGAATGTGGCCTAGTCGGCCTCCACCACCGCAGCGGAGGAGGCGTTTTTGCCCTCCCCGGGCTCCGGAAACTTTCCTCAAGCCTCCGGGAAGGTGAAAACAGCCTCCCCAGGCTCCAGAGGCTGTCTGGAGGCCGGAAACAGGCCCATTTCCAGGCTTCCCGAACTTCCGGTAGGGTAGGCCCATTTTTCGCCCTCCCTGAGCTCTGCGTGCGCCCTGCACTTACCTGCATCCAAACCGGGCTGCATGGGGACTCCTCGGAGGAGCAGGGTGGGAGGGGCCACCAGGAGTGGATTTGGGGGTTCTCCGAACTGCAGAGAATCTTAGCTTAGAGGTTCTCCCGAACCCCTAGCAACCTATCCCTGGTTGGCAGGTAAACGTGGCTTAGAGCAGGGGTCTCCAACCTTGGCAACTTTAAGCCTGGTGGACTTCAACTCCAATTCTGGGAGTTGAAGTCCACCAGGCTTAAAGTTGCCAAGGTTGGAGACCCCTGACTTAGAGTGAACCCCTATTGTTCTCCGTCCATGTTCTCCCTTCCGCAGGCATCGACCTCATGGAGATGGGCAGCGTTTTCCTGATGGCAGAAGGTGACGACGTGGCTCGGAAGGCTTGGAACATCCGCAAGAAGATCCGAGACTACCAAGAATCCTTCACGGTCCTGGAGAAGGTGCCTGGGTTGAGGGGAGGGACTGGGGTTGGGCAGGTGTGCCAGAAAACCTCTCCCACCCACACTTAATGGCGTCTCTGCTTTTCAGTGTCCCAAACCCATCATTGCAGCCGTTCACGGAGCCTGCATCGGAGGAGGTGAGCCCCATAAGTCACGCGTATCTGAGCCTGTGGCTTCGGTTCCTGGAATTGGTTGCATGGGTGGGCTGCGGAAACGGCCAAACTCCAGATTTCTGTACCGTTTGAACGACAGGAGCTAAACAGTAGGATCTTGCTTTGCATAAGGGTACAAGTCGTTTCGATTAAACTGGTTGGCATAACTCGGTGTTTCTTAACCTTGGCAATTTTTAAAGACTTTGCCAGACCAACTCTAGGAGTGCTTGTGTGATTTTTGGTGTCAGCCTGGCTGGAATTCTGCTCTCATTTAATCTATGAGTAAAAATGGAATTCTGGAAGGAAAAGGGGTTTTTTTTTTTTTTGTCCCCTACCTGACGCAACCAAGGATGTTGGTTTTTGAGATGCATTTTCCCCCCCTGCTCATGGAAGAAAGGAACGTCGTCTCTTAGATCAGGAGTCTTGGCAACTTTAAGACTTGTGGACTTTATTGTCATAGGTTGGGCTGCCTGTCGTCTTCCTGTGCCGATCCTTGTTTAAGTTCGGTATACTCGTCATCTCTATGGCCAACTTAAACCAACCTCCCCACTTATTTATAATCATCTTGCTTCCCTCCAGTACTCCCTAACTATTTCTTAATTTATTCCTTTCCTATTTATCACCGGATCTATCTTCTTATTTCTATATCTATTATACACTCTCTTAACACACTAGGACCAATAACTTGTAATTTCTGAGTACTTATATCAATCTACGATTCAAAGTTATCAATCTACCACATCAATCAATATTCAAAATTCATTAGCAGTGAATCCTCATTCGTGAATCCTCATCTGTAGCATTAATACCATTAATATTAATATCTTAATATTAATTAATATCTTAATAATATCAGCAAAGCTGGCTGAGGAATTCTGGGAGTTGAAGTCCACAAGTCTTAAAGTGGCCAAGGTTGGAGACCCCTGCCTTAGAAACGGTCCCAACTTGTGATAAGTGATTAGGTTTCGGCCTAATATATAATTTAGACCAGAGGTCTTCAAACTTGCAGCTTTAAGGCTTGTGGACTTCAACTCCCAGAATTCCTCAGCCAGCAAAGCTTTGCTGGGAGTTGAAGTCCAGAAGTCTTAAAGTGGCCAAGGATGGAGACCCCTGTCTTAGATACCCCCCCTACCTAGTCATGGATCTCGGCTTTTCAAAAAGGCGAACGCCCTGCAACTCAGGTCCTTTTGATGCTGCACCATTATGGGCTATTGAGTCGTCTTCTGGGCTGTCGCCACACCCTGGGAGTGGCCAGAGGACAGGTGATGCAGGACCTTCCTTGAAGCCGGGCTGGGTGGGCCTTGAGACAGGAGCCTGGCCCCTCCTTCGCTTTACGTAGCTGTAGTGGGAGAAAGATGAGATAGGAAGGTGGAAAACAGACTGTGGCTCTCGTTCCTTTCAAGGTGTGGATCTCGTTTCGGCCTGTGATATTCGCTACTGCACGCAGGACGCTTGGTTCCAGGTGAAGGTGAGTTTGCCGCCACACAGTTTTACCCTCGAAACGTCTACTTGATAAGCACCAATGACACTAACAAAGGCAGAGATACGCAGGCAGTCCTCAACTTAGGACCACGATTGAGCCCAAAATTTCCATTGTTAAAGTGAGATACTTGTTTAAGCGAGTTTTGTTCCATTTTACGACTTTCCTTGCCGCAGTTGTTAAGTGAATCTCTGCGGTTGATAAGTTAGTCACCCGGGGGTTAAGTGAATCTGGATTCCCCGTGGTCTTTGCTCATCAGAAGGTCGCCAAAGGGGGTTACGTGACATTGGGGACACAACGACAGTCGTAAGTATGAACCAGTTACCAAGCATCTGAACTTTGATGACCATGGGGATGGATGCAGTCAAGGTTGTAAGTGTGAAAAATAGCAAGAGCAACAGCACTTAGACTTATATACCGCTTTATAAGTGCTTTACAGCCCCTCTCTAAGCAGTTCACAGAGTCAGCCTCTTGCCCCCAACAATTTGGGTCCTCATTTGACCCACCTTGGAAGGATGGAAGGCTGAGTCAACCTTGAGCCTGGTGAGATTTGAACTGCCAGATTGCAGGCAGTCAGCAGAAGGAGCCTGCAGTACTGCACTCTAACCACTGCACCACTGCAGCTCAATTTGTCATAAGTCCCTTTTTTCAGTGCCGTTGTAACTTAACCCTTCCTCGGTCTCTTAGCACACAAACACATGCATAAATACACGTATGTTTATTCCAGGCCATAGGCTTGCCAGATACGGATTTATACCAGTGGAAAAAACTTCTCCTTATGGGCCGGGATTGCAAGGGGCCACCTGAGTATTATAAGGCCCGGGGTGGGTGTCAGGATATCTCCGTGCCCATATCACCCTTTGGAGTAAAACCTCAGTGAATGAACAACCTTCTCCTTGTGTCTCCTTTCTTCAGGAAGTGGATATCGGGCTGGCAGCCGACGTTGGCACATTGCAGCGTTTGCCACAGATCATTGGAAATCGGAGGTGAGGGCTTCGCTTCCTGTCGGCTCAGCTCTCTTCCGGGTTTTGCACAACAGGAACCACAGCTTCCCCTACTTTGGAAAGCAACCGTTGGAATTTTTCTCTGGTTTAAAGGAGCCAGGAATATCCAGCCCATCGTTTGCTCAGATGATCTGCATCTGAGATTTGGGGTATTTTGGAAGACCCCATGAGCCACACCTCAAAACATCAAGGGAAGCCTGCTACACGTGCTGGAAGTGGGGTCAAAGGTCGATTGCCCAAATATAGTCTGGGGATGGGCAAACAGCCCCCCCCCCCACTCCCTTCTCTGCCCACCTGAAAACTGCCTGCTTGTGACCGAGGTCTCTCCTCCTGCTTTAACATTTTTATTGAGTTATCAAATATTACAAGGTACAAAATACAAAAGTAAATAGGAAAAAGGTGGGGAGGAAGAGGGGGGGAAGAGAAGTGAGGAAGGATTAGAAAAAAGAAAAAGAAGCCTTGACTTCTGACTTTGTTGCAGTAAAATCAGGCATTAACATCAAATCACAACTTTCTGCTTTTCCATAAGAGGAGCAAGCCATTTCTGTAAAGATCTTTCAGTCTAATCGGTAAAACCCAAAAGCAAAGTTTCGTTCTTTCCCACATCAAGCATGAAGTTCAGAAACGGTCTCCATGTGGAAACAAAAGTACTTACATTCTTTTCTTTAAGCAAAGTACCATATTTTTTCCGACTATAAGACGCACCAGATATAAGATGCACCATGATTTCGAAACAAGAAAAAAAAAGTTTTTGCCCTCCCCGGCTCCCAGGAGCACTCTGCAGGCCTCCCAAACCCTCTGCATATCCTGTTTGTCAGAAAAACGGGCCTGTTTTTGGTGAAAACAGGACGCGTGGGGTGTGGTTTCAGGAGGCAAAAAAATGGCTGTATTCGGTATATAAGACGCACCAACATTTCCACCCTCTTTTAGGGGAGAAAAAAGTGCGTCTTATACTCCAAAAAGTATGGTAGTCCATTTTGCCATTTCAGCCAACTCCATCAACTTCTGCAATCATTTGTCCATGTTAGGAATCGAAGCGTCCTTCCATTTTTGTGCATACAATAGTCTTGCTGCTGTCAACATAGATTTTTATTTATTATTTTATTATTCATATTTTTATGCCGCCCATTCTCCGAGGACTCTGGGCGGCTTACACCAAAGACAGTATATTAAATAGCCTATTGCCCCCAACAATCTGGGTCCTCATTTTACCTACCTCGGAAGGATGGAAGGCTGAGTCAACCTTGAGCTGGTGAGATTTGATCCGCTGATCTGAACTAGCAATCAGCTGAAGGAACTGCAGTACTGCACTCTAACCACTGCGCCACCTCGGCTCATTTTTGTAACCATGTTCCATTTTTGTTCTCCAGTTCTTTCTCTGTTAGGCCTGACTGAGGTTTCTCTTAACCCCCTGTTGATCTTCTCTTTCCAGCCTAGTGAACGAGCTGGCTTTCACTTCCAGAAAGCTGATGGCTCCGGAAGCCGAGAGCTGCGGCCTTGTAAGGTGGGTCTGCCTTGAAGCCGAGTCCGGGGGCTGCGGAAGTTTCTCAGTCTTGTGATTTCCATCCAGAGCCTCCTTGTCAAAATCAGCTCCCTGATTTCCCATCTCGTTGAGGCAGGAAACTGGAAAGTATCTTCTCAGATAGAATGAAATGGGTTAGCCCCCATCTTTTAAAAAAACCAAACCCTAAATATTATCTGAGTCTTCCTTGCCCAATTGCAAAAAATCCTGTTGTGACCTTGGCGTCTCAAAAGCACGAAGCAGACTCCTTGTCCCGACAAAACCCCTCTTTATTAAGCGAAAGCGAATTCCTCTCATTCACAACCAGCAAAGTCCCGGCAAACACTCTTTCAAGGGTGAATTTACAACCACAGGCCTTATCAGGCTTGGAGAGTGTCAGAGTTTCTTGCAAATTCAAATCCAGAAAGCACACACAGATAAACTGATGCAGCAGGATTCATTAACTTCTTTATATTCACAATAATACATGAAGTAAACGTACAATACCAACAGCAGATTCACAGTTTCATTTCAGCTCACATCAGCAGACAAGTTCACATACACACTGGTTTCAGTTTCTCTGCACAGGCTCAGAAGCTGCAGACTAAGACACGCCCTGGCTCCAGTCTGTTTCAGCTCCCAATTGGCTGACTTAGTTGCTATGCCTGTTCATTGGCTGACCTTGTTACCATGTCTTCCCAGTCATGAATATTCTGACAGAGAGCTGCCAGGCCGATAATCTTCCAAATGCAATGCTGTGTAGAAGGAAATACTTGGCAAGGAGTCTCTGAGTGTCACAAACAGATCTTCACACTAATGAAATGAACTAATTGTCTCCTGCAAACTCCACTCCCTTTTCCCTCCTTTTTTATTCGTTCTGGGAGAGGCCATTCATCATCCACCTGTGGCCTTACTCCCAAGTCGACCCTTGTTCTTTAGCTGTTCCCTTCGTCTGGCAACTCTGCGCATGCGCACTCTGGGAACAGGCTCCAGCTGTTCGTCTGCCTCACTGATGTCAAGACTCTGAAGGCAGCTGATAACTGTTAGACGGCCCTGGCCCCCTCTCTGCCTCTGATGCAGAGCCCTCCTCAGAGCCTGCCCCAGACTCCAGGACTGGCCCATGTTCCTCCCCAACCTCCTCACCGTCCGAGTCTGCCACCAGCTCTGCGGCAGGCGGTCCACAACAGATCCTCACCTCCTCCCAGAGAGCTCAATCCAGATGTTTTCATGGAGGCATCCCCAGAACTCTGTGCTTTTCATTCTCCCACAATTGTCTGGCATTTCCCATCTTTTCTATAGAAGATTTCCTGGCTGAGTTTTTTTCATCCAGGAATTAAGCAGGCTTAGCTTTCAAGACCAGGCAAGGTTGATCTTCTTCTGAAACATCTGCAACCAGGGGAAGTATATTAATTCCATGAGCTTTGCTGGCTGGGAAATTCTGGGAGTTGAAGTCCACCCCTTTTAAAAGTTGCTAAGTTTGAGAAACCATGAGCTAAAGTAGATTGTCGAGCAAGATTGTAAGGTTTTTCTCCCAACTTCCCTTGGACTGAAAAAAGAAAAGGAGGATTGGCTAGCACCTAATGCAGCCATTCCCTACCTGGGGCCTTTATAGTTTATTAGAACATTCCCTCGAATCTAAGGCTTGGGCTGGAGGAAGCTGCCCAAAACCTCCGAAATTCCTCTGGCTTCCTTTCCCAGCCGTGTCTTCCGAGATCACGAGACGATGCTGCAGAGCGCCTTTGATTTGGCCAGCGAAATTGCCAGCAAGAGCCCCATCGCGGTGCAGGGGACAAAAATGAACCTCCTTTACGCCCGAGACCATTCGGTGGCCGAGAGCTTGAAATACATGGTGAGTTGGTGGGTCTTCTTTATACGTGCAACTTCTGGGTCTGCGTATTGGGAGGTCTCGTTGGATGTTTGGGCCGGATAGTGGAGAACAGAATAAAGGGACCTCGGTTGGAAGGGACCTCGGAGGTCTTCTAGTCCAACCCCCTGCTCAGGCAGGGAGCCTTATTACCATTTTGGACAAATGGTTGTCTAGACTCTTCTTAAAAACTTCCAGTGTTGGAGTATTCTATTTTCTATTCCTGTTCCTACTCCTGTTCCTACTCCTACTCCTATTCCTACTCTTACTCCTATTCCTACTCTTACTCCTATCCTATCTTCACTATGCTACGCTATTCCATTCCATTCCAATTTCCATTTCCATTTCCATTCTAAATATTTGCAGCATGTCGCCAGAACCCATTCACTGGCATTTGCGTCTCCTTCATGAGGACTTGTAACTTTGTGCTTTCTTTTTTGCTTAAAAAAAAAAAAAGATTCGTTTGGAAAAGTCTCCTTTTAATAGCACTGCAAGCCAGAAGGGGCACACTAAGTGTGACAGGAGGCCGGCAGCGACGATCAGCATCTGCCTTAAAAGTCCGAGGTCGGAAAGGACCAGGCAGAAATTTCTCCAACTCCTGCCTGCCTTTTCCTTCAGGCCGCCTGGAATATGAGCATGCTTCAAACGGAGGACATCATCAAGTCCGCCCAAGCTGTGATGGAGAAGAAGTCCCCCAAGGACGTGGTCTATTCCAAACTCTAGGTGGCAACCTGTCCTGAAGCAATTGGCTCACACACGGTACCTTTACAGAGGCCGAGCTCGGACACAAGCAAGACAACAGTAGCATCAAGTGCCTTTGAATCACTCACCTCCTGCCTCTTCCCTTCTGGCTCACCTGCCGATTTCTTTTTTTTGGGGGTGCTGTGAAGCGAAAGCCCCCCCCCTTTGAAACGGGGGGGGGCGTTTTCCCAAGCACGCAGGTTAGCAGCGGAGGAGCGTATATGAATGTAGACGCTGAAAAAGCTTTAAAAAAAAGATTAAATCCTGTTTTCATTGTACGGCGTGGCCTGTTTTGGCTTTTTATTTTGTTGTTGTTCTTCTATCAGCAGCCGTTTCCAAAAAAACAAAAAAAAAAGTCAAATCTTATTTTTTTTTTCCTTTTAAGGATTTGGTTATGAATTTTACAAGGGGGTGGAAGGTCAGCCGGAAAAGAGGAAAGTAATGGGAAACTCTCTTCTATTTTACTGCAGACAGTTAAAAAAAAAAAAAAACTCCAGGGGAACGTGGTTAGCATGTTTTCTGATTAGTAAATTTTATTTACAAGCAGGAGTTTTTGCGGAGTTGATTCTCAAAAATCAGGAGACCAGCAGTACCTTTTCCGACTTGCATATTTTATTCCACGGCAGGTTTTTTTTTCATCGGGCTATTTTATTTGAACAGATGGAAGGGACCTTGTAAGTCATCCAGTCTAACTCTCCACCCAAGCAGGATTTCTGATAGATGGCAGTCCAGCCTCTTCTTGAAAGCTTCCAATGATGAAGCTCCCACAACTTCTGAATTTATTTCTTTATTGCTGTAAGCTAATACATATTTCCTCCTACAAATAAAGCGATTCTAATTTATCGTCATTTATCCGCTGCTGCGGCTGTATTAGAGAGCAGGAGGAAAATACGGGGTTTTTGGGCTTGGGGTTAACTTTAGGAATGGAGCCCCGGCCTACGGGGGCACAATTGTGATTGTAAGAATAGAGTAAAAGCCGACAGGAGTTTAATGATCGTGTTGTTTAGTTTAAGAGAAATCTGAGGGCATTTGAGAAAATAAGTGCTTTGTAGCTAAATTAGGACAGAGGCTTGTTGTTAGTTGTGAAGTTGTGTCTGACCCATCGTGACCCCATGGACAACGTTCCTCCAGGCCTTCCTGGAGGAACCTACCATCCTCTGAAGTCCATTTAAGGTCACGCTGACTGCTTCAGTGACTCCATCCAGCCCCCCTGTTCTCTGCCGTCCCCTCCTTCTTTTGCCCTCAATCCTTCCCAGCATTAGGCCCTTCTCCAGGGAGTCCTTCCTCCTCATTAAGTGGCCAAAGTATTTGAGTTTCCTCTTCAGGATCTGGCCTTCTAAATAGCAGTCAGGGTTGATCTCCTCTAGGACTGACTGGTTTGATCGCCTTGCAGTCCAAGGGACTCTCAGGAGTCTTCTCCAGCACCAGAGTTCAAAGGCCTCCATTCTTTGGCCTTCTCAGCCTTCCTTATGGTCCAACTTTCAGAGGATACTGATTGCTATATCCTCTTCCATCTTGCCCCATCCTCCTCCTGCCATCTGGGCACAGAGATGGGCCAGAGTCCAACTGGCAGGGCGTAGTTGCGGTCTCCGTAGTATCTTTTTATGGCTTCACTTCTCTGCCCCAGCGCCATCCTGCCCTCTCTCCCAATTCACCGAGCTGCCCTCTTGTCTCCCAAGTTACGTTCCATAAAACTGTCAGCTTGTTTAGTCAGGAATATCCTCACCCACCCACTCTATAAAACCCTACAAAGTTATTTGCTGACCGCTCCCTCCAGTGCCGCGTCTCTGCCTCTACCTGTTAACCCTAACCGATGCCCCAGTTGAAAGAGGTTTTTATGGGGCTGACTTCCTGCTGATCGAACCAAGCGGGTAGGGCTCAGGTGTTTGCAACGCACGCCTACCAAATGGCTGGTAAAGCTCAGGAAGAAATTTCCCAAAGGTGTGGAGAGATTCTCAAGTCATCCAGGTCATGAATGTCCCAAAGGTGCTTTTTTTCAAGAGGCAACTGGACTTTCTTGGTTTTTGATTTTGAAGATGTTTCGCTTCTCATCCAAGAAGCTTCTTTGGCTCTGACTGGACGGTGGGGAACGGAAGGATTTATATTCCTTGCAGACAGCTGGTCATTTGCATCCCTTTAGAGCAATGTTTCTCAACCTTGGTAGCTTGAAGATGGGTGGACTTCAACTCCCAGAATCCCCCAGCCAGCGTTGCTGGCTGGGGGATTCTGGGAGTTGAAGTCCACCCATCTTCAAGCTACCAAGGTTGAGAAACATTGCTCTAGAGAGTCATTGAGGCCCCTTGGAGGTTTCTCTGTGTCCTCAGGGCTACCTGAGTGGCGCAGATGGGTATGAAACCCTCTTGGCTGCAGGATGTTTTCTGCAAGGAAGTCCAGTTGCCTCCTGAAAAAGCACCTTTGGGGACAGCCATGACCTGTCGTTGAGCCTAGACTACAAGCCCTCGCTTGCCTTGCAGTTGGTGGGATAACGGGGATGGAATCCAAGAAGGAAGTCAACCCTTCGACCCCGCAAGATAGATCGAAAGAAGAAATCACAATGCTCTTCATGTTTAATAATACCACTTGCGCCTTTAAAAAAAAGCGCAAGTGGAATCTTGCGCGTCTGAATTTGCTTCCCCCTCCCTTTGGTGAACTAGGTGGGGTTTCTCTGAGATGCTTTTCACGTGACTTCCTGCGGTGGGGCTCAAGCCCCCTCTTCACTGACCCATTGCCTTGGCATGGCTCTTCTGTAACAAGGTGGACCTGGCCCATGAGCCTTTCCTACCTCGTCCAGGACATGCTGAGCTACCAGAGCAGTGGCCTCTCATTCGTCAGGACAGGTGGGCTGGTGCCACCTGCTCTGTGCTCCACCCTTCCTTCCTTGTTTTATAAAAGCAATAGATACAGTTGCTTCGCTTCTGATTTGGGCACTGAATCTGGACCAGCAGCTCGAAACAGGATCAGCATGACTTACTTCCCAGCACCTGGCTACATGCCTGTTTATAATCCGGTAAGTTATAACCAAACTAAGTGGCAATTTTAATTAGCAATTTTGTGGTGTTTGTGTGTCTATGTTTTTCTTGACTGTACACCGCCTTGAGTCCTACGGGAGAAAGGCAGTATAGAAATATAATAAATAAATAAATAAATAACCCGGTAATAAGACCCACCTGGTCTTATTAACCTCACTATTATCTTTGCGACAAAATTATTTATACACCCCCCGGATGGAGAAATACTGAAAACTGGAGCGATGGATAAGAAAGGTGGCGGAACTGATCTGTTTGAATCAGGGATAAAACGGTAAGTACTTTCTATAAAAGATTGGACATCCTGTTTTGGACTTTTTGCTGAAAATGGACAAAATGATGGACGTCTGGGTTTGCTGATTGAAAAATGACTTGAATGTGGGATATTCTAATGCAGAGGTCTGCAAACTTGGCAGCTTTAAGACTTGTGGACTTCAACTCTCAGAAGGCTGGAGAATTCTAAGAGTTGAAAGTCCACAAGTCTTAAAGCTGCCAAGTTTGAAGACCTCTGTTCTAATGTAATATTAAAGAAGAGCAGAGAGAATAAATTAGTGGAGATTTTTATGGTTTCTAAACTTGGTGGTTTCCTTCAAGCTGGGAGAGAGCCACGGACTTGAGTTGAACTCTGAGCTTACATATATTTTCTTCTCTTGCAATAATAAGTTGGTTTGAAACTCCTATAGAAGGTCAGAAATCACATCTTTTTTCCTCTTTTGTCTTTCTACTGTTCATTTTTTCCCCTTTTATATTTTGGTCTTTTTCTCACTTTTCTGTATTTTTTCAGGTTTATCTTGGAAAAATAAGGGGACAATGGGATAAAGGAAATTTGAGTTTGGGGTAGAAATGTAAGGTGAGAAAGCGCCTGAGACAAGACCCTTCCTCCTTCTCAAGTAAATGAAGGAAGGGAGGGGGAAGCGCATTCAGATTTGCAAAACGGAGCTCAGCCCTTCGAAGTAGACCAGACTAGGAAACCAAACTCCCACAGGTTAATACTCCCTTTTATTGGGACACAATCTTTCTGCTGTCGGCAAGCACACACCCATGCTCAGACACCACCAAGTACTCCATGGTTTAATCCTGAGCTTCAGAGATTCTCTTCTATCGGAAGAAATGAAAATATTTGTCCGTTATTTCTCAAAATAAATTGGCCAAATGGCCTAAATGGGGTTCAAATCTCCTCCCCACTTTTCAATCCAATTCCTCTCACCCACCTGCAGATGAAACACAGTTCTCCTATTAAAAGCTCCAGAATTTCAGAGGAAAAAACAAACTCATTCTTGCTCCTACCAACCTGACCCAGTTGGCACTTGCAATGTTTCTCCTTTCCTTAGGGGTTCTTCCGGTGCATGGAGAGATCTGATAAGAGGCTGGCATCCAGCCAGTCTGGCTCAATCCACTGAGCACCCATAAAGCAGCACCGGTCTATGGCTGTAGATCTGGTGCTTCCTCCACGCCTTCCTTCCCCTGTCACATTGGGAGACATTAATCCTTAGCAGAGGCCCTCCCAGGAGGTCTTTATTTGACTCAGAACCTCATGGAAAGGCTGATACAAGGCACAAGTTGTAGTTGCCCGATTCAAAAGTTGTGTTTTGTTTATAAAATGTTTTACAGGTGGCATCTTCGCCCGGCAAGATTGGCTAAAAGGTTTAGCAACACATCCCCAAAATGTTGGAAATGTAAACTATTACCAGGCACATACTATCACATGTGGTGGACCTGTAAAAAAGCAAGGAGATTTTGGTTACAAATTTAGAAGTGGCTAGAAAAAATGGTTGGACAATGTATAGAATTCAAGCCAGAACTCTTTCTATTAGAAGGCTATAGCCTAATACTTCACATCCTAACAGCAGTGAGAATGGTGTATGCACAGCAATGGAAAAGGGAAAACACCCCTTCAGAAAAGGAGATAATAAGGAAGATATTAACATGCGTAGAAATGGATAGACTAATGTTAGAATTAAAAAACAAAGGAGAGACACATGGGATAGATTTTGTCAATGGCCGGAAACACGAGGTGGGAGTCGGAACATGGAAAAATTAGGCTAAGTAGACCTGAAATGAGATATTATATATGTATTAGAATGAATACGTTGGTCAAAAATAATTGTATAAGACTAGCACTGTGTAAGTTGTATATATGTTATCTGCAGGGGTGAAACCTATTTACCTTCCCTACCGGTTCGGAAGTGTGCGCACCGGACCCTCTGCACATGCACAAACTCTTCCGCACATGTGCAGAGGGTAAAAAACAGGTTACTTCCTGGTTAAAACCAGGAAGTAACAATCACCGGGCGGGTGGGCGGAGCCTTGCCATCGCTACCGGTTCTCCGAACCGGTCCGAACTGGTAGCATTTCACCCCTGGTTATTTGCCGTTCACTTTGGCTTCTATGGCGTTTGAAATGCCAGGACAGTCACATTGTGTTCGATATATTTATATGTAAATAATAGATTTTTTTTTAAAAAAAAAAGTTGTGTTTTGCAATAAAGTCCCTGGTTTGGCTCATCATTTTCTGTCTTCCAGACTCTCCCTTACCATCAACCTGTCCCTGGCGGGCTCCGTCCTGGCATGTCGGTATATGTGCAAGGCACGGTGCCCAAACATACCAAGAGGTAATTGTGTTTTGGGGTCTCAAAGGAAGGGCAAGAAGTTACCTTACTCAAAATATTTGTTAAAAATATATATAATATATATAACAAAATATTATTTTGTTATGGGTACTTTATATAATCCAAATTCGATACCAAGATTGTCCCAAAACTGTGGCATGGATGCATTTGTACACAAAGAAATGGACATTTATATATATCTTTTTAATTGTATTTTAATGTTTGTAGTTTATGTTTTTATTTGGCTGTTCACCGCCCTGAGTCCTCAGAGAGAAGGGCGGTATACAAATTTAAAAATAAATAAATAAATAAATAAATTTTCTGCTCATGTGACTCCGGGTCTTGGGTAAAGTTTTCACTCTGACCTCAAAAAGCCTTTCTTAATTCTTCAGATAGTTCCACTTCCTGGTTCTTCCAACTCCTAGGGGAGTTCCTAAGCCCTGAGGACTAGGAACTTGATTCTTCAGGCAAAAACTGGCTTTCTGTGGTGTCTAGCTTCAAGGCAAAGGAGAAGGGAGGAGAGAGAACTCTACTCTGAGATTTCTGCACCTCTCTTAATTTTCCTTCCCTTCCCCTTCTTCTTCTTCTTCTTCTCTTTCTACCAGATTCCGGGTGAACTTTGCCTGTGGCCAGCATGAGGGGGTTGACATTCCCTTCCACTTCAACCCTCGCTTTGATGGGAGGGACAAAACTGTGCTCAACACGTTTCAGTCCGGCAGGTGGGGACACGAAGAGATTCACAAGATGCCCTTCCGGAAGGGCGAGCATTTCGAGATCATCTTCATCATCAATGACGTCGGATACCAGGTTGGTACACCTGACCGAGGCGCCTTTGGGACCGCGGGGACCTCTTTCTCTCCCCCCCCCCCAGAATTCACCCTTTGTCTGGAATGAACCATGTATTTCCAACTTCCTCTCTTCCAGATAGGGATTAAGGGATGTTCAGGTAGTCCCAGGGGTGAAATCCAGCAGGTTCTGACAGGTTCTGGAGAACTGGTAGTGGAAATTTTGAGTAGTTCGGAGAACCGGCAAATATCACCTCTGGCTGGCCCCAGGTTCTGGAGAACTGGTAGCAGAAATTTTGAGTAATTCAGAGAACCGGTAGTAAAAATTCTGACTGGCCCCGTCCCCATCTATTCTCTGCCTCCCAAGTCCCAGCTGGGAGGAAATGGGGATCTTGCAGAAACCTTCCCCTGGAGTGGGAGGGAATGGAGATTTTGCAATATCCTTCCCCCAGAGGTGGGGAGGGAATAGGGATTTTGAAGTATCCTTCTCTTGCCACGCCCACCAAGCCACGCCCACAGAACCAGTAGTAAAAAAAATGAATTTCACCACTGGGTAATCCCCATTCAGTGACAACTGGAGCCAGCAAACTTAGTCATTAACTAAGTGACTGTTTGTGATCAGACTTCAGCTTTTCTCGTGCTTTACAGACCTGTGAAGGTTGTAAATACAGGATTGGTGGCAGAGTTACTATTTCACCACTGTTGTAACTGCAAACAGTCACTAAATGAAGACAGCCTGAGGCTGAAGGAAAACATTTTGGTCTAGGGGGAGAAAAGGTTATTTGTGAAATAGTCTTGCCCTTTTTTACATGTACATTTTTTGGTTTTTAAACCCTTTTGCGGCCATTCTGCATAGCTTTGGGGTGGGATGTGTTCCTGGCAAGAACAAACAGGTTTTTCTTGCAAAGAAAATGGAGGATCCCAATGGAGACCTGATCCCTTTGGCTTTGCCCTCTAATAGATCCTGGTGAACAGAAACCCCTTCTGTACCTACGGGCACAGAATGCCCCCCCAAAGCGTGCAGGTCGTGAGTGCTGATGGAGACCTGGAGCTGCAATCTCTGACTGTGATGGGAGGACAAATGATGGGGAACATGGTAAGGGTTTGGTATGGACAAGTCGGCACCTTCGGATCCTTGATTTCTCTTTGGGAATTGATTCTGGGTTGGTTCAATCCCAGATTCTCTTTCTCCCCTCCAATCTGTTCTGACCTAGGCTTCCTCAGCATGAAGCACGAAGTCGAGTCCTCGTCCCGATAAACCCCTTTTATTTAATTTACGATGAATTCCTCTCCAGCAAAGTCTTTCCTCTCCCACAGTCTTTCAAGATAGTTCACAATTACCGACCTTTATCAGGCTTGGAGAGTGGCCAGGCTGATATCTTTCAGAGGCCGCAATACTTGGCAAGAATGCAGTAATGAATTAATTGTCTCCTGCAAACTCTACTCCCCTTTCGCTCCTCTTTTATTCTCCCTGGGAGGGGCCCTTCATCGTCCACCTGTGGCCTTACTTCTGAGTCGACCCTGGTTCTTTAGCTGTTCCCTTCGTCTGGCAACTCTGCGCATGCGCACTCTGGGAACAGGCTCCAGCTGTATGTCTGCCTCACTGATGTCCGACTCCGAAGGCAGCTGATAACTGTCAGACGGACCTGGCCCCCCCTCTGCCTCCGACGCAGAGCCCTCATCAGGGCCTTCCTGGCCCATGTTCCTCCCCAACCTCCTCACTGTCCGAATCTGCTGCCAGATCTGCTGGCCACTGGTGGGCCACAACACAATCACACTTTGTGACCCCTTAAGAATGGCTGCTCCTCTGGTACCTGGAGTGGCTTACATCCCTGCATGCTAGCAAAGATAATCATCCAAGGGTGATACTGGGACCAGCAACTGCACATATGGAGCAAATTTCTCCCAGGCCAAGGTCCTGCGCTTCCCCCTTACAGAGGTCCATAAAACAGAATTTCTCAAACTTGGCAACTTTACGTCGTGTGGTCTCAACTCCAAGAAGGGCTTAGATCAGAAGATGCCCGTGCATCTCTCCAGAACCCATCCACGTTGAAAGTAACCGAGTTGAGCAAATGGTACAAAGGCACCCATGGAGGCTTCAACTGACCTTGGGTGAATGTGCCACACAAACTCAGTGTCAGGGTTCCAGGTAACACCCCCAACAAAAGAAGACTCTGAGGTTAGAAGTTCTTTAAAGTTCCATTTTATTAGACAGGTCATATTGGCACACCTGGGAAAACCCGGATCTGAAAGCTTCTGGGTTTTCTCCACCCAAAAGAAAGTTCAAGTCCCTGCCCCATCACTCACATGTCCATCACATGGTCGAATCAATGCACTGTCCCAACTGGAGATGCCTCCCAGGCATGCAACTCTAGGTGCAGACTGAATGTCCTTGACTCTCGAGAAAGGAATGTTGTTATGGGTAGATATCCCTGCTACTCCATGCAATCTCTCCCCTCCCAGTTTCCCACAGCACTAAGCATGGCAGCCCTGAAGAAAAGGATGGCTTCCAGGGCTAACACTCAGACACTGTTGTCTTCCTATCCTTTAGGATATGATGCCAAACCCTGCATATGGGCCACCGCAAAATCTTCCCGTAAGTACTCAGAAGGGGGAAAAGGGAGGCCTCGCGCAAGGAAATACAAGGCTAGGGATCTTAGGAGAATAAAATGGAGTTAACACAAGTCTCTTTGGATTTCTCTCCCTCCAGATGATGCAGTCCCCTGCAGTCTACCATCCAGTAGGTACCAAAAGACTTTCTAACCCAGCCTATTTCTCCTTATGTTAGCCTGGATTTGCGGGATGGGACAGAAACCAGGAGGTGGGGAGTTTGTGTGTGTGTGTGTGTGTATACAGGTAGTCCTTGACTTACAACAGTTCATTTAGTGACCATTCGAAGTTCAATGGCACTGAAAAAGGGAACCTATGACCATTTTTCACACTTACGACCGTTTTAGCATCCCTGTGACCTCATGATCAAAATTCGGACCCTTGGCAATTGACTCGTAGTTATGACGGTTGCAGTGTCCCGGGGTCATGTGATCGACTTTTGCGACTTTCTGACAAGCAAAGTCAACGGGGAAGCCAGATTCACTTAACCATTGTGTTATACTAACTTCACAATGGCAGTGATTCCCTCAATAACTGTGGCAAGAAAGGTTATAGGATGGGGCAAAACTAGCTTCACAAATGTCTTGCTTGGCAACAGAAATTTTGGGCTCAGCTGTGGTCGTAAGTTGAGGACTACCTGTGTTCAGGTGGAATTGAAGGAAGCTTGTATTTTCTGCTCTTCGGCTCGGAACCATGTCATAAAATTGAGTTCAAGCCGCTCAGAATAGAGTTTCCCAGAGTTTTTGTGTTATTTGGACAAAAAGCAAAGCAAGTGTGCAACTAAGCTTAATGAGTGCCTTTATATTTGTACATATAATTGTCTAATTTCAAAGCTATCGTACTACACTAAGCTATGGCCAACAAGGCTATTCAAATAACTGTGCCCAACAAAGCTGTTCTGGTTGCTGTAAGTATTGTTGCCCAACAGGTTTGGCTTTGATGGCCGCCATCTTGCTTATTTTGACCTCACCCTATGGAGCAAACAAACCATTTGAACCAGTGGTGGGTTGCTCCCAGTTCTGTCCGCTTCTTTTACTACAACCTCTTCGGCCAAAAAAAATGCTTTTAAAAGTAAAAATAAAAAAGCCTCTGATGATTGCGCGGCTCAGCTGGGATCGTCAGAGGCTTTTAAAAGCATTTTTTTTACAACCTCTTCAGCTGAAGAGGTGGTAGGAAAAATGGTTTTAAAAGTTAAAAAAAAAAAGTTAGCCACGCCCACCCAGTCACATTACCCCCCCTCCACTAAGCCACGCCCACAGAACCGGTAGTAAAAAATTTTACATTTCATCACTGGCCCGGACGTCATAATTGATGATCTGCACAGGCGCAGAAGAGTGTGCGCGCACCCCCGTTGCAAACTGGTAGTAAAGGTAAGTAGAACCCACCCCTGATTTGAACATGCCTTACTTTTGAGGCCAAAAATTACTGGTCTGTTTAAAGGAAGATATTCTTGAAACCACCGAGGAATGCAGGAAAAATCCATCCAAGACAAGATCCTGCAAGCTGCCTTCTGCACGATATGCTGGATCCCCTGCTTGGCAACCCAAGATCGACTGGATTGCAGCTATCTTGATCCCCTGGTAGCAGGGCCAAGAGCGCTGCTTGGGGGTGAGGAGGGCATTGAGTGTAATCTGGATTTGTGTCTATTTCAGACGGTGCCCTACATAGGCAACATCTCTGGAGGTCTGGGAGCCAAGAGGACCATCGTAGTACGAGGCTCTATTCCAATGAACTCTAACAGGTCTCGGCTCTCTTTTTCAGCCTGCATTTGGGGATTCCGGCAGAGGAATGGAACAGTTCTCACAATTGGGCATCACTGCCCTTCCGCAATCAGGGCTACCGGCCTCACCTTGCCAGCCTGCCCCTGGCATCGACTCGCCCTCTGCCTGAAAATTAGACACCAAGATTCTGCTTTGGCACAGCAAAACACCAGTGTTAGGGCCCCTCGTAGACCTTTCCCGGTTCAGCTCCTTTCTCTGATTTTTCCCATCCCTGCACATCTGCTGGGGACAGCCCAGAGGGCAAGGAGACTAAGGGCAGTAAAAGCCACAATTTCACACAAAGCCACAATTTCACACACATCGCCACATGGAGAAGCAAGGGCTGCTAGTTTATGGCAGGGTTCTCTACATGGAGAATCTCAAACTTCACAAAGAGATGGACAAGATAAAAAGTTTGGGGGCCCCTTTAAAGAACGATTAGGTCATTAAGCAGGGCTTGGCTCTCGTTCATCAGAAGAATGCTGTTCACTGCTAGACCGCTGCTGAATATGTGGGATTTCCACCCCCCCTATATTTGTGTGCTTCATTTATAGTCCACCGAGAGTTGAGCAGTTCACCGATAAATAATATTTGCAAAGGAGAACAAGAGCTGTTTTTTTTCTTTACCCATGAAAGCATCTTATTGGAGGAGGTGGGGGTGTGGGGATAATCAGATTTCCCTTTATTTCATTCAATAGTCTTTATGCTCCCTTTTTTTCTCTTTCCAAGGTTCCACATCGATCTTACGGCTGGCCAGGATATCGCTCTGCACATCAATCCACGCATGCAAGAACGAACGGTAGTGCGCAACAGTTTTCTGAATGGCAGCTGGGGTCCTGAGGAACGGGAGCTGCCCTTTAACCCTTTCCAACCTGGACAGTACTTTGAGGTGAGTTGGCTTTGATTCCAGCACAGAGTGGGGGTCTCGTCAAGCAAAGAGGTAGAAAAAGTCAACATGGCAGCCACAGCTAGGCAACTGATGCTTGGTTCCTATTTTATCTGGCTCATGGAGATATCTCTGGATTACAGCAGAGAGCTAGACCTGCGAGAAGGCAAGCAGGCAGGTAGGCAGGCAGGCAGTGGGGAGTGTAGAGAAGATCCACTCGGGTGCCTCCAGAGGTGTAAGACTCCATCTCTCATAATTCCCAGCAAGCACAACCATGAGGAATTGATATCTGAACCTCTGGAAGGATGTTGGGATGAATCACCCAATATAGTGTGGTTTTGGTCACCACACTATAAAAAAGATGTTGAGACTCTAGAAAGAGTGCAGAGAAAAGCAAACAGGATGATTAGGGGACTGGAGGCTGAAACATACGATGAACGGTTGCAGGAACTGGGCCTGGCTAGTCTAGTGAAGAGAAGGACCAGGGGAGACATGACAGCAGTCTTCCAATATTTGAGGGGCTGTCACAGAGAGGAGGGGGATCAAGCTATTCTCCAAAGCACCTGAAGGCCAGACAAGGAATAATGGATGGAAACTGAAAAAGGAGAGATTCAACCTGGAAATAAGGATAAATTTTCTGACAGTAAGAACAATCAACCAATGGAATAGTGTGCCTTTAGAAGTTGTGGGAGCTTCATCACTGGAGGCTTTCAAGAAGAGACCGGACTGCCATCTGTCAGAAATAGTGTAGGGTCTCCTGCTTGGGTGGGGGGTTGGACTAGATAACCTACAAGGTCCCTTTCAACTCTGTTAATATGTAATCATGGATAAGAGTGGAACTGCCTCTCTAGGAAGCCATTCAGAATCCCGTTTTTACTTCTCTCTTGGAAAATTGTCCTCATGTTGCTCTTGGTGCATTAGGGGGGAGGAGAAAAAAGGGTGGCAGTCGCAACAACCCCCCCTCCCATTAATAAAGCTCCACTCCTTATAGTATTGTGGGTGTCTTCTGATTTTGATGCAGGCCCCAGGCCCGAAGTTGATCCAGATGTGCTGTTTTGACCACACTAACATCTTTCTTCTCTTGCCAGCTCTCAATCCGTTGTGGCAACCACCGATTCAAGGTTTATGTCAACGGCCAGCCTTTCTTCAACTACGCCCATCGTTACCGCAATTTCCCACAGATCAACACCCTGCAGATGGATGGAGACGTGGTCCTTTCTTATATCCAATGCTGAGCATGGGTGGTGGGGAAGGGGAGGGAGAGGGCAGCCCTGGCAGAGACCCTCCATTTTTCCTCTCTTGAGGTCTGCCAGGAAACTCCGAGTCCTGCTGGATTGGTGTAGTCCACATAAAGATTTTAATAAAGATTAAATGCTTAAATTAATTTGGCTTTTTTTGGAACAGCAGTTAATATATAAGCGACAAAATAAAGAGCCAAGACGGGCACTGTTGTATCGTTCACTCTAAGCCATGTTTCCCTGGCTGCCTAAGCCACAATGGGCTACTTTATTTCATTGTTAAATGCATTCTTGAACTCTTGAAAACAAGGATGCAAAAATGAGGCCTGGAGACTTGTTTGACCCTAGAGTTCCCTCCAAAGCTGATAGGAACCAAATTTTGCATCAGCAGCCAAGCAAAATTACCACCTTAGCTTGCAGGTGTCTCAAAGCAAATGAGCACTTGCCGGGATCATATTATCATATGTGGTGGTCGTGTAAAGAAGCAAAGTACTATTGGGTTAAAATACAGACATGGTTAGAGGGAATGCTGCAGCAACATATAGAGTTAAGACCATCATTGGCAACCTTCAGTCTCAAAAGACTATGGTATTGTGCTCTGGAAATTGGTCCTAAAACAGCATCTGTGGGACTAAAAAGGCCAATTCGAGAGTGGCAATCCCTTCCACTATTCTGTCCCCTGCCCAGTCCCCAAATTTTGCTGGTTCCGGGTTAAGACCAGAGATATTTTTATGGGGAATATTACCAGAGAAATATACTATAGTAAAGAGGATACATATTTGATTATTCATATAATAACAGCGGCCAGGATTGTATTTGCACAGAATTGGAAAGCAGATAAAATCCCGTTGGAAGGATAAATTATAAAGAAAATTTTAGAATGTGCAGACATGAACAGATTAACACTGAGAATAAAAGATAAAGAGGAGTCGATGTATTTCAAGACATGGGGAAAATTTTATGATTGGTTAGAAAAGAGATATGAATAAAAGTATGGAGATAAAATAGATAGGGAAAAGATGAAAAAGAGCAAAAATAATTAGAAGAATAGAAACCCAGATGATGCCTAGGTAAAGGAAAAAGGGGGGAAGTGGGGGGGAGGGAAAAAGTGAGATCATTATTAAAATGTACACAAATGATGAAACAGATGTAATTACTAAACAAATAAGAAACTGAAATGAATGATTTTCTTTATAAGCTACCGATTTTGTCATACTGTAATTGTTTTCCCATGCCCTTTCCCATTCTTCTAACTGTATACTGTGCCCGATATTCCTCACCCATGCTATCATCTGCCCTTTGACCAATTCTTCTGCCAAATCATATTCAAGTAAGTATTTATAAATTTTTGAAATTAATTTCCCTTCTTTAGATTCTAATAATTTATCCAATCAGTTTTGTTTTAGGTCTATTCCTCCCTCCTCTTGATCTTTTCTATATCTTATCTTTATTTGTGAATAGGGCCACCAGTCTATTACTATTCCTTGTTCTTTGAGTTCTTCCCTAGTTTTCAATTTCCCCTGTACATCTAATATTTCTCTGTATCTTAACATTTTTTGTTTTGCTAATATATTGGGGTGAGTTATTGCTTCTATTGTTGATAGCCAGCCAGGAATTTTTATATAGTGTTTGCATTTGATTTGTTGCCATGTGTTAATTAAAGATTTCCTGATAGTGTGATTGTTGAAATGTTTGTATATTTTATTTCCAGAGCTCCATATAAATGCATGCCATCCCTTCATTAAGTCGTGTCCTTCCAGATTTAACAGTCTTTGGTTATCCAGGGTTATCCATTCTTTAATCCATGATAGAAGAGAGAGGGAAAGGAGTAGAGAGAGTGGAAGGGAGAAGAGAGGAAAGGAGAGGGAGAGATAGAAGAGAGGGAAAAGGAGAGGAAGAAAAGGGAGGAGAAAGAGGAGTAGGAAAGAGGGTTAGAAAGGGAGGAAGAAGAGAGGAGTGGGGAAAGGGAAGGGGAAGTAGGAAAAAGAAGGAGAGGAAGAACGAAGAAAGGAGGAAGAAATGGAGGAAGGAAGAGAAGGGGGGGAGGAGAAGAGGAGAGGTTGTAGTAAAATAAAGGAGGGTATATGGTAAAAGAGCAGCCCTGAACAACTAAAAATGAAAGTTAAAAGATAAGATGAACGGAAAATGATGGATAAAAGATTGTACATTTAAATATGTTTATGAGAAATAAAAATAAAAACTCTTTGGAAAAAAAAAAGCCAATGAGCTCAACATCCCCTCACACTGACGTCGTAGGTGACGTCAGCAATTTGTGATTGGTCGAATCTATTTACCTCAGTTTTGGCGGGCTTTCTCTGTCTCTGGGCAGATTTTCCTCACTCCCTCAGAGGGCGCCTGATAACCAGAAACATCCAGCAGCCTTTTGTGATGCCTCAGTGTGGCAGTGCCCGTCCACACTCATACCCACACCCACACCCAGACTCACACTCTTCCCAGCTCTACAAGTTGACACACTTCAAAAGGGCATCCCTGCCTTCCTCCTGGGTATCTCCTAGTCCATCTGGGCTTCTCTTCCAATTGGGACCCCCAACCAAAACTCTCTTGGGGACTTCAGGCAGGGGGAGGCCGTGTGATGCCAGCCCTGTGAGGCAGGCAGGCAGGCAGGCAGGGTCACCAATGTCTGCTTGTTAATGTTGCATTCATACGAAAGTTGCAGCCTCAGATCTTGCAAGACTGGCTGGACTTCCTGCCTTCCTCTTCAGCCTGGCCTGAGTTGTTCTGTGGCTGGATTCGGGTCTCTTTCTCTGACCCGACTTGCCTGGGCAGCGGCTCTGACTGGCCCTTCAGCCCCTTTCAGGGGGCAGCTGGAGACCTTGTGCAGGGCAGGCCTTTTTGTGGATGGGCTGAAGCCCCAAAGGAGCTGTGGGGCATCCTTGATTTAACCACAGCCACAAGCATGGCTTACACCCCTTACTCCCTCTCTGCCCTTTGGGGACTTTGCTGGGATCTCCCCCCCCCAATGCAATCCGAAGCATCTCTGGGGCAGTAAACAGGTGCAAGACCATTCTAATTGGGGGGCACACCCATTATGTAAGGGATGCCTTTCACTCCCAGCCAGAACTTCCCTCCTCTTCCTCATTTCTCCCATCACCTGGCATCCCTCAGTTTCCCCTTTGTAAACATGAAGAAGTGAAAAGGATGGAGAATTTATTAAAGGTTTTAGGAGCAACGATCCCAGTGGATCGATAAGACCTCAGATTCCCTTTAGGATCTCAGATGCTGCTCAGCGAACAGTCCTTGAAAGTCTTGCAATTTGGAAATAAGAGGAACCAGCCATGATCTGCTTTTGAATGGGTGAACTTCCTTGCTTTTCTTGCAGACATTTCATTGGCTATCTTGGGAATGAAACCTGTGCAAGAATAAAAGCAGGCTCAAAGGACCTAACAATGCAACCTACACTATGAAAAATTAGATGTCTCTGAAAGCAACCAGAAGTTCAGCTGAAGTAGCTGAAACACACCTCACTGTTTAGCAGAGCTGTCCATCCAGTCCAGTGGTGGGTTGTTCCCTGTTCGCCCCAGTTCTGGTGAATCAGTAGTGGCGGCGGTGGGAGGCTCCGTCCACCCACCCAGACGTCATTGAAAAAGCTCTGCGCATGCGCAGAAGCACCATGCGCTCGCAAAGCAAACCGGTAACACCAGGATTTGAATCTCACTACTGATCCAGTCCATCTTCTCTCAGGGCGGAAAAATACACATATTACATTCAGTCATGCCCCCCCTCCTCACTCTTGGAGGGAGGGGACTTTCTCTATTTTTAGACAGGCTGAAGCGTTAAATGTTGGAGTAGGATCAGGCAAGTAGAGGTCATGGGGCACTTTCAGCCATGTCGTTTCCGTAAATGACTGGCTCAATCGTTCTCAATCGATTTTGTATGGATGGAAAAATTGCAGGAAGATGATGTGAAACCTGAATGATGTTAGGTCTTCACAGAGGGTGCATTTCAGCTTCCGTTTGAGCATGGACGATGGAATAATTGTGCATGATGCAATGGAAGTTCAACATTTCCTTGTAAATCAAGTAACAATGGAGGCATTGGGTTTGGGCAATGAAGCCTGCGGATTAAGATATTAAAATGTGCCAGTGGAGCTGAATAAAGTCACTTAGAAGAACAGCAAGGACCAGAAGAGCTGAAGGGCAACCAAGGAGATGCGTCTCTTTTTAATCTTTGCTTTGACTTTTGCTCTTTCTGCACAGCAGGTAAGGCTAAATTTTGTGGGTTGCAATAACCTTTCAGCTGGAGTGCCTGCAGATAAAACAAGTAAGCATTTTGTTGAGGTTCTCCCCATGCTGTTATTAATATTTCTTGATCAAGGGGTTGAAAATGCAGGCAGAGGGCTTTGCGTACTCAGCCTTTTTAATCACTGGGAATTCCACTGTATCAGTGGTTCTGAATTTAGTTTGGCATCCTGTTCTCTGCATTGGATTTCACAGGGTTCACATTAGCATAAGAATCAAAGATAATAACCTCTTGCTGGATCTACTGAATTGGACCAATAAAGAAGGCTGCACGTTTCTTTGGTTGTTATGAGAAGTTTGAGATGAATAGAAATAAAGGATAGAGCAAAATTCAGAGGTTCATTGGTAGTTAAGCTGTATATCATATCTTGCTATATTACCTATAAACATCTAAGGGGGTGAATCCTAAACGCAAAAGATATGTTGTTTGTTTTCTTTTCAGGATAACAAGAATGACGCTGATGCAGAGTCTATGGTAAGTAAGTTACTTCATGATGTCTCAGAACACAATTAATTCAAGTTTGGGTTTTTTTGGTCCTGTCATTCATACTTTTGGAGAATACAGCCATTCATATGTGTGGGATGTAGTCATGAAACAATCGGAGAAGTCATATATGCTGTTATGTGCTGATCAGACTGATACCTTTCATTTCCCTTGTAGGAAAATGGCAGAGAAATTATGAAAAAAGTTATAGTAAGTACAAAATCACAGAATTGGGAGGGAAGTCTTCGAGTCCAACCCCTTGTTTAAGCAGGAGATCCTATACCATTTTGGACAAATGACTGACCAATTTCTTCTTAAAAGCCTGTGAAGAGGCAAGGCTGTCAGGGTCCAACTGATGCCCTAATTAAAATATTGAGCCTCGAACCAAGCTTAAAAAGAAATCCAGTTATTTATTAGGAGGGTCATGTTGGCACATTTCAAGTGAAGCCAACTCTGACCCCACATAATTTACGCCCCAATCATGACTCTGTTTCCCCCCTCCCCCCAGGGTGTGTCATTTGCCAACGGAGCAATTGTAGAGATCACTCCCCTCCAGCTGCTGTGGGTAACCCTGGGAGACAGCCTTGAGAGAGATAAATCTAGAATGTGGAATTCAATTTTATCATGTAGGAAATGGCTCCGTTTGATAAGTCATATGTTCTCATGTGAGAAGAGAGTTGATACCCTTTTTTCCCTTGTAGAGTGGAATTGATGGGAACACTCTAACAAAATTAATGGTAAATAGCTCTTTCATCCTTTTCTCTCTCTCTCTCTCTTTCTTTCTTTCTTTCTTTCTTTCTTTCTTTCTTTCTTTCTTCTTTCTTCTTTCTTCTTTCTTTATTGTGCCACCCCATCTTGTCCATAGATGACTCTGAGCAGCTTAAAAATATTAAAACTACTATACATTCAAATCATAAAGAAAAAAAAACAACTGTAATAAATACTATTAAAAGATGGGGAGGAGAGCAACCCAAAAGTATCTAAGATGGTAGTGATGGCACGGATGGAGAGGTCCCAGGTGTCTTTTTATCAGAATAGAATTTGATGTGCTTCGATCCTTTGTAGGTATCTTTGAATGATGACGATTTGGACAAATTAACAGTAAGTAGCTTTCTTCATCTTCTGCTTTTTTCTTTTTTTCTTTTGAAGTATTATACTTCTTGCCTGTAATGAAGCTTCCTTGTGTTATAACAGCACTGCCCATTTTATGCAGCCCTATCCGGCTTAGAGAAGTCATATTTTGATAGCATGTCAGAATAGAAGTCATAATTTTTTTTTCTTTTTCTTTGCAGGAATGTATCCAGAGTGTTTGTGAAATGAATGATTTTGTGGTAAGTACCTCTTTGTTTATCCCCTGTTTTTTCCTTGTGAAATGTTGTCCTTTCATGCGATGAAATCCCCCTTTTGTGAGTCTGCTCCCAACTCAGCCTCCATCGCCATTGTCCCCAGAGCATCAAGAAAGAAGGCAAGGCTAAAATCTTGGGCCAGTTTTGAATAAAGCAACTTGAGGCACCTCTTTTCCCTCTAAAATACCCCCACCGCCTGCACTGCTATAAAGCAGGGTACCCAGAAGTGAGGAAGGGTCCACGGGATTATCCATTATTGTTGTTGTTGCTATTATTATTCATAGTACTGTTAGAAGGGAAGCAACCAAGCTCAGAGAGCAGCAAGGAATCCCACAGGTTGTCTGATTACAAGCCAGGATCTTTAACCTAGCAACTATCTTGCAATCCAGCATCCAAATAACCACATTCCATAAAGTAAGATAGAGATCCCCAGCACTGAGACAACCAACAAATTCATACCAACCTACCAGGCATTTGCTGTTAGAATAGCAGTTACAGTATAAAGAAGAAAAGTAAAACATGTAGAAAAAATTAGATATACAAAAATTATCACCATAGAAAAAAACAAGATATACAAAAATGATTGCCCTCTCAGTTAATACTTAGTTGGGTAACCTTTAGCATGAATGACGGCCTTACAACGTCTTCCCATGCAGTGAACCAAGTCTTTTAGTTCTGCAGCTGTTATAACGTGAAACCAAGATTGAATGATTGCTTCTGTTAACTGAGTTTTATTGCTGAGTCGCTTCTGACTAACAAGTTGCTTTAGTCGGTTCCATAGATGTTCAATTGGGTGAAGGTCTGGGCTATTCCCAGGCCATTCCAGCAGTGGAATAGGATTATCTTGAAATGCCCCCCCCCCAAAAGTGGTGTTATTAGCCATCAAACCTCAAAAATACACTTTTCCCAAAAGGTTTCCATAATTTTGGCCATTACTGTAGTGGACTATAAATCATAGCTGTTAAAGCCATATAAGTTATAACTCTGATTCCTAACCCTAACCCCATTTCATTTTGTTGCCTGTGTGATCAAAACCTTTTGGAAACTATCCCTGGAGGAAGTATTTGGCATGGGAAGAGTCCTACAAATTTTCTTTTCTCTGCCTTGTGGTTTTTCTTTCTGCAAAATGCCAAATGGTTTCAGCTAAGATCCAAATTTTGCACTCAAATTGAAGGCTGAGTGGTAAAAAGAGTGTCTTAGTATTCAGATTGGGATATGATTTGTAGAGAAAGTAATCTCTGGCTTTAAGAAATGGGAAGGAGAAGCAAATGATCGTCTAACTCTGTGTAAGTAGAAGGGGTGAGAAAGGGAGTCAGACTAGCTCCAGATTGATATTCTTGTCCTTAAAAAGGAGTAATGAAGGCTGTGGATGGGCTTTCAAGATTCTGCTACTAAATCCAACAGTAATATAGTAGCATTCCTGGAATCCTTGCCATGGTTTTCTTTGACCTTGCCTACCTCAAAGGTGGCTTTACGTGCCTTCTCTGGTGATGTGAAGCCATTCACCTCAATATCCTCCATGGCCCTCAAACGTTCACCAATTAGCTTTAATGGATGCCAGTGGCCCAGGCAACCCCCACCCAGATCTTTCTGGCATAACATAGTTATGAAGGAATCCATAAAAGAGGGTAATGTTTATTTCTCCTTCCTTGCAGGACCTCATGCAGAAGATATTATCTGTTTTTAGGAGAAAAATTCAGGATGATATTCTGATATATCAATTGATGGTAAGTTACACAGTTGAGTTCTCTCATTTCTTACGTGTCTTCTATGTTATCTTTCTTAGTTATGATCTCAGCAGCTCTCTTGAGCCTTACTCCCCTCAAAGGATCTCCAAATATTTCAGGAAGAATTCCAGCAGGAAGCTACTGTATAAACTCTTGGGAACATTTAAAGGAGGGCATTGTGTTGACTATTGTTGGAAGCTGAAAGTGTCCAGCTTCACAGGTGTTCTCTGTGGCTTAGGAGAAAGACTTAAAAGATATTCTCTCCTATATCTTACACCATATACATGTATACATATATATGATAAGATATATTAGAATCAGTGGTGGGTTGCCCCCAGTTTGGACCAGTTCGCAAGAACCTGTAGTAAAACCGGCAGGAGGCTCCACTCACTGACCCAGATATCATCATAGGTGATCTGCATGGGTGTGATGCGAACCGGTAGTAAAGATAAGTAGAACCCACACCTGAATAGAATAGAATAGAAGAATAGAATGGAATGGAATGGAATGGAATGGAATGGAATAGAATAGAATAGAATAGAATAGAATAGAATAGAATAGAATAGAATAGAATTTTTTATTGGCCAAGTGTGATTGGGCACACAAGGAATTTGTCTTTGGTACATACGCTCTCATTGATATATTATCTATATATGATATCTATCTCTATAGATATCATATATATCCATATTAATATTTTAATTAGAATTTCACAATACATGTATAAAAATGAAAAGAAAAATGAAAAGAAATAATAGCATAAAGGTAAAGGTTCCCCTCGCACATATGTGCTAGTTGCTCCTGACTCTCGGGGGCGGTGCTCATTTCTGTTTCAAAGCCAAAGAGCCAGCGCTGTCTGAAGACGTCGTAAAAAAAAAAAAAAAAAAGTCTGAGAACTCTGTTAATTCGGATTTGTTTTTTGGCCCTACCTAGCACTGCCTCTTATGATAACAAATATGTGTTTCCTAACTGGAGGGAAATAACAATTTGTGTTATTTGACAATGATATCTAAATTGGCAGTGATGGCATGGCTACAATAGAGAGATCCTGGGTGTCCTGAATCCTCAGATTTATTTATGCATATTGTGGTTGTGCCAGTGTGGAAGAATAACTGAAAAAAGAAAGGAAAGATAAAAAATATATCAGAACACTAATCATTCATGTTTGGGTTTTTTGGCCTTATCACTCATTCTTATAGTAACAAGTATATATTTCCTATTTGGAGAATGCAGCCATTCATATGTCTGCTGTCCATAGATGGAGAAGTTAGAGAAGTCAGATATGTTATCATGTAAAGATCAGGCTGATACCCTTCATTTCCCTTGTAGAAAAGTGGCAGTGAAATGATGAAAAAAGCTATGGTAAGTACTTCTTGGTTTATCTTGTGGCTTCCCCTTGGGTGATCCCAATCCTTAATTATTCAGGTTCCTGGAGGGTAAAAAGCAATTTATAATCAACCTATGGATTCTTATTTCCACCCACGCTCAACAAACACCAATTCAATACTCGCTGAATTCAAAATTACTCATTGTGAGAACATCTGACCAGAAGTGTGCATCTGAGCAAAAGTGCAGTTACTCTTTGTTTCTGTTGTAGAATGGAATTGGTGAGGAAATGCTAACAAAAGTAATGGTAAGTGTTTTTTGACCAACTTCTCCCCTTTCCTTGTGATTTATTTATTCATTCATTTAATTCCCGTGTGCCACCTATGTTTTCCAGAGATAACCCAGGGTAGTTTAAAAACATGAAAAACAACTGCAAATTAAAATAATAAAGCAAAAAAATAATAACCGTAAAAAATAACTTTAAAGGTGAGGAGAAGGGGAAGACAAAGTACATGGGTTCAGTTGGGTCTTTCCCAACCTCCAGGAGAGGGCAGCCCTCTTTGAAGTCCCCTGCCAGCTGACAGAACCAGGTCTTCAGGTCCTTATGGAAGGTCAAAAGGGTGGGTGTGGATCTCACATTGGGGGCACAATATTCCAAAGAGCAGGAGCTACTGCAGAACAGGCTCTTCTCTTGGACCCCATTAGCTGAAATTCCTTGACTGATGGGGTCTGCAGCAGTGGTGGGATTCAACATTTTTTTACTACCGGTACTGTGGGCATGGCTTGGTGGGCATGGTTTGGCTTGGTGGGTGTGGTGGGGGAAGGTTACTGCAAAATCCCCATTTCCTCCTGATCAGCTGGGACTCGGGAGGCAGAGAATAGATGGGGGCGGGACCAGTCAGAATTTTTACTACCGGTTCTCCGAACTACTTAAAATGTCCTCTACCGGTTCTCCAGAACTGGCCAGAACCTGCTGAAACCCACCTCTAATCTGCAGAATGCCCCCTCTGCTGGCTCAGGTGGAGTAGGCCAAATCTCATGGGGGTGAGAGAGTTCTTCAGATAACCTGAATTACCTTTTTTGCACACAATCAAGCAGCACTTTCGGGATTGTACATCTCCCACACTAAGATTGAGCAGTGAGCAATACCCAAGTTATATATTTAGAAGGATAGTTGTCTTTTTTCGTGATTAAATCTATGATACTCATTCTTTTTTTTTAAAAAAAAAAACTTTTTTTTAATACTTCTACTGATCCCCCCCCCCCAAAGTATGGAGTGTCCAAAAACCTTATTTAAGTACTCAAAGTACTTAAAGTACGGGGTGGATGGAAGAAGTGGTATTTTGAGTACTTAAATAAGGTTTTTGGACTCAGGACATCCTAAATTGTTTTTGAACCACCATTGAGAAGAGAAAGAAAAGAAAAAACTCGGAACACCGTTCATTCATTATGGGTTTTTTTAGTCTTATGACTGAATGGAGGAAAGCAGCAATTCATATCAATGATACCTATGATTGTAGTGATGGCATACGGAGATGGCACACTCCTGGGTGTCTACCATTAGGATAGAATTTGATGCGCTTCGTTCCTTTGTAGGAATCTTTGAATGATGACGATCTTGACAAATTAACAGTAAGTAGTTCTTTCTTCATCTTCTGCCTTTTCTTTGAGCAATATGCTTCTTGCTTTCAATGAAGCATCTTAGTCTTACAATAACACTGACCCCAAACCCAAACCAGTGGTGGGCTGCAGCCGGTTCAGACCGGTTCGGGCAAACCTGCTGAAACCCACCTCTGCCCCAACTGCTTTTTCTGTTAATGGCATGCAGCTGAAATTCAGCACAAGGATTATTTCACTGGATTCTCTGTGAATTCTGTGAATGTGGAAGAACATTGAAAAGAGAATGAAACAAACCGTGTTCCAGAACACAGTTCATCCACGTGTTCCTTTTTCACCCTATCACAATCTGTTCTGATAAGAAATGCATGCCTCTCGTCTGTAGCATGGGTGGAGCGAATCTCATGTAGGTTATCAAAGACGGCATATATCTTTTCTAATAATCGCATGGTTATTTCATGGTTTCCAAAGATTTATATAGCTGCCCATCTTAAACAGCAGAATCCGGGTTAGAGAAGTCATGTATGATATCATGTCAGAATAGAAGTAATATACTGTATTTTGTTTTCTTTGCAGGAATGTATACAAAGCGATTGCGAAGTGGATGATTTCCTGGTAAGCATCTCTTCGTTCATCCTCTGTTCTTCCCTTGTGAAATACCCTCCCTGCATGGAATCAACTCCCCCTATGGCCCAGGGGTGAAATGCTCCCGGTTCGGACCGGCTCGGGCGAGTAGGTAGCGATGGCGGCGGGCAGTTTGGAGAACCGGTAGCAAAAATCCCTGGCCCCGCCCCCCATGCCGAGCTGAGCCGCGCAATCATCAGAGCCTTTTTTTCCCCCTTTTAAATGCCTCTGACAAGCCAAGCTCTGACAATCCCAGCTGAGTTGCCTGCTGATCAGGCAACTCAGCTTGGATCGTCAGAGCCATTTAAAAGAAAAAAAGTTGTTTTCTTTTAAATGGCTCTGATGATCCCAGAGTTTTAAAAACCCTCTGACGATCAGGCAACTCAGCTGGGATCGTCAGAGCCTTTTGAAAGCATTTTTTTTACATGGTTTTACATGTAAAAAATGGTTTTAAAAGTAAAAAAAAAATTGACCACGCCCACCCAGTCATATTACCACCCCCCACCAAGCCACGCCCACAGAACTGGTAGTAACAAATTTTAGATTTCACCACTGCTATGGCCACTGTCCCCGGAGCCTCAAGAAGAAGGCAAGGCTTAAAATTTTGGGCTAGTTTTTACAAAGCAGTTTGACTCCCTGCTTTACCATTTAAAATACACCCATGTTGGAAACTATCCTGGGGTGGTGGGGGAAATGTTTGGCATGGGAAGGGTCCCTACAAATTTTCTTTTCTCTGTTTTTGTGATTTTTGTTTGTGCAAAATGCCAAATGGTTTCAACTCAATTACGAGGTCCAAATTGCACTCAGATTGAAGACTGATTGGGTCAAAAGAGGGTTTTAATATTCAGGTTGGGTTATGGCTTGTAGCAAGGGTGCTATTCAGCAGGTTCTGACAGGTTCTGGAGAACCGGTAGCGGAAATGTTGAGTAGTTTGGAGAATCGGCACATACCACCTCTGGCTGGCCCCAGAGTGTGGAGGGAATGGAGATTTTGCAGTATCCTTCCCCTGGAGTGAGGTGGGAATGGAGATTTTGCAGTATCCTTCCCCTGAGAAGGGGAAGGAGAAGAAAATGATCATTTAACTCTGTGTAAGTAGAAAGGGAGTCAGACTCGCCTCAGCTTGACATTCTTGTCCTTAAAAAGGCGTAATGAAGGCTTTGGATGGGTTTTCAAGATTCTGCTACTAAATCTGACAACAATATAATGGCATTTCTGGAATCCCTGTTATGGCCTTTCCTTGACCTTGGCCTACCTCAAAGGGCTGATGTGGCCTTTTGTAATTTTTCTGATGATGTGAGGCCATTCACGTCAATATCCTCTATGTTCCTCAAGGCCTCACCAGTTTATTTTAATGGACTGCAGTGGCCCAGGCAAGACCCACCCCGATGCTGATATCATTCACTGGAACAAGGTAGCTACGAAGGAATCCATAAAAGAGGTTAATGGTTTTTCTCTTTCCATGTAGGACCTCATGCAGAAGGTTTTAAATGTTCTTAAGGGAATATCGCATGGTGAAAAAGCGATATATCAATTGATGGTAAGTTGATACATACTTAACTTCTCTCATTACTTCTATATCTTCTACGTTATCCTTTCTTAAAAGGCTATTTTCAAGAGCAGATCTCTTGAGCCTCACTCCCCACAAAAGGATCTCCAGGCATTTCAAGAAGAATTCCAGCAGGAAGCTATAAGCTCTTGGGAACATTGCAAGGAGGGCATCCTTTTGATTATTGTTGGAATTTGAAAGTGTCTGGCTTCACAGGCCTTCCCTCTGGCTTAGGAGAAAGGGTTAAAAGAGAATGTCAGCAAACCTTTAGAAGAGCTGCATAATCATGTTTCTTTTAAGAAAAAAAATCACAAAAACTCTTTGTAATAGCAAGTCTCAGAATGCTATTAATTCATGTGTCTTTTATCACTCCATTCCCACTTCCTGCCTAGAGCAAACCGGTTCTCTGTTGCTATTAAAGTGGGCCTGCCCACCCACCCCCAGCAGTGGTGGTTGATCCCGGTTCACACCGGTTCACAAGAACCGGTACTAAAAATTTGTAGTAGTTCGGAGAACTGGTAATAACATTGGCTGGCCACGCCCCCGAACTGGTCCCCGGCCCAGTCGCTGCTCACTTACCCCGCCCACCTCATCAGAGGCTTTTTTTTTTTTACTTTTAAAAGCATTTTTTCTACAACCTCTTTGGCCGAAAAAATGCTTTTAAAAGTAAAAAAAAAAGCCTCTGATGATCACGCGGCTCAGCTGGGATCGTCAGAGGCTTTTAAAAGCATTTTTTCTACAACCTTTTCAGCCAAAGAGGCTGTCGGAAAAAAAAATGCCTTTAAAAGCCTCTGGCGATCCCAGCTGAGTTGCCTGATCAGCAGAGGCTTTTCAAAGCATTTTTTCCTGCAGCCTCTTGCAGCCTCTTAAGATTGTAAAAAAAATGCTTTTAAAAGTAAAAAAAAAAAGTTGGCCACGTCCACCCAGTCACATTACCCCCAAGCCACACCCACAAAATAAGCCACACCCACAGAATTGGTAGTAAAAAATTTTAGAACCCACACCTGACCCCTGGGTTATGCTGACCTTTATTTCTGCTTCTGAAGCCCAGCTGATCAGGGGTGGCAGATTGAATTGGCCCTCCTCAGCTGTTTTCCTTGCTCCTTTCCTTGTTTGCAACGCAAAACTTCAATTTTATGGAAGCTGCGCATGCGGGCTCACCGAACCGTTTGTTCAACTGGTAGGATCCCACCCCTGGATATAGATGAAACTGATAAATGGCACTGAAGTTGTCTGTGATGGTATATTTAGTGATTGTTATCTTATTAGAATAGAACTGATGCACATTGTTTCCTTTGTAGAAGGCATTCATCAAACAAGGTCCTCTGGCTGAATTGGAAGTAAGTAGCCTTGATGTATCTTGTTTCATTTCTTCCTTTAATTTCTTCTTGCACCTGAACCAGTATCTCCAGTTAGCCTTAGAATCAGCTGAATCAGAGTGCAAATGGGTGTGGAACCTTTTTGGGACTGCTGAAAGGAGTGTGCTACAGAGAGGAGATAGGTGTGTCATATCCCTTCCCCACTGTTGAGAGAGGACTGTTCAATTTTAACATAGATGGCCACTTTGACTTTTCTTTCAGACCAGTGGTCTTCTTTGTCCAGAATGTGGACTTTGAAAGACCTTTTTCTTTTAACCTTTTAAACCTTTAGTTAATTAACTAAAGAAATATCTTTTAAAAATCCCTAACTCTTTGTAAAAGCTGATTACTAATATGTTTTTTCCCCAAAAAAATTGCCCAAAGCTTTTGTTCATGAAAACAAGATCAAATCCTGAAAGAACAATCTTAATTAATGTGTGTTTATTTGGCCTTCATCATTTCTATGTTAGGATAAGAAATCATATTCCCTATCTGAGGAATAAAATAAAAATACAATTATCGATTTAAATATATGATATGGTATATAAGGGACCCGGTGGCTCAGTGGCTAAGACGCTGAGCTTGTCGATCAAAAGGTCGGCAGTTCAGTGGTTCGAATCCCTAGTGCCGCGTAATGGGGTGAGCTCCCGTTCCTTGTCCCAGCTTCTGCCAACCTAGCAGTTCGAAAGCACGTAAAAAATGCAAGTAGAAAAATAGGGACCACCTTTGGTGGGAAGGTAACAGCGTTCCGTGCGCCTTTGGTGTTTAGCCATGCTGGCCACATGACCACAGAGACGTCTTCGGACAGCGCTGGTTCTTTGGTTTTGAAATGGAGATGAGAACTGCCCCCTAGAGTTGGAAACGACTAGCATATATGTGCGAGGGGAACCTTTACCTTTACCTTATGCTATATAATGTTGAAGATGGCAATGATAGCATGGAGAGAGAAGACGTGTGTTATTGTACTGGATTATTGGAAAGTAGCCATTTCCTTGGATCACTGCAGTTGTGTTGTGTCTGTTGGTTGATGTTGCTTATTTCTATTGGTTCAAATGGCTTTATCTACTTTGCTCAAACCGTCCCATTGACGTTAATACCCTCTATGATGTTCACGGAGTCTTGATTTGAACACAGAACAGTGGCCCAGGCCTGATGCACAAATATCTTGGTAGGGTATCCTGTCATCACCATAATTATAAATATATCCTTTCATTTCCATTTTAGAGTATATTCTCCAATAGTGACAAAATGGTAAGTAAATTCTGTTTATTTTCTGCCATTGCTTTTTTTCATATTCTTCTTTAATCTGAACCAATCACCCCTCTTATCTTTATTCTGCTGGTTGGAAAGTCAGTGTTGTGTTTTGCAAGAATGGTCATTGGTTTGGTTCATGGTTTCCTGTCTTCCAGGCTCTCCCTTACCATCAACCTGTCTCTGGTGGACTCCATGCTGGGATGTCTATATATGTGCAAGGCACGGTGCCCAAAGACAGCAAGAGGTAACGTTCTTTTGGGGGCTCATGGGAAGGGCAAGAGGCTACCTTATTCAAAACAATAGTAAAAAGGTGTTTATGTTATTAAGGGTAGTTTATATCAGCGGTCACCAACTGGTGGTCTGTGGGCCACTGGTGGTCCGCGAGAAAATTTTGGTGGTCCACAGAAAAATTATTTGCATTTTTTATATTGCACTAAATCAGGCGTCCTCAAACTACGGCCCCTGGGCTGAATACATGCAATGAACGTTTGTGTTGCTGCAGAGAGTCTCCCCCTTCAGGGTCTTCTTGTGTGGATCGGAGGGGAGCAGAAATTCTGACTTGGGATTTGCTTCAGCCTCCTGGTGTGGGGCTTTGGGCGAAGTCTGGAGGGAAGTGCTGCGGGTGGCAAAGAGCCGGAGGGCCTCGTTCCAGTAGGACTGCATCATGGCCTGGAACTGGCTGATCATCTCAGACCTCTGAGCCTCTAGGCACTGATACCTGATCTTGTACTCCGCAGGTATTCCCCTTGCTTGGAAAGCCTATGCTCCTAGTCCTCAATGAGGTACTTCTGCTGAGCCTCTTTCTCGGTCAGATCCAATTTGAACTGAGCTGTTTTGCCAACTCTTTCTCATGGTGGCTGCTTAGCTCTAACAACTGCTTCCTGTTGCGGCCCTAAGGAGCCCGGGTGGGGAGGCGAGGAGTGACCGGGCGGGGAGGGGCAAGTAGAGGCCGGTGAGGCACCCCTCGATGTGAGTGACATTGAGTTGACCATGCCCACCCAGTCACATGACCACCTAGCCACACCCACCCAGCAGGTCATTAGGCAGATCATATTAGTGGTCCGTGGGATTTATAATTATGAATTTAGTGGTCCCTCAAGTCCAAAAGGTTGGTGACCCCTGGTTTATATAATCCAAAAAAGGGATGTGGTGGCTCAGTGGCTAAGACGCTGAGCTTGTCGATCGAAAGGTCGGCAGTTCGAATCCCTAGTGCCACGTAACAGGGTGAGCTCCCATTACTGGTCCCAGCTTCTGCCAACCTAGCAGTTCGAAAGCATGTAAAAAAGGCAAGTAGAAAAATAGAGATCACCTTTGGTGGGAAGGTAACAGTGTTCCGTGCGCCTTTGCCGTTTAGTCATGCTGGCCACATAACCCCGGAGACGTCTTCGGACAGCGTTGGCTCTTTGGCTTTGAAACGGAGAAATAGCACCGCCCCCTAGAGTCGGGAACGACTAGCACATATGTGTGAAGGGAACCTTTATCTTTATATACCGTATTTTTCGGAGTATAGGATACACCTTTTTCCCCCCTAAAAGGGGGTGAAAATTTGGGTGCGTCTTATACACCAAATGTAACTCTCTGGCCCCCACCCTCTGGCCTCTGCCTCCCAGCAATTTACTTCCTTGCAGCAAGCAGCAAGAAGAAACAGCCCATTTCAGCTTCAGCACAGCCTAATTAGCACAAGTTGATTGTCCGTTGGATTGGCCTTCTGACTCTCAGCTGTTTCAGGCTGCAGGGATTGCCATTGCCTATTGCTGCGCGGGCCTCCGCTGCTTGCTGCAAAGAGATAAATTGCTGGGAGCAGATTTTTTTTTCTTGTGCTAATCAAGCTATGCTGAAAACAAAAATGAAAGTAAAGCAGGCTGCTTGCTGTTTGCTGCAATGAGACAACATTGCTGGGAGGCAGAGGCAGATTTCTTTTTCCTGTTTTCCTCACCAAAAAAGGTAGGTGCGTCTTATAGTCCGGAGCCTCTTATACTCCAAAAAATACGGTAATCCCAAATCTATGCCAAAATTAAAACCTTTCTTAACTCTTTGGGCAGTTCCACTTCCTGCTTCTTCCAACTTCAACTAAGCCATGAGGACTAGGAACATGATTCTCCTCTTCAAGCAAAAACTCAGCAATCTAGCTTTAGGGCAAAGGAGAAGGGGCAGGGGCATAATTCTCCTCTGATATTCCTGCACCTCCTGTTTAATTTTCCTCTTCTTTTTTCCTCATTCTCTTCCAGATTCCGGGTGGACTTTGCCCGTAGCCAGGGAAAACAGGCCGACATTCTCCTGCACATGAGTCCTCGCATTAATGAGGAGAAAATTATGCTTGCCACGTTTCTGAATAGGAGGTGGGGAAATGGAGAGACACACAAGATGTCCTTGCAAAAGAGCGAGCATTTCGAGATGATCTTCTTTGTCAATGGGGCTGGTTACCAGGTTGGTACACCTGACAGAGGCTCCTTTGGGACTCCAGGTGCCTCTTTGTTTCCCCCAACAGAATTTGCCATTTGTCTGGAATGAACCACGAATAATAGTAACTTCCCCAACTTGATATCTTCCAGATAGGGTTTAAGTGATGTAAAGGTAGACCTTATTTAATGAACTACAACTGGGACCAGCAACTTAGTCATTAAGTGAAGTGCTTGCTAAGTGAATCCGTGACTGTGTTTATGAATCGGACCTCAGCTTTTCTTTGCTTTATATTTCTGTGAAGGTTGTAAATTCCGGGATTGGTTGCAAAGTTACTATTTTATCATTGCAAGCAGTCACTAAAGGAGGAGCTAAATGGAAAATATTTTGACCCAGGAGGCAAAAAGTATACAGTAGAACCTCTGGCCATGGACGCTTCTGATCATGACCAAATCGATTTTTTTTAATCTGGTCACGAACACATACTCGGGTGGCGATCAAACACAGCCGCGGCCGATTTCCCCTTCTGCGCCATTTTTTTTGTAAGCACCAAAGAACAGTGACCTTATGTGGCCACTGCATTAATCTTGCATTAATTTTGGTTAGGTTCGGATCACGACCAAATCGGGTTGCGACCAAAGTTATGGAATGAATTACGGTCGTGACCAGAGTTCTACTGTATTGGTGAAATAAACGCCTCTCCATTTTTACATGTATACAAATCCTTTCAGTTTGCCCTCTGACAGATCCTGGTGAACGGGAGCCTCTTATGCACCTTCAAGCACAAAATGCACCCACAACGTGTGCGGGACATTCGTGTGGATGGAGAACTGAAGCTTCAATTTCTGACTGTGATGGGAGGACAAATGATGGGCAACTTGGTAAGTGTTTCATAAGAGAGTGTTTCAGTGCTACTAAGAGGCTGAACAATTTACAGTGAACAAAGAAATGTAAACAAAGCAGTGGTGCAATGGCCTAAAGGCGGAGCTCTCATCTTACAATCAGGAGGCTGTGAGTTCCATCCTAGATAGAGGCAGATATTTCTCTCTCTGAGCATACTGAGAATATATCTGCTGAACAAAACTCTGCATTGGCAACAGGAAGGGCATCCAGCCATTAAAAAAGATGTGAAGGTCAGAAGTGGATGGTTGAGCATCCTCAATCATCCCGCCTCTCCCTGGATAGATCCACAGAGTCTTGCATGGGTCCAGTAGGTGGCTCAGCAGCTAAGACACTGAGCTTGTCGATCAGAAAGGTCGGCAGTTCGGCGGTTCGAATCCCTAGTACAGGTCTCCTGCGTGAGCAGGGGGTTGGACTAGATGACCTCCAAGATCCCTTTCAACTCTGTTACAGTTACTAACCAACTAAAATGGATTCCTCTGTGCCAGGAGCTTGGTCAGTTGTAATCTTTCAGGGAAAGGTTGTGCAAACTGCCGAACAAATTCAGTAAATCATTGATTTGATTCATTGTTTTCTGTCTTCCAGGCTCTCCCTTACTATCATTCTGTCCCTGGTGGACTCCAACCTGGGACGTCTGTATATATGCAAGGCATAGTGCGCAAAAATGCCAAAAGGTAACGTTTCTTTGGGGGCTCACAGGAAAGGGGAAAATACTACCTTGCTCAAATAAGATTATTAAACTTATTTGAGCAAGGTAGTAATAAGATTATTATATTTTTAAGGGCAGTTTATAAAATGCAAATTCTCTGCTAGGAGTAAATCTTTTCTTAATTCTTCGGATAGTTCTACTTCCTGCTTCTTCCAGCTCTAACTAAGCCATGAGGCCTAGGAACTTGATTTTTTTTTTCCTCAAGCAAAACCCCAGCATTCTACAGATTCTAACTTCAGGGCAAAGGAGAAGGTGGGGGGAACAGCGAGAACTCTACTCTGAGATTCCCGAATCTCCTATTTGAGTTTCTTCTCTCTCTTCCAGATTCCGGGTGGATTTTACCTGTAGCAAGCGTAAGACGGCTGACATTCCCTTCCATTTCAACCCTCGCTTTGAATATGAGAAATTTGTGCTCAACTCGTTTCAGGCCAGTAGGTGGGGCGATGAAAAAAGTTGCAAGATGCTCTTGCAGAAGGGCGAGTATTTCGAGGTCATCTTCGTAGTCACAGAGGCCGAATACCAGGTTGGTACCCATGAGAAGAGCTCCTTTGGGCCTGCAGGGGCCTCTTCGTTTCACCCCCCAGGTTTCACCCTTTGCCTGGAATGAACCATGAATGTATTTAATACCGACTTTCCCAACTCAATAACTTCCAGAATGTACAGGTAATGTACAGGTAGTCCTTGTTTAGCGACAACTGAGGCCAGCATCTTTTTCATTACATGATGCAGTCACTAAGTGAAACAATGATTGTATTTATCATAAGACTTCAGCTTTTTTATGTTTTGCAATCCTGTGAAGGTTGTAAATGCTAGGATTGGTCACAATTTACTATGTCATCCCTGTCAGTAGGGGGTTTCAAAACCCGTCGCTACTGGTTCGCTCGTGGGTGCGCGCTCACTTGCGCATGCAACGTTTCTCTGCATGCACAGAAGCATCTGCGTGGGTGGGCGGAGCCTCCCGCCACCGTCGCTACCAGTTTGCCCGATCCGGGGTGAACCGGTAGCAACCCACCACTGATCCCTGTCCTGACTGCAAACAGTCATTAAATGAGGACTACCCGTAGCTGAAGGGAAAACATTTTGATTCAGGGGAAAAACGGTTATACTGGCCTCTGCCTATTTATATGTACATATTTTGACCTTTTTGTGTCCTTCTATATCCATTCAGCTTTGGGGGAGAGATGTGTTCCTGGCAAGAATAAACAGTTTTTTTTTTTTCTGGAAAATTTTTTTTATGAATGATCCCAATTGAAACTTGATCCCTCTGACAGATAATCGTGAACAAGAAGCCCGTTTGCAGCTTCCAGCACAGAATGCCACCAGAAAGAGTGCAAGGCATTGAGGTTGAGGGAGACCTGGAGCTGCAATCCCTAACCATGATGGGAGGCTCAGTAATGGAGAACACAGTAAGTGTTTGTTACGGGCCAGTCGGGACCTCCTGATTTATTTATTTATTTATTATTTTATTATAAAATATCTCCGAAAGGAGAAGGGCGGTATAGAAATCTGAAAAATAAATAAATAAATAAATAAATAAATAAATAAATAAATAAATAAAAATAAATAAATAAATAAATAAATAAAATAAAATAAATAAAATAAAATAAAATAAAATTAAATTAAATTTATATACCGTCCTACTCCCGAAGGACTCAGGGCGGTGAACAGTCAAAAAATAAAACACATAGATTACAAAATTTAAAAGACAGTATAAAACTACATTAAATAATTTGGCCGGGACAAATTAAAAACACCCCCAATGGTTAAGACAAATTTAAAATTTACAATTTAAAAAGGGAAAGTTAGGCCAGGCCAGCCTGTTGAAATAGAAAGGTCTTGATGGCGCGGCGGAAGGTGCATAGATCCGGGATCCTCCATATCTCGGGGGGGAACTCATTCCAGATAGCAGGTGCCCCCACAGAGAAGGCTCTCCCCCTGGGGGCCACCAGTCGACACTGTTTGGCCGACGGCACCCGGAGGAGCCCCTCTCTATGAGAGCGTACTGGCTGGTGAGAGGCTACTGGTGGCAGCAGGTGGTCCCGTAAATATCCAGGTCCTAAGCCATGGAGCGCTCTAAAGGTGGTAACCAAAACCTTGAAGCGCACCCGGAAGACCACCGGGAGCCAGTGCAGCTTGCGCAGGAGAGGTGTTACATGGGAATGCCACGTCGCTCCCATAACCACCCGCGCGGCCGCACTCTGCACCAGTTGGAGCCTCCGGGTGCTCCTCAAGGGAAGCCCCATGTAGAGAGCATTACGGTAGTACTGATCTTGATCTCTCTTTGGAAAATGATTCTGGGCTGATTCCATCCCCAAGTGGCTACTTCCTCTGTCTCCCCTCCAGTCATACATCTTTCCTGGCCCCTAAGAATCGCTGCCCCTCGGGTGGTCCTCAGTGCTCTTGGCTTACGGACTCATAATGGCTGGTTTGAAAGTCGAAGTTGTGTTTTGTAATAAAGTCACTGAGTTTGGTTCATCATTTTCTGTTTTCCAGACTCTCCCTTATTATCAACATGTCCCTGGTGGACTCCATCCGAGGATGTATGTATATATGCAAGGCGCAGTGCCCGAACCCAGCAACAGGTAACATGCTTTTGGGGGCTCGCAGGAAGGACAAGAGGCTACTTTACCCAGAACAGTTGTAAGATTTTTAGGTTGTTAAGGAAAGTTTACATAATCCCATTTCTATGGCAATATTAAAGCCTTTTTTAATTCTTCAGAAAGTTCCACTTCCTGCTTCTTCAAACTCCAACTAAGCCATGAGGGTTAGGAACTTGATTCTTCTCTTCAAGCAAAAATGCAGGAACCTACAGATTCTAGCTTCAGGGCAAAGAAAAGAAAAAAAGAAAAAGAAAAAGGGAGCGGGTCAGAATTGTACTCTGAGACTTCTATACCTCTCATTTAATTTTCCTCTTCATTTTCTCCCCTCTCTCTTGCAGCTCCTGGGTGAACTTCAATGTGGACTTTGCATGTGGCCAGCATAAGGGAGCTGATGTTCTCTTCCACTTCAACCCTCACTTTAATGGGGGCAACGTTGTACTCAACACACTTCAGGCTGGCAGGTGGGGAAAGGAAGAGAAACACCAGAATCCCTTCCGAAGGGGCGAGCATTTTGAGGCCATCTTCATGGTCACTGAGGCTGGATACCAGGTTGGTACATGTGACAGAGGCTCCTTTGGGACTGCAGGGACCTCTTTGTTTCCCCCTCAGAATTCACCCTTTGCCTGGAATGAGCCACAAATATATTTAATGTCAACCTTCCCAACTTGATATCTTCCAGTTAGGGTTTAAGTGATGTTCAGGTTGTCCTCGTTTAGTGGCAACTGTGGTCATCATCTTTGTCATTAAGTAATGCAGTTGCTAAGTGAAACTGTGATCGTGTTTATGATCAGAGTTCAGCTTTTTTTGCTCTACAGTCCTGTGAAAGTTGTAAATGCCAAAACTCGTCACAAAATTACTATTTCAGCACTATCCTAACCGCAGACAGTCACTAAATGAGGATGACCTGCTGTTGAAGGGAAAACAATTTGGTTCAGGGGAAATAAAATGGGTATCAGTGATGAAATAAAGGCCTCTCCCTTTTTAAATATACATTTTGACTCTTTTGACCCCTTCTATGGCCACCCTGCTCAGCTTTGGGGTGGGATGTGTTTTTGACAGGAACTTCCTGCAAAGAAAATGGATGATCCTAATTGAGACTTGATCCCTTTGGCTTTGCCCTCTGACAGATCCTGGTGAACGGAAACCACTTATGCAGCTTCAGGCACAGAATGCCACCAGAAAGTGTGCAGGGCATCTGTGCCAATGGAGACCTGAAGCTGCAATCTCTGATGGTGATGAGAGAACCAACGATGGGGAACATGGTAAGTATTTGTTATGGGAAAATTGGCATCTCCTGATCCTTGATCTCTCTTTGGCAATTGATTCTGAGCTGATTCAATCGCCAGTTGCTCTTCTTGTACACCTTTCTTGCCCCTTAAGAATGGCTGCCCCTTTTGCATGCTAGCAAAGATAACCATCCAAGACAGTGGTGAAATCTGAACCAATTTGTGCTATGTGCACGCATGCGCAGTGCATGCCAAACATGCACTGCATGCCTGCACATGCATGCCAAACGTGCGCTGCACACACATGCACAGTGCACACCAAAAGGAGGCTTGGGAAGGTAAGTAGAGCAACAAAGGGGGGGGGATCAGCTGTGCCGCGCGATTTAGATTCACTAGATTTCCTGCTTTCTCGCGATTTTAAATCGTGGGGCATAGCTGATCATCAGAAATATCGGTTCAGAGGAACTACTGAACTACTTAAACTACTGGTTCGCGTGAACCGGTGTGAACTGGTAGCCTTTCACCGCTGATCCAAGGGTGATACTAGGACCAAACACTGAAAAGAGAGCCAATTTATCCCAGGCCAAGATCCTGTGCTTCCCCCTTGCAGATGTCCATAAAGTAGAATTACTCAACCTGGCAATTTTAAGATGTGGGGCCTCAACTTCCCAGAATGGCTTAGCAGGCACCCACACATCCATTCCTTATTAGCAAAGGGGGAATGCCAGAGGTGCGTAGTGGCTGAATCTCTTCAGTCTCATCATTAGAAGTTTGTTGTTTTCTGCACTGCAAAGCCAGACTCTGAGACATGGGATGATAACCCATGAGAGAAAAGAAAATATTTGTCACTTGTTTCTGAACAATAAATTGGTCAAACTTCCCACATTTCTTTGGGGTTTGATTCTCCTCCTTTTGAACATAATTCCTCCCACCAGAAATGTGCAGAAAAAGGCAAACTCTCGCTTGGTCTCACCAGCCTGTCCCTCACACTTGCAAAGTTTCTTCTTTCCTTAGAAGCTCCTCCAGTGCACGAAGAGATCTGATAAGAGGCTGGCAATCCAGCCAGTCTTGCTCAATCCAATGATCACCCATAGAGTTAAAACAGAACCGGTCCATGGCTGCACTTCTGGTGCTTCCTTCACATCCTCCTTCCCCTGCCTCATTGGGGGGATTAATCCTTAGCAGAGACCCTCTCAGGAGATCTTCATTTGACTCAGAAGCCACATGGAAAGGCTGATACAAGACAGGAATGGTGGTTGGCTGGCTGGAAAGTCAGAGTTCTGTTTTGCAATAAAGTCCTTGGTTTGGTTCATCATTTTCTGTTTTCCAGGCTCTCCCTTACCATCATTCTGTCCCTGGTGGACTCCGTCCTGGGATGGCTGTGTACTTGCAAGGCACAGTGCTCAAACACATCAAAAGGTAACATGCTTTTAGGGGCTCACAGGAAAGGAAGATGCTATCTGACTAAAAAAAAAGAATAGTGATAAGATTATTATGTTCTAAGGGTAGATTATATAATCCCAATCCTTTGCCAAGATTAATTCTTTCGATTGTTCCACTTCCTGCTTCTTTCAACTCCAGCTAAGCCATGAGGGCTAGGAATTTGATTCTTCTCTTCAAGCAAAATACGAGTATCGTACATATTTTTAGCTTCAGGGCAAAGGAGAAAGAAGGGCCAAACCTGTGCTGTTTCTGCACCCCCCATTTAATTTTCCTTTCCTTTTTTCCTCTCTCTCTTCCAGTTTCTGGGTGACCTTCCAGGTGGAGTTTGCTTGTGGCCAGCATAAGGAGGCTGACATTCCCTTCCACTTGAAGCCTCAGTTTATTGTGGACAAAGTTTTGCTCAACACATTTCAGTCTGGCAAGTGGGGAAAGGAAAAGAAACACAAGAATCCCTTCCGAAAGGGCGAGCCTTTTGAGATCATCTTCGTTGTCACAGAGGCGGGATACCAGGTTGGTATGCATGAGAGCATCTCCTTTTCGACTGCAGATGTCTGTTCGTTTCACCCCCAGAATTCACCATTTGTCTGTAATTCCAAAGATGCTGTTCAAAAGGCAGCTGGACTTTCCTGGGGTTTTTTTCCTCCTTGAGAACATTTTGCTTCTAATCCAAGAAGCTTTTTCAGTTCCTTCTGCAGAACTGAAGAAGCTACTCAACAGTAACAGTAACAGAATTGAAAGGGACCTTGGAGGTCATCTAGTCCAACCCCCTGCTCATGCAGGAGACCTGTACTAGGGATTCGAACAGTGGTGGGTTTCAAATTTTTTTACTACCAGTTCTGTGGGTGTGGCTTGGTGGGAATGGTATGGTTTGGTGGAAGTGGCATGGTTTGGTAGGCATGGCTTGGTGGGCGTGGCAGGGGAAGGACACTGTAAAACCTCCATTCCCTCCCCAATCCAGGGGAAGGTTATTGCAAAATCCCCATTTCCTCCTGATCAGCTGGGACTCGGGAGGCAGAGAATAGATAGGGGTGGAGCCAGTCAGAATTTTTACTACCGGTTCTGCAAACTACTCAAAATTTCCGCTACCGGTTCTCCAAAACTGGTCAGAACCTGCTGAAACTCACCCTGGATTCGAACTGCTGAACTGCCGACCTTTCTGCTCAACCAGCACAGTCTCTTAGCCACTGAGCCACCTAGTCAGGCTTCTTGGATGAGAAGCGAAATGTTTCCCAGGAAAAACAAGGAAGCCTTTTAGTTGCCTTTTGAAAAAGCACCTTTGAGACAGCCATGACCTGGATGACTGAAAATCTCCATAGACATTTATCTGTAATGAACCACAAATGTATTTTCCAGCTAGATATCTTCCATATAGGGTTTAAGTGATGTACAGGTAGTCCTTGTTTTGCAACAACTGGCACCAGCAACATAATCATTAAGTGATGGGGTTGTTAAGTGAAGCCATGACTTTTTTGATCAGACTTCAGCTTTTATTTTTTCTGCAATCCCTGTGAAGGTTGTAAAGGATTGGTTGCAAAGTTACTATTTTATCGCTGTCCTAACTGCAAATAGTCACTAAATGGGAAGGACCTGTAGCTGAAGAGAAAACATTTTGGTCCAGCAGGGAGAAAACACATATTGGTGAAATAAAGGCCTCTCCCTTTTTACATGTACATATTTTGACTTTTTTGACCCCTTGTATCGACACTCTGCTCAGCTGTGGGCTGTGGGCTGTGTTCCTGGCAGGAATAAACAGTTCCCCTCCGCCCCACTCCCCGCCCCCCTACAAACAAGATTGATGATCCCAACTGAGACTTGATCCCTCTGGTTTTATCCTCTGACAGATCCTGGTGAACGGGAGCCTCTTCTGTACTTACAAGCACATAATTCCACCACAAAGCATACAGGTCATCAGTGCCAGTGGACACCTGGAGCTGCAGTCTCTGATTGTGATGGGAAGACCAGTGATGGAGAACACAGTAAGTGTTTGCTATCCACAAATCATCACCTCCTGACCCTTGATCTTTCTTTGGGAATTGATTTTGGGTTGCTTCAATCTCCAGGTTGCCACTTTCTCTTTCTCCCCTGCAGTCGCTCTTCTCATAAAACTTTCTTCACCCCTAAGAATGGCTGCCCTTCTTGATTTACGATTCTGCTTGCTATAAAAAATAACTATCTGAGGTTGATACCTGGACGGACAACTGAATAAGGGGCAAATTTACCGGATCTTCCCCTTGCGAATGTCCATAAAGCAGAGTTACTCAACCTGGCAGTTTTAAGAAGTCTGCCCTCAATTTAGGAGATGCCCATGCATCCTTATTAACAAAGGGGAACTCCAGAGAGTGTGTAGTTGCTGAACGCGGCAACCTGCCTTTTCAGTCACAAGATTAGAAGTCTATCACTTGTGTTTTCTCAACTGAAAAGCCAGATTCTGAGGTGATAACCTTCTGTGATCCATTCACAAAAAAATGGTTGGGCCAAGGCCATGGTGGACTATTTGACGGTGCAAATACCTTTCTATGTTTATGCAGAACAAAGGTGACAATTCCCAATTGAGTCTTATGTGTTGAGTTCAGTTGCTTGTCCTGATTGCGGACACAGACAAAGATAATATGAGAGAGAGAGAAAGAGGGAGTTTCTTGGGCGATAGTCAGTTTACCGTGATGCTGAACAATTTATGGTGAACAAAGCAATGTAAACAAACTGTACAGTTGGCTTCATGAATGGGAGAATGCCGAAGAGTTGTCCAGAAATTCCAGAAGTTTCAGAGCCAGATCAAAGTAGTCAACCAGTCCAAAATTCAAAAGTCCAAAAAGCAGAATCCACACACACACGTGACATGAGCCAGATGCCAGACATCGTTCCCAGCACAGGAAACAGAGGCAGATCAAGCCTCTTCCATTTGCTTGTTACTCATTAGAAGGTCTACCACTTTGCTTGGCGAGTAGCCTAATAGCCTTTATCTGTTCTGCTTTCTTTTCGGTTAAGCTTGTGTCCTCCATTCACACAATAGAATGATTCTCCACAAGCTAAAATACCTTAGTAAAATACTAACCCAGATTAAAACTAACCAAGTCGGGCAATCATGAAGGCTTCAAGTGATGTAGTTTATGTGCCACACAAACTCAGCAACTGTTGTCTTCCTATCCTTTAGGGAACATTGCCGAATCCTTCATATGGGACACCACAAAATCTCAGAAGGAAAAAATGGGGGGCAGCAGGCAAGGACATCCAGGGCTAGGGATTTTAGGAGGAAAACATGGAGTTTGTAACAGCCTCTTTGGATTTCTCTCCCACCAGATGATGACAAACCCTGCCTTCTACTCCCCAGTAAGTATCAAGAAACTTGTTAACCGGGCCTGTCACTCCTGCTTAATTTGTGCTTTGGTTCACTCAGCCTCTAAAGGTGACACAGAAAGGGAAAAAAGGGATCAATCAATGGAATATTTAAGGGAAAATTAGTTTCTTTATGGCTGAGGGGGGGGGTTAATATTTAACCCTTTCCCCCCTATTAAAATCTGCCCTCTTCTAGCAGCCATAAGAGCCACACAGTCAGAAGGAGGTTAAGCATAACCTGGATTCTTGCCTATTTCAGCCGGTGCCCTACACAGGCAACATCCCTGGAGGTCTGGGAGCCAACAAGACCATCACAATGCGAGGATCTATTCCAAAGAATGCTACCAGGTCTTGGGTCTCTCCTTTTTTTTGCATGCATTTTGGGATTCAGGCAGAGGAATGGAATTGTAACCACTGGGCATAGCTGCCTTTCCACAGTCAGGGCCACAGTTCTTACCTTGCTAGCATCTCCCTGGCATCACACATTTCAGCCCAACTTTCCCTCTGCTCACAAGTACAACATCAGGACTCCGGTTTGGCTTTGCACAGCAAAATGCCAGTGTTAGGCCCCCTTTCCTGGTTCATCTCCTTTCTCTGATTCCCATCTCCGGCTTTGCAGAGAAGTGAGCACTCCGCAAAGCCAGAGCTGCAAATGCTGCAACAATGGTGCCCACACATGTCTGCCAGACATGTGGCAAAACATTCAGTGCCTGTATAGGCCTTACCAACCACCTGCGGACACACCGTGGACAGCCCACAACCTGTTAGATGTCAAGGTCCTCTTTGAACACAATGGACGAACATCATCTTCTCTGCACATCCAAAAGCTAAGTCCAGAGGACGTGAAGGGGAGTGGCAGCACAATTCTACACAGAATAAACACAGGCTGTGGAGCTCATTGCCACAAGAAGAAGCAAGGGCTGTTAGCTCAGAGCAGGTTTCCCCAAAGTGGGGAATCAGAAATTTGATGAAAGGATTGACGAGTTGAAGAGTTTGGGGGAACTCTGGCTTAGGAGGTGGATTTAAAGAATGAGTAAGACTTGATCCATCCATCCAAGATCAGCTGTTCTTCATTAGAATACTATTCACTGCTAGACTGCTGCTGAATATGTTTTTTTTTTTTAAATGTGTTTGTCTGATTTATAGCTCTCTGAGAATTGGTTTGATTGTGTCAGGATGTTAAGTGCAATGAATTAATACCTAAAATGCTAAATAGCACTTACACATTCAGCAGCAGTCTACCAATAAATAATATTTGCAAAGAGAAACAAGAGCTGTTTTTTTTCCCTTTAGCCTTCACCAAGGAAGCATCTAGCGTGCAGGGAGGTTTCAGACTTCCTATTATTTATTCCAAAGGCTTACTTTTTTCTCTCTTTCCAAGATTTGAAATCAGTCTTATGGCTGGCCAAGAACTTGCTCTAAACATTAATCCACGTATGCAGCCATGGAGATGTGTGGCGCGCAACAGTTTACTGAATAATCAGTGGGGAACTGAGGAAAACAACCTGCCCTTTAACCCTTTCCAACCTGGGAAGCACTTTGAGGTCAGTTTTTCTCTGATTTCAGCAGGGAGGGGTGTCTGCAGGGGAGGAGGTCAAAAAAGTCAAAAGGGCAGCCACCGCTGTTCAATTGATGTATTGCTTCTCTTTTAATAACTTGCGTGGACACCCCTGGATTCCAGCAAAGAGCTTGGGTAGCTGGCTGATGAGAAGGCAGTCAGGCAGTCAGAAGTGGAGAGAAGATCCAGCTGGTGTCTTCCAGAGGTGTAAGACTCCATCTCCCATAATTCCCAGCTAACACAGCTTTGAGGAATTGAAATCTGAACCTCTGGATTTTATTTAAATAGCATATTGCATCTACAGAGGTCATTCAATCACTGATGTACAAACATACATTTAAATAAAACATTAGCATCAGTGGGGGGTTGCCCCCGGTTCGGTCCGGTTCTATTGAACCAGTAGTAAAACCGCCCACCTACCACAACATCATCATGGGAGATCTGTGCATGCGCAGAAGCTTCTGTGTATGCACGCACATGCTCCCATTGTAAATCAGTAGTAAAGGTAAGTAGAACCTACCCGTGATTAGCATATATATATATATGTGTGTGTGTAATGTATATGTAAATGTATAGGTATACACACGTTATGTGGATGATATAATACATGAGATAAAATATTAAATTAAGATAAACATAATAAAATCATCATAATATGGTGCCATAGAGTTGCAAGATGCTAAGTATAAATGAGCCTCTGGAAGGCTGGTGGAACAAATACCGCCGCTGGTGGACAAGAGTCAAACTGACTCACCAGAAGGCCATTCAGAATCACGTTCTTAGCTCCCTCCTGGGAAATTGTCTTTGCATTGCCCTTGAGGGTTTTTCGGTGGTGTGTGTGTGTCAGTGGTGGCAGTGGTGGGTTACCCCCGGTTCACACCAGTTCTATAGAACCGGTAGTAAAACCGGGGGAGGCTCCACCCACTGACCCTGATGTCATCAAAACGCTTCTGCGCTTGTGCAGAAGAGTGCACGCGCATGTGGCCCTGTTGCAAACCGGTAGTAAAGGTAAGTAGAACCCACCCCTGAGTGGTGGGTTGCCTCCAGTTCGCCCTAGATCGGGCAAACTGGTAGAGGCAACAGCGAGAGGCTCTACCCACCTGCCCGGATGTCTCTGCGCATGCGCAGAAGTGTTGTGCGTGTGCGCGAGCGCACATGCACCCCCGAGCAAAACGGTAACGGCCTAAATTGAAATCCACTACTGGTGTGTGTGTGAGAAAATAGTGTGGCACTTGCGTTCTCCCAATGAAGCCTCACTCCTTATGAATGGGCCGTGCTTTTTTGATTTTGAGATTTTGGACTATGGCTCAAATTCAAATTCAAACCTTTATTGTCAGAGTACAACATATGTACTATGAGATTGGCTGAGCCTCCCTTCGTGCACCCCCCCAACACAATACAATTCACAGTGAAAAACAAAAAAAACCCACAAATCCCTAGCCCAGTGAATCCTGCTAACAATTACCCAATTCTATTGCACCATGTGAACTTATTGCATGTCGTACTATGTTGCTGTAGTAGTTATTTTTCATTCAGGAGCCTGACAGCCCACGGATAAAAACTGTTCTTCAGCCTGTTTGGGTGGCTGCCTATGCTTCCATATCTCCTTCCCAATGGAAGGAGAATAAAGAGGTAGCTGACCAGGGTGTGAGTAATCCCTGAAGATTTTCCTCACTCTTCTAGGAGGACCAGAGGTGTTCCAGATGTGCTGATTTGCAACACTAACCTCCTTCCTGTCTTCCCAGCTCTCGATCCGTTGTGACAACTACAAGTTCAAGGTTTATACCAACGGCCATCACTTGTTCGACTTCACCTATCGCTATGTCCCTATCAAAAACATCGAAACTATCAAGATCACAGGAAATGTGACCCTTTTCTACATCAAGTACTAAGCAACGGAGGGGAGGGGGGAGACACACCAATATCAACATAGACCCTTCTTCTCTCTTCCTCAGTCTGCCAGAATCCTACTGAATTTGAGGGGGTCTACAAGCTCCAATCAATCAATCAATCAATCAATCAATCAGAGACTTGAAAACAATCAAAAACATTAAGCAGCATTTTCAATAAAGCATCTTGATCTAGCAGTGCAACAGGACTATTTTTCTGCCTAAATTTGATTTGTAGATGACATAAAGCATTTTTTTTAAAGTTAGTGCCTTCTAGTTAAGTGGGAACAATGTTTCTCAAACTTGACAACTTTAAGATGTGTGGATTTTAAACCCCAGAAATTCCACCACCCCCCTTTTTTTTCTTTTTAATGCTAACACCTTTCCACCTTGCAATTGTCCATGCGTTCAATTCCTAGTAGAGGTTTAAATCTCATTTAATAATAAATGGCTACCATATGTCTGAAGACAGTATGAATCTGAAGTGCCTGCTGATGGTCAATGCAACTCTTCTTTGGTCTTATCATTTTCTGTGGAGAGCTTTGAGGGAACATTTTCCTCTTTCTTCCTAGCCAGAAGATACAAGTGGAGAGATTAGATATGCTTGGCTTTAAAAAAAAAATTGCACCAAAATTGCCACTTGAGGAAGATCAGCCTTCTTCCAATGCTTTGTAGATATGGAGTGAGTTACCTCAGTCAGGCAAAACTTTAAATAAGGTGATCAACTGTGATTCCGTTCTTGGCTGATTAATTATTTTTACCTGACTCACCTCAGAACCAGGATTGCATTCAAGGTCCAATTAAAATAGCAGGGTGAGGCGTTAAATGTTAGAAAAGGATCAGGCAGATTTAGGTCATGGGCACTTCAGCCATGTGTCCAAAGATGCTTTTTTAAGAGGCAACTGGACTTTCTGGTTTTGCTATGAAGACGTTTCGCTTCTCATCCAATTGCGCTTCTCTGAGGGCTAAAGAAGCTTTTTGGATGAAAAGCGAAATATATTCAAAGAAAAATGAGGAAGCATTTATTTCTTTGTTTGTTTGTTTTGTCAAGCGTGTATAAGATAACAGATAAATGTATAAACATGATTATGGATACATGAAATGGATATGAATAAAAGAAAACATTGGGACATGGATGGTAGGCACGTTGGTGCGCTTATGCACGCCCCTTACAGACCTCTTGGGAATGGGGTGAGGTCAACAGTAGACAGTCTAAGGTTAAAGTTGTGGGTGTTTGGGGAAGAAACCACAGAGTCAGGTAGTGCATTCCAGGTATTGACCACTCTGTTGCTGAAGTCGTATTTTCTGCAATCGAGTTTAGAGCGGTTTACCTTGAGTTTGTATCTATTGTGTGCTCATGTGTTGTTGCAGTTGAAGCTGAAGTAGTCATTGACAGGTAGGACGTTGTAGCAGATAATTTTGTACTACACTTAGGTCAGACCAAAGACGGCAAAGTTCTAAGTTGTCTAAGCCTAAAATTTCAAGCCTAGTGGCATAAGGTATTCTGTTGTGAGCAGAGGAGTGGAGGACTCTTTTTGTGAAATATCTCTGGACTCACTCAATTGTATTAATGTCCGATATGCAGTGCAGGTTCAGCTTCTTGGATGAGAAGGGAAACATTTTCAAAGAAAAACCAGAAAGTCCAGTTGCCTCTTGAAAAAGCACCTTTGGGACAACCATCACCTGGATGACTGAGAATCTCCATAGACTTTCAGCCATGTGGTTTCCAATGTGTGACTTTGGTTCAATCTTTCTTTCATCCAATTTGGTATGGAAAAGTTACAGGAAGATGTGTTACCCATATGATGTTAAGACTTCACAGAGGGCAGAGACACAAGTTCTGCTTCTTAGTTTCACTTTGAGCATGGACAATGGAATAATAGTGCATGATGCAATGGAAACTTAACTTTTCCTTGTAAATCAAGTAACAATGGAGGCATTGGGTTTGGGCAATGAGGCCTAAGGATTAAGATATTAAAATGTGCCAGTGGAGCTGAATAAACTCACTTAGAAGAACAACAAGGACCAGAAGAGCTGAAGAGCAACTAAGGAGATGCGTCTCCTTTTAATCTTTGCTTTGACTTTTACTCTTTCTGCACAGCAGGTAAGGCTAAATTTTGTGGGTTCCAATAGCCTTTCAGCTGGGGTGCCTGCAGATGAAACAAGTAAGCATTTTGTTGAGGTTCTCCCCATGCTTTAATTAATATTTCTTGATCAAGGGGTTGAAAATGCAGGCAGAGGGCTTTGAGTACTTAGTCTTTTAATCCAAAGAAAAATTCAGAGGTTCATTGGTGCTTAAGCCATATATCATATGTGGCTATATTACCTGTAAACATCTAAGGGACCTAACCCTAACCCTAAAGTTTTCTTGTTTTCTTTTCAGGATAACAAGAATAATGCTGATGAAGAGTCTACGGTAAGTAAGTTACATCATGCTGGATGTCCTGATTTTTTTCGCCTTTGGGAAAATGTCTATCCTCCTATTGAGAAAAGAAAGAAAGAAAGATTAAAAAAGTCTAAGAAGACCATTAATTCCAGTTTGGGAGTTTTGGCCCTGTTGCTCGCTCGCACTTGTAGTGAGAAATATGTGTTTCCTATTTTGAAAAATGCAGCCATTCATATGTGTGCTATCTAGTGATGGAACAGTGTGAAAAGTCATATATGTTATTATGAGAGCATCAGACTGATACCCTTCATTTCCCTTGTAGGAAAGTGGCAATGAAATGATGACGAAAGTTCTAGTAAGTACAGAATACAAAATAACAGAATTGGAAGGGACCTTGGAAGTCTTCTAGTCCAGCCCCCTGCCCTGCCCATGGCAGGAGACCCTACCATTCTAGACAAATTACTGTCTGATCTCCTCTTAAAAGCTTCCAGTGATGGAGCACCCACTATTTCTGATTGTTTTCATTGTCAGAAAATTTTTCCTTATCTCGAGCTCTTTTCTTTGAGTCCTGAATTTCCTGGAGGCTAAAAAGCAACTAACATCAACTTACGGATTCGTATTTCCACCCACACTCACCAAACACCAATTCATAGTTACTGCAGTGAATTTCAGGACTTTCATTTTTAAGTTAAACTTATACCACTTTCCTGCTTAATTGATCAGCTTCAGAAAAATACCACAAAGGGGGGCCACAGACTGCAATGAAAACTGCATCCCACTCCCCATTCCAGCATGTCCCCCAAAGGTCCCCTTCATCCAGATAGGCAGAGGGCTTCCCCGTTGACTGCCTGTGTTCCCTGGTCAGTCCCACCTCAGCTGGCGTCCCCTAGTCAACCCTGATTTCAGATTTTGGCCTTTGCTCCAAAGCAGACAATGGCCTCCAGCCCATCAGCCTTGCTGCCAGCTGATTGGGCACAGGGGCCAGAGGGAGGTGGGAAAAACATCAGGGACAGGTCCCTCCTATCTTCCCTTCCCACACAGCCTACGGGTTTTGGAAAGTGTAGTTGGAAGGTGTGGAGGTGGTCACAACATTCCCTAATTTTATTCCCATTGGAATCATAGGTTCTGGCATTATATATATATTACTCGATTTGAATTATTTGGTTCAAGAATGGTTGCCAATTTGGCCCAATTGAAGGCTACAAATGAACTGCTTGGTTCACAGAACCTGCAATTCACAAAATGCAGCTGCTGACTTTAGACAAGTCCCTAACTCTCTCTTTTGGGATCTGTGTTAGCAAATTTTGGAGCCTTCCCAGGGACCCTTTTTGAATAGAGGAGGGGGCCTGTGGAGAGTTTTTTCCCCCTCTAGTGAAGGATATCGCAACATCAGCAATATTAAGATGTGTGGGCTACAACTCCCAGAATTCTCCAGCTCAGAAAGGGAGATGATTGGAGTCCACCCATCTTAAAGCATGATATATATATTCTCATGTGAAAGTTGATCTAATACTCTTTGTTTCCATTGTAGGATGCACTGAGTGACAAACATACAATGGAAATAATTGTAAGTAATTCTTTGACCACCTTTTTCGCTTTCATTGTGAAATATCTCTCTTGCATGCAATCAAGAGACCCTTTTGGGATTCTACCTCACCAAAGTTTAGCAGATATATACAAAGAAGTGAACTATAGCAAGGTTATATATTTAGAACAGCTATCTTGTTTTATGATGAAAGCTATGATACCTATAGTATTCCTAATAAATATTGCACACTTCCACCCACTTCCAAAGTTTTGGGAATGGCTGGGGATGTATTGAAAACCTAAATAAGGGTTTTATGACTCAGGATGACCTAAATCTTTTTTGAACCCTTTTCTTGCCAGAAAATGCTCTGAAACAGGGACATTCTTGTAGCAATTGAAAGAGGAAATAAGATGCTGGAAATTGAGGATTTCAGCAGCTCCTTTTCATCACATGGCTACACTGAAAATCAAGTAGAGCACATGTAGATAGAGACACAAACCTGCATATTTAATCATGAGTATATTTCACATTTGAACCTACTTGGAGGAGGAAGAGGCAGAGATGGTAGAAAGGGGGGTACATGAAGGGGTACATAAAAAACAACATTCCATCATAAAGATGTCTTACCTGTATAGGTGTATAACTAATGGAAATCTTGATTAAGGAATGGAATGTTCTCAAAAGAGCATCGACCCCCCAAGTGCCATGTCTGGTATAGCTCCTGTTTCCTAATCTTATCTGTTTCAACCATCATTCCTCGAGTTTCCCAATGCATATTTTGATTCTGTGAATGTTGAAGGAAATTTAAAAGAGAAAGAAAAGCAAAAAGAACCCTCATACCACCATTAATTCAATTTGTTTTTAGAATCACTTCCTGTTTTGATAAGGAATGTGTGTTTCCTAAGTGGTGTGAAGTACAAATTCATGTCAATGATAGCTAGGATGGTAGTGATGGCATGGATTAGAAATGTCCTCAGTACTTTCATTGTGACAAAATTTGATGTGCTTGATTCTTTTATAGAATGCTTTAAATAAAAACGATATTGAAAAATTAACGGTAAGTTGCTCTTTCTTCATTTTCTGCTTTTTTTCTTCTTCTTTTTTTTTTTGAGTAATATACTTCTTGTCTGCAATGAAGCATCCCTATGTTATAAGAACACTGACTCTCAGACCAAATTCATTTGGTTGTATGTCTTTTCAGAATTTTTCAGTCCCCAAGGAATCTTTGCCTTTGGGGAAGATTGCCCTGGACAATTTCTTTCTCTCCCTATAATTTCTTTCCTCTTTGGTGTGAGACCTGTGTGATCCAAATGCAGTTTTGTTGGTCAGTTGATGCATTTCCTCATCTCCTTTTCCAGCCTCTGTTTTACCAGGAAATGTGGAAAGGAGAAATAGGTATTTTTCAAACGATCCAAAAAATTATAATGAAACCTAAATCTTTCTCTGGGTTACTTAGTCCACACCTTTAGTGTTGTATAAATTTTATGCAACCTTCTTCTGTTGGCTACAAATTCAAGTGAATTTCTGGGGTTTGCATAATATATTAAATACTAAGATGATCAAACAGTCTGCATTTCCACAATATAGTAAACAAAAAAGCAAACAAACAGATTAAAACTATCTAAATTTAGGAAGTTGTGCTGATACAGTTACCATGTTATTCTTTTGTCCTAGGATCACATACTATACAGATTGACATTGACTTATGACTTATGACCTCAATATAGTCTGCCCATTATGGGCATAAATTGTGATGGTAACCATAAATTGGGTCACCCATGTGACTGACCTGGTTTTATGACCCTTTTTTGTGATGGTTTTATGACCTTTTTTTGTGATGGTTGTCAAGAAATGCCTCAGTCATTAGGGCTGGTTTTGCCACATACTGGAATGCGGTTTTCTGCAGAACTGTCCTAAATCAGGTTAGAGAAATCATATGCAATTTCATGTCATATGTGATTTCACGTCTTTTTGAGTAATATACTTCTTGTCTGCAATGAAGCATCCCTATGTTATAAGAACACTGACTCTCAGACCAAATTCATTTGGTTGTATGTCTTTTCAGAATTTTTCAGTCCCCAAGGAATCTTTGCCTTTGGGGAAGATTGCCCTGGACAATTTCTTTCTCTCCCTATAATTTCTTTCCTCTTTGGTGTGAGACCTGTGTGATCCAAATGCAGTTTTGTTGGTCAGTTGATGCATTTCCTCATCTCCTTTTCCAGCCTCTGTTTTACCAGGAAATGTGGAAAGGAGAAATAGGTATTTTTCAAACGATCCAAAAAATTATAATGAAACCTAAATCTTTCTCTGGGTTACTTAGTCCACACCTTTAGTGTTGTATAAATTTTATGCAACCTTCTTCTGTTGGCTACAAATTCAAGTGAATTTCTGGGGTTTGCATAATATATTAAATACTAAGATGATCAAACAGTCTGCATTTCCACAATATAGTAAACAAAAAAGCAAACAAACAGATTAAAACTATCTAAATTTAGGAAGTTGTGCTGATACAGTTACCATGTTATTCTTTTGTCCTAGGATCACATACTATACAGATTGACATTGACTTATGACTTATGACCTCAATATAGTCTGCCCATTATGGGCATAAATTGTGATGGTAACCATAAATTGGGTCACCCATGTGACTGACCTGGTTTTATGACCCTTTTTTGTGATGGTTTTATGACCTTTTTTTGTGATGGTTGTCAAGAAATGCCTCAGTCATTAGGGCTGGTTTTGCCACATACTGGAATGCGGTTTTCTGCAGAACTGTCCTAAATCAGGTTAGAGAAATCATATGCAATTTCATGTCATATGTGATTTCACGTCAGAATAGAAGCAATATCTTTTGTTTTATTTACAGGAGTGTATGGAAGACGAGTGTAAAATGGCTGATTTTGTGGTAAATACCTCTTTGTTCCTCCTCTGTTCTTTCCTTCTGAAATTACGCTCCTTCCATGTGATCGAGGACCCCTTTTGTGATTCCACTCCCACCCCAGCAACCATTGCCATTGTCCCCAGACCTTCAAGAAAGAAGGCAAGGCTAAAATCTTGGACCAGTTTTGATAAAGCAGCTTCAGGCACTGTTTTACTCCTTAAAACTCAGCCACCATTGCACTGCTGTAAAGCAGGGTGCCCGAAAATGAGGAAGGGTTGGTGTGATTATTCATTATTGTTGTTGTTACCATTATTAGTGTTGGTGGTTCTAAATCTTGGCAACTTTAGTATGTGCGGACTTCAACTTCCAGAAGTCCCCAGCCAGCATGTAGCTGGGGAATTCTGGGAGTTATAGCTGTTATAACCATATAACTCTGGCTCCAAACCCTAATACCTCTTTACGTTGCTGTATGTGTCATCAAGGCCCTATGGAAATTATCCCCAGGATAAATGTTTCACATTGGAAGGGTCCCTACAAAATTTATTTTCTTTACTTGTGGTTTTTCTCTCTGCAAAATATGAAATGCTTTCAACTCAACTATGAAGTTGAAATTGCACTCAAATTGAGTGGCTTTTTGGGAAAATCAGCTCTGACCTTGAAAGTACCTCTTGTACTTTCTCTGCTGATGTGAGGTCTTTCACATCAATATCCTCCATGGCCCTCCCGAATTTATTTTAATGGACTGCAGTGGCCCATGTAAGGCCCACCCAGATGCTCATATCATGTCCTGGCACAGCATAGTTATGAAGAAGTCCATAAAAGAGGATAATGATTTTTCTTTTCTTGTAGGACCTCCTGGAGAAGATGTTATATTTTTTTAAGGAAGTATCACATGGTGATAAGCCAATATATGACTTGATAGTAAGTAGATGTACACTTATCTCATTTCTTCTATGTGTCCTATGTTATCCTTCTTAGATATGAACTGGTCAGACCTCTTAAACCTCACTCCCACCGAAGGATCTCCAGACATTTCAGGAAGAATTCCAGCAGGAAGAGGCACTGTTTTGACTATTGTCGGAAGCTGAAAGAGTCCGGCTTCCCAGGCCTTCCCTCTGGCATAGGAGAAAAGTTTAAATGAGGATATCAGGCAACCTTTAGAAAAGCTGCACAATAATGAGCCTTTTAAGAAAAAAATCATAGAAAAACTATTTTCTCACAACATCTCAGAATGTTATTAATTCATGTGTCTTTTAGGTTTTATCACTCCATCTGTGATTGGAAAGGCACTGCTTCTATCTGGAGAATGAAATATATAGATGAAATTGATAGATGGTACTGAAGTTACCTGTGATGTTATAGTAATAATTATTGATAGTTATCTTATCAGAATAGAACTGATCCTCTTGGTTTCCTTTGTAGAAGGCACTTGTCAAACATGGTCCTCTGGCTGAACTGGTAGTAAGTAGCTTTGATTTGTCTTCTTCTGTTTCTTCCTTTAACTTCTTGCATCTGAACAAGCATCTCTTTCATTTTTCTTCCGTCGGTACTTAGAGCATTACAATAGTGGCGAATACCAGTATCTGTAGCTCAGGTATAGGAAGAGGGTAAAAGTTCATTCTCCAAGCTTGTGGGTTGGTTTCTGAATGTTTCATTACCAGACTAGGCAACATCTTCAGCAGAGTTTAGGGGATGTCAATGTCAGTATACTGTTTATAAGGGCTTCGGGAGTGTAGGTGTCAAGTGAGGGTCTTGGGACATGTTTTGTGATGAGTCAGCTGTGCATCTCCAGAATCTTGAGGGACAAACCCAGCAGGCAGAATAAAAACATTTGCCTTGTCTTTACATTTATTTTTTAAACATCTGGCAACTTTTGTTTCCACTGCAGAATGAACTGAGTGAGGAACATACATTGGAAATAATTGTAAGTAGCTCTTTGACCATCTTCTTCTTTTCCATGGGAAATATCTTCCTGGCATGCAATCATGCCTTTTTAAAAAATCCCCACCTCCAACAGTCCCCAAACCTTAATGGGTGGGAATGGTTTGAGTGGTAAAATAACAGCTTTAGGACCTCAGGATGATCTAAAGCGTTTTGGTTTTTTTTTTTTCTGGCCAGAAAATACTCCGAATCTCAGTTGACATTCTTGTAGCATTTAGAGGAGGATATATGATGCTATTGTGGGATTTCAGAAGCCCATTTTCACACAAATATGCATATTTAATGTCTATATTTCACATTTGAATTTATTTAGAGGAGGAAAAAGCAGAGGAAGTAGAAGTGGAGTACATGAAGCAGAATAAAATAACAACAACATCCATCATAAGAATACCTTAGATGTATAGGTGTATAACAAATGTGAAGAAAATGGAAAAGTGGAACAAAAGGAAAAAGACTCCTGAGAACTCTATTAATTTAAATGTGTTTTTTAGACTAAGCATTCCCCGTTGTGATAAGAAAAGTATGTTTCCTAAATTGAGGGAAGCAGCAATGCATGTTAATGATATCTAAGAAGGTAATGATGGCGGGGATAGAGAGGTCCTTGGGGGCTTTGAGTCAGAATAGAATTTGACATGCCTCTTTCCTTTGTAGAATGCTTTGAATGCAAAAGAAATTGAGAAATTAATGGTAAGTAGTTCTTTCTTTGTCTTTTGCCTTTTCTTTGAGTAATATACTTCTTGCTTGCAATGAAGCATCTCTGTATTATGACAGCACTGACCCAAACCCAAACCCACTTCATTTGGTTATATGTGTGGACAAGGCCCCCAAGGATGTTTTGCACTGAGGAAGATTGTATTGAAAAGAAAATGAAAAGAAGAGTTTCAGAACACAGTTTACCCATGTGTGCCTTTTTGGCTCTGTCAGTCCCTGTTCTGATAACAAATGCATGTATCTCATCTGTAGAATGAAGCAATTCATATATATGATATCAAAGATGGTAGAGATGCCATAATTGGAGAAAACATGTGTGATGTCTTTTCAAAATAAAAGTATTATCTTTTTTGCCCTTGTAGAATATAGGCAAACGTCCAATTAATATTTTTGCGTTAATTGTAAGTATACGTTTCTTCATAATTCTTTGCTTTTTCTGAGTAATAGTCTTCTTGCATCGGAAAAACACTCCATTTGTTAATTCACACCTCCCAGAAAGCATCTTCAGAGACCCCAGAGGAGAAACAGAGAAGACAGGGCCAAAATATTTCATCTGTTTTAACTTTTCTTTTAAAGCAGCTTCAGATAGCACTACACCCAGTAGCCAAGGGAGAAACTTATATTTTGGAATTGTTGCCAAGGGACACTTTTTGGATGGGGAGGGTTTCTCTAAAGTTACTTTACTTATTGTGGGTTTTTTTCTCTGCAAAATGGTAAACTGTTGACTCTAATGGTCTTTCTGTCAGATGCAATTTTCGTAGTGAGACCTGTTTCCTCATTTCCCTTCCCAGGATTAGTTTTATCAGAATTTGTTTTGGAAAGCCAGCTTGACTTTGCTCTCCTTGAAAAGGAATAATGAAGTTTCAAGATTCTGCTAATATATATTATGATAGTTTTCTGAAATCCTTCTTGTAGCCTCCCTGATTATTCCTACCTCAAAGGCTGATGTGGCTCTACGTCCCTACTCTGATGTTGTGAGGCCATTCATATCAATATCCTCCGTGGCCCTCAAGGGCTCACCAGTTTATTTTAGTGCAGTGGTTCTCAACCTGTGGGTCGGGACCCCTTTGGGGGTCGAATGACCCTTTCACAGGGGTCACCTAAGACCATCGGAAAACACATTTTTTCAATGGTTTTAGGAATAATTTTATGGTTGGGGGTCACCACAACATGAGGAACTGTATTAAAGGGTCGCAGCATTAGGAAGGTTGAGAACCACTGATTTTAGTGGACTGCAGTGGCCCAGGCAACTTGTATCATGCATTTGCACAATGACAATGACTTGTGACAGATTCCATAATGTTTTTTCTTCTTCTCATAGTCAACTGGGAAAAAGATAGTACCTATTATCAAGAAAGCCAATCGTGGCAAAGGAGTGTCTAAACTGATAGTAAGTAGATACACAATTTGTCTCATTTCTTCTTTGTTTTCTATGTTGTCCTTCTTAGATGTGACCATAATAACTCTCTGAATACTCCCCCTCCCAATAGGTATACTGTCACACCATAATTATAAATCCATGCTTTTGTTCCCATTTTAGAGTATATTCACTGGTGGTGGTGATGGAAACATGGTAAGTAGGTTCTGTTTATTTTCTTCCCTTCATATTCTTCTTTGAACTGAACAAGCAGCCATTTTATCTTTATTCCACCACCTAAAACACTGAGGGGGCCTCACTTTTAGTAAGAACTATGGGTTTCCTATTTGGAGAATGCAGCCATTCACATGTGTACTAGTATCCAGAGATGAAACAGTTGGAGAAGTCATCTTTTTATCATGAAGTTATCATGTGAGGCTCAGACTCATATCCTTCATTTCCTTTGTAGGAAAATAGCAATCATATGTTGGAAAAAATTATGGTAAGTAGAGATTTGTTTCAAACAATCCAATCCAAAATGTTCTGGAGCACTGGTAGCGGAAATTTTGAGTAGTTCGGAGAACCAGTAAATGGCACCTCTGACTGGCCCCGCCTCCATCTATTCTCTGCCTCCCGAGTCCCAGCTGATCGGTAGGAAATGGGGATTTTGCAGTAACCTTCCCTGGAGTGGGGTGGGAATGGAGATTTTACAGTATCCTTCCCCTGCCACATCCACCTAGTCACACCCACCAAGCCACACCCACAGAACCGGTAGTAAAAAAATTTGAAACCCACCACTGCTCTGTATCATATATGTTGTCAGATGAGAATTGAACTGATACCCTTTGTTTCCATTGTAGAATGCACTGAGTAAGGAACATACAGTGAAAATGGTTGTAAGTAGCTCTTTGCCTATCTTCTCTCTTTTCCATGGGAAATATCTTTCTTCCATGCGTTCAAGCTGATCGTTTTGGATTCAATCCCACCAAAATTTAGTAAATATACCAAGGTTTCATATTTAGGAAAATAGTTATTTTATGATGAAAGCTCTGATACTCACTCTTAAACAATATTGCACACTTCCACCCATTCCAAAATTTGGGGAGCGTCTTGGGGTGTGTGGAGAACTTAAATAAGGGTTTTAGGACTCAGGATGGCCTAAATCTATTTTTAACCTTTTTCTGAGCAGAAAATGCTCTGAATCTGAGCTGACATTCTTGTAGCAGTTAGAAGAGGAATTTGCTATTGAGGGATTTCAGTAGCCCTTTTCCCTCCTATGGCTACACTGAAAATCAAGAAGAGCAGTATAAGTGGGGACACAAATACAATACACCTTTGAACTTACTTGGAGGAGGAAAAGACAGAGAGGGGACCTAGGTGAAGGGGAATAAAAAACATTCCATCAAAAAGATGTCTTGCATCTACAGGAAGTCCTCAACTTACAAACACGATTGAGGCCAAAATTTATGTTGTTAAGTGAGAAAATTGTTAAGTGAGTTTTGTTTCATTTTATGACTTTTCTTGCCTCATTTGTTAAGTGAATCACTTAACGAATATGACCAAGGACACTGCAACCATCATAACTATGAATCAATTGCCAAACATCTGAATTTTGATCATGTGACCACGGGGATGCTGCAATGGTCATAAATGTGAAAAATGGTCATAAGTCACTTTTTTCAATGGTGTTGTAACTTGGAATGGTCACTAAATGAACTGTTGTAAGTCGAGGACTCCCTGTATAGGTGTATAACTAAAGTAAATCTAGAGTAAGGGATGAAATATGATATGTAGGGCAATGTTCTGAAAAGGGTGTTGAACTCCATTAACTCTTGTTAAATTGTTTTTTTTAAATTAGAATTCAATTCAAATTGTTTTTTAGATTCACTTTCTGAAAAAAGGGTGGTTGTTTCCTAAGTGGAGGAGAGCAGCAACTTATGTAAATGCTATCTAAGATGGTAGTGAGGGCATGGATAGAAAGGTCCTTGGGGTCTTCTATTAAGATAGAATTTGATGTGCTGCTTATTTCCTTTATAGAACGCTTTAAGCGCACAGGATGTTGAGAAATTAACGGTAAGTAGCTCTTTCTTCATCTTCTGCCCCCACTTATTTAGTAATATTCTTCTTGCCTACAATGAAACATCCCAGCATTACAACAACACTGGCCCCAAAACCCAAACCTACTTCTTTTGGTTGTATGTGTGGATAAAGGCCTTTTCAGAACTGTCCCCAAGGAACATTTTTCCACTGGGGAAGACTGATCTGAACAATTTCTTTATCTCTTTCTAATTTCTGACCCTTTTTGGCATGATACATCAGTGTGGTCCAAATACGTTTTGTTACTCAGGTGGTGCATTGTAGAAGTCATATGTGTTGTGATGACAAAATAGTAGCAATTCCTTTTCTTTTATTTATAGGATTGCCTAGAAGGCGAGTGTAGTATGGCTGATTCTGTGGTAAATACCTCTTTATCCTTTATTCTTCCTTGTGACATATTCTCTTTGCATGTGATCAAAGACCCCTTTTGTGATTCCATTCCCACCCCCAGCAACCATCACCATTCTCCCCAAAGCATCAAAAAAGAAGGCAAGACTAAACTCTTGGGCCAGTTTTGAATAAAGCAGCTTGAGGCACCTCTTTAGCCCATAAAATACCCTCACCACCTACACTGTTGTAAAACAGGGTGCCCTAAAGTGAGGAAGGGTCCATGGGATTATCCATTATTGTTGTTGCTGTAGCTGTTATTATTCCTAATAATATTATATCTTCAAGGAAACAACCAAACTCAGAGAGCACCAAAGATTCCACAGGGTGTATATTTACAATCCAGAATCTTTAACCTAGAAGCTGTCTTGCAATCCACCATCCGAATGACCACATCCAATAAATTAGGATAGATATGCCGAGCTGACACTCTGGGAATTGGGCAGCCCATAAATGTAATGTATTATCATATCACCATCAAGATTGTTCAGCTCTGGTTATGTAGAATGGGTGAGAAAAGGACTCAGTATAGCTCCAGCTTGACTTTATTGTCCTTAAAAAGGAGTAATGAAGGCTTTGGATGAGCTTTCAGGATTCTGCTACTAAATCTGACAAAAATGTAGTAGTATTTTTGGAATCCCTGCCATGTTTTCCTTGACCTTGGTTGCTTCAAAAGGTTGATATGGCTTTACATACCTTCTCTGATGATGTGAGACCATTCACATCAATATCCTCCATGGCCCTCAAGGCTGCCCAGTGTACCAGTTTATTTTAATGGACTGCAGTGACCCAGGGTAGACCCACCCAGATATTTATGTCATGTACTGGAACAATGTAATGTAGGAATCCATAAAAGAGGATAATTTTTTTCTCCTTCTTTGTAGACCATCATAGAGAAGATGTTAAATATTTTTAAGGGAATATCACATGGTGATAATCTGATATATAACTTGATAGTAAGTAGATACACACTTCTCTCATTTCTTGTATGTCTTCTATGTTATCCTTGTCAGATATAATCTGATCAGTCCTCTTGAGATTCACTCTCCCCAAAGGAACCCCAGACATTTTAGGAAGAATTCCAGCAGGAAGCTATAAGCTCTTGGGAACATTTCAAGAAAGGCATTGTTTTGACTATTGTCAGAAGTTGAAAGGGTCTGACTTCACAGGCCTTCCCTCTGGCTTAGGAGAAACACTTAAACGAGGATATCAGGAAACTTTTAGAAGAGCTGACAATAATGTGTCTTTTAAGGAAAAAATCCACAAATTGCTTTGCTCACAATAAGAAGTCTCAGATTGCTGTTGATTCATGTGTCTTTTAGGTTTTATCACTCATTCTGCGATTAGAAAGGCACAGCTCCTATCTGGAGAATAAAAGATATAGATGAAATTGATGTATGGTATTGAAGTTATCTGTGATGGTGTAGTTATAATTAATAATAGTTATCAGAATAGAACTGATCCCCTTCATTTCCTTTGTAGAAAGAACTCTTCAAACATGGTCCTCTGGCTGAATTGGTGGTAAGTAGTTTTTATTTATAAAGAAATTCATTTTTATGGCATATGAAATGGCAGGGATAGCATGATAGGAGGAGTCATATATCTTCTCATGTGAGAATAGAGTTTTGACACACTTTGTCTCCATTACAGAATGAACTGAGTGAGGAATATGCATTGGAAATAATTGTAAGTAGCTGTTTTACCATCTTCTCCCTTTTCCATGTGAAATATCTTTCTTGCATGCAACCATACTTTTTAAAAATTTCCTACCTTCAACCGTCCCCAAACCTTGATCGGTGGGATGGGTTGAGTGGTAAAAGAAAGGCTTTAGGACTAAGGATGGCCTAAATCTTTTTGGGATTTTTTTCTCCCCCAAAAAATCTCAGTTAATAGTCCCACTATATACACACACACACTCACACATACACACACACTATCCTCTTGTAGCTGCTACAAGACTATATATATATTGCAGATTTGTGTGAAAAGGGGCTACTGAAATCCTCTTTAATTATAAAATTATATAAATATATAATTTTTTCACATTTGAATTTACTTGGAGGAGGGAGAGACAGAAGAAGTAGAAGGGGGTTTGCATGAAGCAGAATAAAAACAACAACATTCCATCATAAGGATGTCTTACCTATAACGGTGTAGAACTAATGTGAATCTAAATTCAGACAAGAAATGTGGATATGTACTGTAGGACAATGTTCTCAAAAGAGTGTTGTCTCCCAAGGGCCATGTCTGTTAAAGCTCCTCTTTTTAAAGCAATCTTCTATCTGTTCATGAATAGGTACAATCTTTATTTCTCAGGTTTCTCAATGCATATTTTGAATGTTGAAGAAAATTGAAAAGAGAAAGAAAAGGTTAAAGAAGCCTCAGAACTCTGTTAATTCAAATGTGGTTTTTGGACTAAGCAGTTCCTATTGTGATAAGAAATGTGTGTTTCCTAACTGGAGGGAAGCAGTAATTCATGTAAATGATATCTAAGATGGTAGTGATGAAACGGATAGAGATAAAGGTCCTGGGTGTCTTTGAGTCAGAATAGAATTTGACGTGTTTGTTTCCTTTGTAGAATGCTTTGAATGGAAAGGACATGAATAAATTAATGGTAAGTAGCTCTTTCTTCATCTTCTGCTTTTTTGTTAAGTGATAGTCTTCTTTGCATGCTGACATAGTTGGAGAAATCATGTGGGATATCGTTTCAAAATAAAAGTAATACCTTCTGTTTCCTTTACAGAATATAGGTAAAGATCAAGTTAAGAAATCTGAGATAATAGTAAGTAGATTTTTTTTTCAAATGCCATGATTTTTTTGAGTAATATTCTTCTTGCATGCCATAAAATAAGCCTCTTGTTATTCATACCTGCTAGAATGCCTTCTTCTTTTACCATCTTCAGAGACTCTGGAGCAGAAACTGAGCAGGCAGGGCCAAAATATTTCACCTGTTTCATGTGAAGCAGCTTCAAATACCTATTATATCCCCTAAAAACACTGACTCCTAAACTAGAGTGATGGTTCCCCTGGGTTTATTTTATTTTATTTTATTATAATTTGTTAAACAAAAATGAGAACAAAAATAAAGGAATAAAAATACAGCAACAGGGACGATAGGCACATTAGTGCACTTATGCACGCCCCCTCTATTAACCACTTAACTATGATGTAAGATCCACGGAAGTCAATTTGTGACTGAAACTGAAAATTTGTAGCTGAAACAATTGAATCAGGTAGAGCATTCCAGACTTCGACAACTCTATTATAGAAATCATATTTTTTACAGTCAAGTTTAGAACAATTTACATTAAGTTTAAAGCGGTTGTTGGCGGCGTATTATTGTGATTAAAACAAAAAAAAAATCATTTACAGGTAAAACATTACTAAGTATAATACCTAGGCCTGACCGCAAGTGATGCAGTTCTAAGTTATCCAAACCGAGAATTTCGAGCCTAGTAGCCTAGGGAATTCTATTGTGTACAGAAGAGTGCAAGACTTTTCTTGTGAAATACTTCTGAACCCGCTCAATTGTACTGATGTCAGATAAATGGTGGGGATTCCAAACAGTTGAACAATACTCTAAGATTGGTCTAGCATAAGTTTTATAAGCTCTAATTAGCAATGCAATGTTTCCAGAAAAAAAACTGTGCAAAATTACATTTACAACTCTTAATGCTTTTTTAGCAATGCTGTTACAGTGAATTTTGGAGCATAGATCGTCAGAGATAAGTACACCTAGGTCCTTGACAAAGTGAGGGTCATCAGATAGTTCAGTGCCATCTAGCTTATACTTGACATTCTGATTACATTTACCAATATGTAAGACAGAGCATTTATTGAATGAAATTTAGTTGCCAAATACATGACCATTCAGACACATAGTCGAAATCATTTTGCAAAACAACAGAATTATCTGTAGTATTGAATAATTTTATGTCATCGGCAAAAAGGATGCAATTGCTTTTAAGTTGAATAGCAAAGGGTTCTGAATAGCAAAGGGAGAAGCATATATTTTGGAATTGTCCCCAAAGGACACTTTGGTGATGGGAAATGTTTCTCCAAAGTTTTTCTTTTACCAACTTGTGGTTTTTCTCTTTGCAAAATGGTAAATTGTTGGCTCAAATGGTCTTCCTGTCAGATGCAATTTTGCTAGTGAGATGCCTTTCCTCATTTTGCTTTCCAGGATTAATTTTATTTATTAATTGGTTAATTGACTTAGCCTGCCTTGAAGGGTTGATATGGCTTTACGTACCCCTCTCTGGTGTTGTGTGGCCATTCACATCAATATCCTCCATGGCTCTCAAGGACTCACCAGTTTATTTTAGTGGGCTGTATTGGCCCAGGCAAGGCCCACACGTATCATGCACTGGAACAACTTCTAAAGGAATCCATAATGGTTTTGTTTCTTCTTCCTTATAGTCAATCGGGAAAAAGATAATACCTATTATCAACAAAGCTAAGGGTGGCAAAGGAGTGTCTATACTAATGGTAAGTTAACTTGTCTAATTTCTTCTATGTTCTCAATGTTATCCTTCTGAGATCCTTCTGAGGTAGTCCTCTAGAGACTGCTTCCCCCCCCCCCCACTGATTTACAGACATTTCAGGAACAATTGCAGCAGGAAACAAAGGAGGGTATTATTATCACTATTGTTAAGACTTGAGAGATTCTGGCTTCATAGACCTTCCCTGTGGCTTAGAAGGAAAAGTCAAGAAACTCCATCAATATTTGTACTTTTCCTCAAGGTGTCTGTTTGGCCCCAATCACTCTATGTTGTGATAAGAAATGCATGTTTCCTATCTGAGTAATGAAATTATAATTATAAAAATATGATATGTATATCTAATGCTGAAATTGGCAATGACAGCATGGAAAGAAAAGTCATGTGTTTTTAGATGATTGGATTATTGGAAAGTAGCCATTTCCTTGGATCACAGCAGATGTTAAGTGATCTATCTGTTGACGTTGCCTATTCCTTTTGGTAGGAATGGCTTTATCTACTCTGCTCAAACCATCCCATTGCCATTAATACCCTCTGTTGACCTTAGTGACCCGCTCTGAACAAAGAGCAGTGGCCCAGGCCTGGTGCACACAAAGCCTCATAGGATTCACAGCCACTTCATAAAGATATTCTTTTGTTCCATTTTAGAGTATATTCACTGATGATGAAGATGAAAAAAATGTAAGTAGCTTCTGTTTATTTTCTGTCCTTGCTTTCTTTCATATTCTTCTTTGATGGAGGGAGTACCCCTCTTATCTTTATTCCACCTAAACCAAAAGCATCTCCAGAATCCCCAGAGTATCATCACAACAGGAAGAGCCAAATTATTCGTCCAAAGGCATCTATAACACAGGATGCCTGTTTTTTTCTCTTTTTTGCAAAAGCAGAGCTGGTCCATGGCTGCAATTCTAGTGCTTGCTCCACACCTTCCTTCCCCTGCTATGTTCTGGGGATTAATCCTTAGCAGAGGCCCTCCCAAGAGGTCTTTGACTCAGAAGCCATGTAGAAAGGCTTTTCAAGGCACGGGTTGCGGTTGGCCGGTTCGAAAGTCAAAGTTGTATTTTGCAGTAAATTCATTGGCTTGGTTCATCATTTTCTCTCTTCCAGGGTCTCCCTTATTATCAAAATGTCCCTGTGGGACTCCATCCTGGGATGTCTGTTTATATGCAAGGCACAGTGCCTGAACGCAACAATAGGTGAGCTTTCTTTGGGGGCTCACAGAAGGGCAAGAGCTACCTCACTGAAAATAATAGTGATAAGTTTATTATGTCCAATTATCCAATTGCATGCCAAGATTAAACCCTTTCTTAATTGTTTGAATAGTTCAACTTCCTGCTTTTTCCAACTCCCAAGTAAGCCATAAGAGCTAGGAACTTGATTCTTCTTTTAAACCAACAAACCCAGCATCCTACAGATTCTAGCTTCAAGGCAAAGGAGAAGGAAGGGGCAGAACTCTACTCTGAGATTCCTGAACCTCCCATTTAATTTTCCGCTTATCTTGTCCTCTCTCTCTATTCCAGAACCTGGGTGAACTTCCAGATGGACTTTGCCTGTGGCCAGGATAAGGAGGCTGATGTTCCCCTCCACTTCAGGTCTCACATTAATGCAGAGACAGTTGGGCTCAGCACACTTCAGGCTGGCAGGTGGGGAAAGGAAGAGAAATTCTTGAATCCCTTTCGAAGGGGTGAGCAATTCGAGGTCATCTTGATTGTCTATGATTTCGGATACCAGGTTGGTACGCATGACAGAGGCTCCTTTGGGGCTACAGGGGCCTCTTTGTTTCCCCCTTAGAATTCACCCTTTGCCTGGAATGAGCCACAAATGTATTTAATACCGAATTTCCCAACTTCGTATCTTCCATGTAGGGTTTAAGTGATGTACAAATAGTCTTCGTTTAGTAACAACTGAGTAATTGATGTGGTTGCTAAGTGAAACCATGGCTGTGTTTCTGATCAAACTTTAGCTTTTATTTGGTTTGCAGTCCTGTGAAGGCAAAGTTACTATTTCATCAGTGTCCTAACTACAAACAATCACTAAATGAGGATGACCTGTAACTGAAGGGAAAACCTTTTGATCTGGAGGGAAAAATGGGTATTCAAGAGCCGAGGTGGCACAGTGGTTAGAGTGCAGTACTGCAGGTTACTTCTGCTGACTGCCAGTTGCCTGCAATTTGGCAGTTCAAATCCCACCAGGCTCAAGCCTTCCATCCTTCTGAGGTGGGTAAAATGAGGACCCAAATTGTTGGGGGCAATATGCTGACTCCGTAAACTGCTTAGAGAGGGCTGGGAAGCTCTGTGAAGTGGTATATAAGTCTAAGTGCTATTGCTATTGCTATCATTGAAATAAAGGCCTCTCCCTTTTTACATGTACATATTAACCTTTTTGACCCCCTCTAGGGGCTCCCTTGCTCACCTTTGGGGTGGGATGTGTTTCTGGGCAGAATAAACAGGGTTCTTTTGCAAAGAAAATGCACCTCCCAACTGAGACTTGATCCCTTTGGCTTTGCCCTCTGATAGATCCTGGGGAACAGGAAGGTCTTATGCAACTATAGGCACAGAATCCCCTCACAAAATGTCCAGCTCATTAGGATTGATGGAGATCTGGAACTGCAATCTCTGTCTGTAATGGGAGGACCAATGATGGTAAGTATTTGTTTTGAGATGTTGGCACTTCCTGATCTTGGATCTCTCTTTGGGGATTGATTCTCCAAGCTATCACTTTCTCTTTCCCCTCTCCAGTCACTCTTCTCATACACCTTTCTTCATCCCTACAAATGGTGGCCCTTTTGGGTCCTCAGTTGTGTTGGCTTATGACTCTGCATGCTAGCAAAAATAACCATCCTGGAGTGATGCTAGGACCAGCATCTGAACAGGGAAGAAATTTATCCCAGGCCAAGATCCTGTTTTATCCCTTGCAGATGAATATAAAGAATTGCTTCTCAATTTAACAATATTAAGATGTGTGGCCTCAACTCCTAGAATGGCTTAGCAGATGCCCACACATTCTTATTAACAAACACCAACAGCCAAGAATTATGTGATGGCTGAACACGGCAGCCTGTGTCTTCAGTCACAAGGGGAACTGTGGTGTAGAGTGGCACAGTGGTTAGAATGCAATATTGCAGGCTGACTCTGCTCACTGCCAGGAGTTCAATCCTGATTGGCTCAAGGTTGACTCAGCCTTCCATCCTTCCGAGGTCAGTAAAATGAGGACCCAGATTGTTGGGGGCAATAGGCTGACTCTGTAAACAGCTTAGAGAGGGGCTGTAAAGTCCATGTTGTTTGTGCCCCTCAAGTGCCACTTCCTGCCTCAGCCCGACTCAGCACAGCTATCTCTTACCCTAAACTATGTCCCAGTTAGAATTTTTATGGTGCTCATTTCCTGCTGCTGATTGGACCAACAGGCAGGATTCAGATGTTTGCTAAGCGTATCTCTCTTGCCTGGTTGTTCCTTGGGAAAGTTCAGGGGAAATGCAAGGGGTGAGAACATTGTCTGATCTATTATTAGAACTCCCATCATCCTGTATGTGATCCGGGCTGGTAAAAATACTGGAACCTGAGGGCCAACATGTTACGAGATTAATCTGGGTGGGAAGCTGTCCATGGGAGGTGGCCCATGGGACTTACCTATCTTGTCCAGGAGATGCTGAGGTCTCAATACAGTTGGTGAATAGTGTGGCCTCTACCTGTCCCCCATAGAGCTAAAGCAGAACCGGTCCATGGCGGCAGTTCTGGTGCTTCCTCCAGCCTTCCTTCCCTGCCACGTTGGGGGAATTAATCCTTACAGAGGCCCACCCAGGAGGTCTTTGGTCGACTCAGAACCTCCTGGAAAGGCTGATACAAGGCACAGGCGGTTGGCTGGTTTGAAAGTCAAAGTGTCAAGTTCGACGCGTGCTCATGCTGTTGCAGCCATTATTGCTTTTCAACTTGCCATTCATCAAGGGGGGAGGGGCGGGGAAGATTGGAATGTCAGTGCCAGACAACAAGAAACTGTCTCATGGGAAGCAAGGCCATTTCAACAGGTGTTTGACAGAACCATGGACATCTTCTCACAACAATACCTCTACACCTAATTGGACAATGTGACCTGCATTAATGGGGGGAGGGAAAGTTCTATACTTTATCTATACGGGACACGTGGGAGTTAGCTAGAGCTGGTTTTGCTTTCATGCTGTGCTGAAAAGATGTACTCAATAAAGTTTTGCATTAAGAGATTGGATCATCTGAACTTTGCTAGCTTGATTGGGTTTGTCAGTCAGAACCTTGACACAAAGTTCTGTTTTGCAATAGTCATTGGTTTGGTTCATCATTTTCTGTCTTCCAGACTCTCCCTTACCATCATCCTGTCTCTGATGGACTCCATCCTGGAATGTCTGTATATATGCGAGGCAAAGTGCTGAGAAACTGCAACAAGTAACGTTCCTTTGAGGGTTCACAGGAAGGGCAAGATTACTCAATAGTGTTAAGATTATGATATTGTTAAGGGAAGGTTAAATGATTCTATGCCAAGGTTAAAGTCTTCCTTAATTCTTTGGACTACTTCTTCCAACTACAACTAAGATTGATGGCTAGGAACTTGATTCTTCTCTTCAAGCAAAAACCCAGCCTCCTGTAGATTCAGGGCAAAGGAGAAGAGGGAGTGAAGACCTCTACTCTGAGATTCTTGCCCCTCCAATTTAATATTCCTCTTCCCTTTTCCTCTCTTCCTTCCAGATTCAGGGTGGACTTTGCCTGTAGCAAATTTCAGGATGCCGACATTCTCTTCCACTTCAACCCTCGCTTTAGTCAGGGGACTCTTGTGCTCAACTCATATCAGTCTTACAGGTGGGGAAGGGAAGAGAGACACAAGAATCCCTTCCAAAAGAGCGAGCATTTTGAGATAATCTTCATTGTCAATGAGGCCGAATATCAGGTTGGTACGTGTGACAGAGGTTCCTTTGGGACTGCAGGGACCTCTTCATTCCCCCACCCCCTTTAAATACACTATTTGTCTAGAATGAACCACAAATGTATTTAATACTGACTTTCTCAACGTCATATCTTCCAGATAAGGTTTAAGCGATATGCAAGCAGTCCTTGTTTAACAATAATGGGCCAGCAATTTAGTCATTAATGGGGTCAAAATATGACTGTTTTTTATTGGACTTCAGCTTTTCTTTGCTTTGCAATCCTGTGAAGGTTGTAAATGCCAGTGTCAACTTGCAATGCTTTCAAGTTTCAAGCTAGTTGCGAAGTTACTATTTCATTAGTGTCCTAACTGCTAACAGTCACTAAATGAGGACGTCCTGCTGCAGAATGGAAAACCTTTTGGTCCAGGGGGGAAAATATATATCAGTGAAGGACTCTCTCTTTTTACATGTATTCATTTTAACTCTTTTGATCCCCTCCATAACTCTGCTTACTATTCAGATTTGGGGTGGGATGTGTTCCTGGCAAGAATAAACAGTTTTTTCCTGCAAAGAAAATGGGTGATCCCAACTGAGACTTGATCCTTTCAACTTTACCCTCTGACAGATCCTGGTGAACGGGAACCCCCTCTGCAAGTTCAGGCACAGAATCCAACCCCAGTTTCTAAAGTTCATTAACCTTGATGGAGACTTGGAGTTTCAATCTCTGACCATGGTGGGAGGACAAATAGTGGGGAACCTGGTAAGTGTTTGCTATCAACCCTTGATCACTTTTTAGGAATAAATACTGAGTTGATTCAATCTCCAAGCTGTCACTTTCTCTTTCTCCCCTCCAGTCATTCTTCTCGTACATTTTTCTTAACCGTTAAGAATTGCAGCCTTTTGGTCCTCAGTTGTCTTGGCTTACAACTCTACAAGCAAGCAAAAATAAACTAGGACCAGCAGCTGCACAGGGAGCAGTTTTACCCCAGGCCAAGGTCCTGCTCTCCCCTTTGCAACTGTCCATGAAGCAGAGTTTCTCAGCCTGGCAACTCAACTCCCAGAATGGCTTAGGAGATGCCCACACATCCTTATTAACAAACACCAACAGCCAAGAAGTGTGCAATGGCTGAACACAGTTTTTAACACCTTCTTTGTATTTCTCTCCCATCAGCTATTGACAGGCTCTGCAGTCTACTACCCAGTAAGTGTCAAAAGACATGCTAATTCAGCCTGTCTCACTGCTTAATGTTTGGTCTGGTTAATGTTTGGTCTGGTTCACCAAGCCTATAAAATCACACAGAAAGGGGAGGAAAGCAACAGTGACTGGAATATTTAAGGGAAAATCAGCTTCTTTACTGTTAAGAAGGGGGGTTAATATTAGTCCATTTGCCCCATGTTAAAATCTGCACAAGGAAGCCAGCACTTAGAACCAAAGTTTATGATTTGCTCGGTAAAATCAGTCTGTTGTGATAAACCGGGGTTTTCACAGGGTTTGATAAATAAAATTCAGCAGCCATGCCAACCCCATCACAACCCCATCTATCTTTGTGTTCATTGCCCATTGCCATGGTGGCTCTACCTAGACTGCCATCTTGACTGTTTTGACCACAGCCCACTGAGAAGACAAAAGCTTGAACCCAACTGGTGTCTTACTTTTGAGCCCCAAAATTACTTGACTGGTTAAAGGCAGGGATGCTTGTAACCGCATGGAATGCAGGAAAAGATAAGATCCAAGATAAGATCTCACAAGCTGCCTTCTGCCATGTTGTGGAACTCAAGACCTACTGGACTGCAACTACCTTGACCCACAGGTAGTGGGGACAAGAGCTGCATGGTTGGACAGGGGGCGCTAAGTGTAACCTGGATTCTTGCCTATTTCAGCCGGTGCCCTACATAGGCAACATTCCTGGAGGTCTGGGACCCAACAAGACCATCACAATGCGAGGCTTTATTCTGAAGAATGCTACCAGGTTTCGGGTCTCTCTTTTTTTTTTTGCAGGGCTGGTTTGGATTTGGCACAGCAAAATATCAGTGTTAGGGCCTGTCGTAGACCTTTCTCAGTTGATGTCCTTTCTCTGACTCTCCCATCTCCTCTGTACATCCACAGGGTCAACTCAGAGGACAAGGAGGTGAAGGAGAGTGGAAGCAAAATTCCACATGTAGTCTTTGGAACTCACTGCCACCAGAAGAAGCAAGGGCAGTTAGCTTAGGGCAGAGTTCCCCAAAGGGGGACATCTGACATGCCATGAAAGGATTGACGAATTGTTTAGGAACTCTAGCTAAGGAGATGGCTGTAAAGAATGATTAAGATCGGAATAGTCCATTAAGCAAGACCAGCTTTTTTTCATTAGAAGAATGCTATTCACTACTAGACTGCTGCTGAATATGCATTTTTTTTTCATATGTGTCTATCTCATTTATTGCTTACAAAAAGTTGGTTTGATTGTGGCAGAACGTGAATACAATGAATAAATACCTAAAATGATAAATAGAACTTAAATATTCAGCAACAGTCTACCAATAAATAATATTTACAAAGAGGAAGAAGAGCTGTTTTTTTTTTTCTTGTAGCCTTCCCCCATGGAGGGATCTGTCAGGCTCCTATTGCATTAAGGGGCTGGGGAAGGGAGAATCAGATTTCCTTTTTATTTATTCCAAGATCTAGTCTTCAACGCCTGTTTTTTCCCTCTCTTTCCAAGGTTTGTAATTGATTTAAAGGCTGGCCAGAATATTGCTCTGCACTTTAATCCACGCATGAAACCATGGAGATATGTGGTGCGCAACACTTATCTGAATGGCACTTGGGGAGCTGAGGAAGATGAGCTGTCCTTTAATCCTTTCCAATTCGGGCAATATTTTGAGGTGAGTTGGGCGATTTCAGCAGGAGGGAGGTCACAAAACTCAAGATGGCAGCCACAGCTATTCAACTGATGCTATCACCCCTATTTTATCTGACTTGGGTGGACAGCCTGGATACCATCCCATCCAGTGGTGGGCTTCAAATGTTTTTACTACCGCTTCTGTGGATGTGGCTTGGTGGCTGTGTCATGGCTTGGTGGGCATGGCTTGGTGGGCGTCGCAGGGGAAGGATACTGCAAAATCCCCATTTCTTTCCCAATCCAGGGGAAGGTTACTGCAAAATCTCCATTCCCCTCCCACTCCAGGGGAAGAATACTGCAAAATCCCCATTTCCTTCCCAATCCAGGAGAAGGTTATTGCAAAATCTCCATTCCCTCCCACTCCAGGGGAAGGATACTGTAAAATCTCCGTTCCCTCCCCAATCCAGGGGAAGGATACTGCAAAATCCCCATTTCCTCCCGATCAGCTGGGACTTAGGAGGCAGAGAATAGATGGGGGCAGGGCCAGTCAGAATTTTTACTCCCGGTTCTCCAAACTACTCAAAATTTTCACTACCGGTTCTCCAGAACTGGTCAGAACCTGCTGAAACCCACCTCTGATTCCATCAAAGAGCTTGTTTGGGTTGGCCGACAAGCAGGCAGGCAGTGAGGAGGGGAGAGAAGACCCGGCAAGTGCTTTCCAGAAGTGTAAGACTCCATCCCCCATAATTCCCAGCTAGCACAGCTTTCAGGAATTGAAATCTAGTGGAGAAGAGTGGAATTGCCTTGTCAGAAGGGCATTCAGAATCATGCGTCAACATTCCGACTGACAAACCGAACCAAAGCAAGCACGGCCGAGACGATCCCATCTCTCAATGCAAAACTTTATTGAGTACATCATTTTGGCAAAGATGAGGACAAAACCAGATCTAACTATTTCTCACACAAACCTACATAGTTAAAGTTTAGATTCTCCTTCCCCCTGTTAGATCAGGTCACATTGTCCAATGGAGTCTCCTGCTATAGAAAAGACTTTTGGCTCTGGTAAACACCTGATTTTGATGCAAGCTGTGGATGGCGTAGGCAGCAGACTGTCCTGCCTGGAGGATCGAAAGTGATCCAGGTGCTGATTTGCCAGACTAATATCCTTCCTCTCTTCCCAGATCTCGATCTCCTGTGACAACCACAAGTTCAAGGTTTATAACAGCGGCCGTCACCTGTTCAACTTTGCCCATCGTTATGCCACTATTGGACACATCCGCACTTTCAAGATTAGTGGAGATGTGACCCTTTCCTATATCAAGTATTAAGCAATGGAGGGGAGGGGGAGAGACCTCAGTAGCAGCACAGATCCCCCCTCTTTTCTCTCTGTCTGCCAGTACACTTCGAATCCTGCTGAATTTGAGTAGTCTACAAACTCCAGTAAATAAATCAGTCAATTAAGCAATCAGACTCAAGAACAATATTAAGCAGCATTTTCAATAAAGCATCTTGATCAAGGAATGCAACAGGCTTATCTTTCCGCCTTCTGAATTTGATCTGTAAATGATACAAAGCATTTTGTTAAAAAGTTGGTATCTTCCAGTTGTGTGGGAACAATGTTTCTCAAACTTGGCGAATTTAAGATGTGTGGATTTCAACACATCTCCCAGATATCCCGATCTCCTATTGGGTCCTGATCCATTTTATGGCTTTGTATAATCTACAGATTGGAGGGTGGATGGATTGAGAATGGAACTTTTTCAAAGGGGCAAACAAATTCCCAACTTCCCTAAAGCCTAGGATGCCACAAAGACCAAGTCTCTCCATTCACACAGCTTGTTTTAACTCTGGTGAGCTTGGGGGGAGCTTAGTGTGAACTCCACCCATGTGGTAAATTTACCATTCATTCTCCAAAATGTGGGAATTCAGTAGCCTATTAAATGTGTTATGTGAAACTGACCCAAGTAGTTGATCCAATCAAAGGGACTGCTGCTGGGTTACCCTTTGCTTTGCTTCAGAATGAGGTCTTCCAGAATCCCCTGGCCCAATTGTACAACATGTGCTGTAGAGTGAAAAATTGAGATGACAAGTGGTGCACAATGTTTCTAGTCCTCTTGAGGACAAAACAGTGTCTTTACTCTTAGAAAGGCCCAGCAGTTCAAACACCTCTGTAGGCCAGAATTATCTGATCTGGAGCTTAAAAATATGGCTTCAAATTCAAACTTGGACGACTATCTATAACCTACTTAAGTACCAGTTATGAGGGAATGCAACGCTTGCTTGCTTTGAGACACTTAAAGTAGAACATAGAATAATAGGGTTGGAGGGAACCATGGAGGTCTTCTAGTCCAACCACATGCCCATAGTAGGAGATTCTATACGCGTGTTGGTGAACCTATGGAATGTGTGCAGAAGCGGCACGCAGAACCATCCCGCGAGGAATGTGCAGCTTTGCTGGCTCCTCTTCCGCGTTCCTGTGCACACATGTGCACCAGTTAGCTTGCTGTCGCGTGCGTGGGAGCGGCGAAACCCAGAAGAGCGGCGTTCCGTCGTGCATGCGCAGCCCAGCACCCAGGGGTGAATCTAAAAATTTTCGCTGCTGGTTCTGTGGGCGGGGCTTAATTAGTGGGTGGGGCTTGGTGGTCAGGTGACTGGATGGGCGTGGCTTGTTGGTTAGATGGGCGTGGCCAAGTCGAACTCATTTCTTTGCCCTTTTTTAACCTACAAAACACAACACAACACAACTGGCTCACCCACAATGTAAAAGCAGCTGCGCTAGACCCAAAATGGCCCTGCAACAAGCAGGCACCTCACACAGCCACAAAAAGTCCAAAAATCCAACTTTCACACTTTACACACACAGGATTCCACATACAGCTTTGGGAGATTTTGTGTGTTTGTGTAGTTAGAGTGAAACACTACAGAAACACACAAAATCTCAGAAAGCTGCACAAATATTATTTTATTTTATTTTTATTTTTATATAAAAGCAGCTAAATTTAAAACTTCCTAAACTTTAAATGGCTAGGTCTAAAAAAAGAACAACTAAAAAAAACCCCAATTAACTATTTTTTTAAGCTCCCAAAGGGGAAAAAACTTACAGGCAGGCAGGCAGGCAGGCAGATAAAGCTGCTCACCGATGAGCTTGATTGCAGGCAGAGAGATTCAGTTGCTTGCTGATGCAATGGATTGCAGGGATTACAGCAAGCGAAGCAAGGCCGGCATGCGAAGGTAAGCAAGCTGGAGGCTGTGGGGGAAGGGATTTTTGCTACCGGTTCTCTGAACTGCCCGCTGCCATCGCTACCTACTTGCCCGAGCCGGTCCGAACCGGGAGCATTTCACCCCTGCCGGCACTTAAACCTCTGGGCTTATGTCATGCGCATACACGATGGCCAGCTATTCATCTGGTGCGTATCCGTGCCAGAAACTGGAAGTTTGGGTGCCAGCTCGCGTATGGATGACGGACCGCTGCTCTTCCGGGTATCGGCGCTCCCACGTGTGCAAAGGCCAGCGGGGCCGCACATTCCTCACAAGATGGTTTCATGTGCCATTTCCGGCACGCAGGCTGGCACTCAGGCTGGCACGCGGTGACGTAACAGGCTAGCCATCACTTTCCTATACCATTCCGGACAAATGGTTGTCTAGTCCCTTCTTCTGAATTACATCGCGGTTTGGAATATGGGGTTGAAAGGGGGTTGGTGTTCCTGATTACAATTATGTGGGTGCTTTGGGCATTGATGGGTTTGGATTTTCTGGAAAGAGATGACACAGGTGAAAGCAGGTTAAGTATCTTGACTAAACTTGTAACCTCCAAAGTACAGGCAATCTCGAATCACGACCACAATTGAGTCCAACATTTATGTTGTTAAGTGAGACATTTGTTAAGTGAGTTTTGCCCCATTTTACAACCTTTCTTGCCTCAGTTGTTAAGTGAATCACTGCAGTTGATAAGTTAGTAACCCGTTTGTTAAGTGAATCTGGCTTTCCCATTGACTTTGCTTGTCAGAAGGGCACAAAAGGGGATCACATAACCCTGGAACACTGCAACCGTCATAAATATGAACCAGTTGCCAAGCATCTGAGTTTTGATCACATGATCATGGGGATGCTTCAAAAGGTTGTAACTGTGAAAAACGGTCCTAAGTCACTTTTTTCAGTGCCGTTGTAACTTTGAACTGTCACTAAATGAACTGTTGTAAGTTGAGGACTACCTGTAATACATTTTAAAGAAATGCAACAAGAGCTGAAATCTGTTCTTTTCCTTCTGTTTATCCAGAGTTATTTGTTTTTGCCACATCTCGGTGCAATTTTTGTTACTTTCCCTGATTCTGGTTTAGTGCCATTTTTGTGAGCTCTTGCCTCACAATCGGGAGGTTGCGAGTTCGATCCTAGGTAGAGGCAGATGTAGGGTCTCCTGCTTGGGCAGGGGGTTGGACTGGATGACCTGCAAGGTCCCTTCCAACTCTGTTAATCTGGAACTGTTTCTTGTCTAATTACAGCAAATACAATCACATCCTGGGACTTGTTGGGCCACTCATTCTTATCTTTATGGTGTTGCCAGTATTGGATACTCTTTTGTGTGGCTTCCTTGTATTTCATAAAGCCAATCAATTAAGCCAACACACTGTTTTCCGCAAAGGGACTTTTGCTGCTTTTGGAAGTCTTTCAGAAGGGATTAACTTCTTGTTTGGAAAAAGTGAGTTAAGCCCTGATAAAGAATTATAAAAAGACATCTGATGGAAAGAGCATCATGATTACATAAAGCCATTTGGAGAAGGTTGATGAATCAAAATATCAGGGTTTTGGCACCAGAAACAAAGCACAAATAGGGAGCTATGAAATGCCTCTCCTTTTAGAAGAAATATTCCTCAAGAGAAGCCTGGATTAGACTTGGTCCTCACAGGGAGATTGAGATGGAATGGAGGAATTAGAGAAAGATGTGTTACCTGTATGAAGTTATAAGTTCACAGAGAAACAGAGATAAAACTCTGTTTTTTAGCTTCAATTTGAGCATGGAGGATGGAATTGTGCATGATGCAAGGGAAGCGTAACATTTCCTTGTAGATCAAGTAACAATAGAGGCATTGGGTTTGGGCAATGAGGCTCAAGATATTAAAATGTGGCAGAGGAGCTGGATAAAGTCACATAGAAGAACAGCAAAGACCAGAAGAGCTGAAGAGCAACCAAGGAGATGCGTCTCTTTTTGATATTTACTTTGATTTTTACGCTTTCTGTACAGTGGGTAAGGCTTAATTTTGTGGGTTGCAATAGTTTTTCAGCTGGGTTGCCTGCAGATGAAATGAGTATGCATCTTTTTGAGCTTGTGTAATTTACACATTTCTTTAAGAAGGGATTGAAAAATGCAGGCAAAGGGATTTGAGTACTCGATCTTTTAATGATCGGGAATTCAACTCCATCAGGGTTCTGGATTCGGGTTTTGCATCCTGTTCTCTGCATTAGCTTTCTTGGTGTTCACATTATCATGAGAGTCAGAGATAACCTCTTGTTGGATCTACTGAGTTGGACCAATATAAAATGCTGAAAATTTCTTTGGTTGGAAAGATATCAGTTAACTGTGCAAGGTATAAGAAGAGTTTAAGATGAATAAAAATAAGGGACAGAGCAAAATTCACAGGTTCATTGGCACCTAAGATGCATATTGTGTTTGTTTATATTATGGAAACATCTAGGAAGCGTAATGTTTGACATTTAATTGACATATGGTGTCAAGGCTTATTAGTGGTTGGGTGAATGTGGAAAAAATATTGAAAAGAGAAAGGAAAGATAAAAAGGTCTCAGAACTTTATTCATTCAAGTTTGGGGGTTTGGCCCACTCTTGGTAAAAAAAAAAGTGTTTTCTGCATGGAGAAATGCAGTCATTCATATGTGTTCTATTTAGTGATGCAACCATTGGAGAAGTCATATATGTTATCATGTAAGGATCAGACTGATACCCTTCATTTCTCTTGTAGGAAAGTGGCAATGAAATGATGAAAAAAGTTATGGTAAGTAGTTCTTCATTCATCTTGTGCTCTTTCCTTGGGGAATATCAGTCCACTCTCTGGGTGGTTTACAATGTCAGCATATTGTCAGCCCTCAACAATCTGGGTCCTCGTTTTATCAACCTTGGAAGGATGGAAAGCTGAATCAATCTCGAGCCCCATCCGCATCGAACTCCAGGCTGTAGGTTTGCCTGCAATCCTCCATTCTAATCCAGCAGGGCTCTATCATTAAACTATGGATTCTTAATTCCACCTACCCTCATAAAACATCAATTCATATATGCTGCCATGAATTTTAGCTCTTTCACTTTTAATTTAAGCTTACCCTTTGCTTCCCTGCTTCATTGATCAATTCCATTCCAGAAAAGTACCATAAAGGGAGGGAAAATGCACCCATTCCGGCATGTCCCACAAAGCCTCCTTCCTTACAGATGGGCAGAGGGTTCCCCATGAACTCCTGGTGAATGTGAATGAATCTAAAGAAGGAAGGAATTCATTGTTACAGATAAGGAATTGTTGAAAGCACTCTTTGGGACTTACTTGCAAGTCAGCTAGATGCTCACTTAATTGTTTTGCCTTCCAGTCCCACTTAATTAGTATGCTCATTAGAATGCCACAAAGTTCATCATCAGATGCTTTGCTGAAATCAAGATATTCTGCACACATCTACATGTTCAATATTGCCACAATCTATAAAAAAGTTACCCATCAGAAAAATGAGGTATTGTCATGACATCAGTCATTGATTTTGAAGGTGAAGAAGCTGCTCCAGCAGAACCTGTATGTCAGCCTCTGGACACATAAAATAAGGAACCACCTAAGGCTGATAAAACACAGGCTCTTCAGGTAAAACAGACAGATAATGCTGATGCAAAGCTACTCTGCCCTCCCCACCCAACAGGTTTTGTGCTGTTCCTCCTAAACAGAACAGAGTTGGAAGGGACCTTGGAGGTCTTCTAGTCCAACCCCTGCTTAGACAGGAAACTCAATATCATGCACAGATGGCACGGTTGGAGAGTCATATATGTTTTGCTGTGATTAAACCCTTTGTTTCCATTGTAGAATGCAATTGGTGAGGAGGGTCGAGAACAAGTAATCGTAAGTAGTTCTTTAACCATCTTTTCCTCTTTCCTAGTGAAATACCTTCCTTGCATGTGATCAAGCACTCCTTTGGGGATTATACACACACACACACGTGTCTCAAAATTTAGCAGTTTATATTCCCAGGTTAAATTTTTTTTAAAAAAAAATTGCATACTTCCATCTACCTCCAAAGTTTGGGGAGTAGGTGGAGGTCTTTTGAGTTCTCAAATAAGGGTTTTAAGACCCAGGATGGCTTAAATCTTTTTCAGAACTTTTTCTGATCAGAAAGTGCTCTGAATCTGAAATGACATTCTTGTAGCATTTGGAAGAGAAAATGAGATGCTATTATGGTATTTCAATAGCTTCTTTTCCTTACAGGACTACCCAGAAAAAAGAACATAAATAGGTGGACACACAAAACTGCATATTTAATATATATATTTCATCTTTGAATTTACTTGGAAGAGGAAGAGGCAAAGAGATAGGAAGATGGGGGGCTACATGAAGCGGAGTAAAGAAACAGCATTCTATCATAAGGATGTCTTATCCAGACTGTGCCTCAGCATGCTGTCTTCAATAAGCAACTAAGTCAGAAGATTGTTTAAAGGCAATTTATTAGATTACTATGATAAAGAGGGGTCTCTCTATGAAAGTGGAGAAAGAACCTGGAAAAATGGTTTACACTTACTTTTACCGTTAGCACAACAGACATTTCAAAGTAAAAGCTGATTCTGGTTTAGAAACAATCATCTGTCCAGTTACATTATTAGAATTAAAACATCCAATAATATGTGAGCATAGCCGTAGAAAAGAGCATTGTACTCTGAATAAAAGTGAAAGAAACATTTGCAAGGAAATAAACCTCAAATGGGTATGGATAAGTTACATTTGCAATGCTTCTCAACCCTGGGCTTGAATACTTGCATTGTTCATGGAGGCTTGGGAACAGCTGGAAACTAAAATGGTTTATCTACAATGCATTGAATACTCCTGCCAGTCCTAGTTTCTAAAAGGGAGGATTTTTTTATATTCGTATCAAAGGTTAAGGCTTATGACAAATTATTAGCAATACATTTGACGAAAGCAAATTTAAAATATACAAGAAGTCCCATGTTAGTTGGCCACTGCAACTGTTCTACAAAATTGAAAATATTACAGTCCATTTCTCATGGCCCACAGAGGGAAGCAACAATTCATATAAATGGTGTCTAAGACGGTAGTGATGGCAGGGATAAGAGAGGTCCTGGGGTGGGGGGGTTGTCTTCGGTTAGAATAGAATTTAACGTGCTTCTTTTCTTTGTAGAATTCTTTGCATGAAAGCGATCTTCAAAAATTAATGGTAAGTAGCTCTTTCTTCACCTTCTGCCTATTTTTTTGTGACTAATAGACTTCCTGCCTGCAATGAAGCATCCCTGTCTTACAACAACCCTGACCTCAAACTAAAACCTACTTCATTTGGTTGTATGTGTGTGTAAGGCCTGTTTAAGAACTGTCCCCAAGGAAGTTTTGCACTGAGGAAGATCGTTCCTTTTTGATGTGACTGATCTGTGTGGTTCAAATGTAGTTTGGATCAAACGATCCAAAAAATTATAAGGAAGCCTAAATCTTTGTCTGGGTTACTTCGTCTACACTTTTAATGTTGTAGAAATTTCATGCAACCCTTTTATCTTGGCTACATTACTGGAATTTGCATAATGTAATAAATACTAAGTTGATCAAATAGTCTGAATTTCCACAATCCAGTAACCCAACCCCCCAAATTAACCAAAATTAAAATTATCGTGTTTAGAAAGTTATGCTAATGCAGTCGCTATGTTACTCCCTCGTCCTAGCGATCTTACATGGGTAGACCTTGACTAATCACTTCGGTGAAGCCTGCCAATCACCGGAGTCAGTCACGACAGTTATAAATCAGGTCACCCACAAGACTGACACAATTTTAGTGGTGGTTAAGAAACATTATCATTAAAATCTGATAGATTTTTACTGAAAATCAGAATGCAGTTTTCAGCAAAACTTGTAAAATGGCTACAACCGGCCATAAATGTGGGCCCATTGCCAAGTGCCTGACATGTAGGGATGTGACAGTGGGAGAGAGGGGCCCAGCTGTGGGAACTTTGGAACTGGTTGTAAGTACTCTCAGGGAGATCGCTCATAACTTCTCACAGTCGCAAAGCAACCAGTCATAAGTGGAGGACTATAAATATGGACTGTAGAGATTTAATGCCAGGAGGCCAAACAGCTTGAACTCCAAATACCCCTTCTGTTAATGGACCTCTTTTGTCAGGAATCATCTTATCTTTTGAGATGGAAATTAAATATAAGTATTATTCCACTGGATTCTTTGGGCAGAGTCAGGTTGTGTGAAAGTGGAATACTGAAAAGAAAATGAAACAAAATGTTTCAGAACATCATTCATCCTTGTGTGCCTTTTTCACCCAATTGGAATCTGTTCCGATGACAAATGCTTGTGTCACATCTGCAGAACGAAGCATTTTGCGCATATGATATCAAAGATGGTAGTACTGGCAGAGTGTTTTTTTAGTTCAAAGATTTATATAGCTGCCCATCTTGTGACGCAGGATCTGAGTTAGAGAAGTCATCTGTGAGGTCATGTCAAAATAGAAGAAATGCCTTTTGTTTTCTTTGCAGGATTGTGTAGAAAGTGTGTGTGAAATGACTGATTTCACAGTAAGTAACTCTTTGTTCATCCTCTGTTGTTTCCTTATGAAATATTCTCCTTGCATGCGATCAAGTCTCCCTATTGCCATTCTCCCCAGAGTTTCAGGAAAGAAAGCATGGCTTTACTCTATAAAATGCACCCACCACCTGCATTGCTGTAAAGCAGGCTGCCCTAAAATAGCAATAGCCCTTTGACTTATATACCACTTCATAGTGCTTTACAGCCCTCTCTAAGCGCAGAGGTGGGTTTCAGCAGGTTCTGACCAGTTCTGGAGAATTGGTAGCAGAAATTTTGAGTAGTTTGGAGAACCGGTAGTAAAAATTCTGACTGGCCCCGCCCCCATCTATTCTCTGCCTCCCAAGTCCCAGCTGATTGGGAGGAAATGGGGATTTTGCAGTAACCTTCCCCTGGAGTGGGGACAGAATGGAGATTTTACATTTTACATCCTTCCTCTGCCACGCCCACCAAGCCATGCAACACTCACCAAGCCACGCCCACAGAACCGGTAATAAAATTTTTTGAAACCCACCACTGTCTAAGCGGTTTTACAGAGTCAGCATCTTGCCCCCAACAATCTGGGTCCTCATGAGGAAGGGTTGATGGGATCATTTGATATTGTTGTTATTCCTAGTACAATTACTTAAAGTACAGCTAATCGTTGGATTATGACAGGAATTGGGACCTGGAATTCTGTTGCTAAGCAACACAAAAAGAAAGCATGTGGCCACCTGATCATGTCACTTAGCAAAATTCCGACTGAGATCAGCATATGTGGGCCTGATTGGGGTAGATTGCAGGGGTGATACAGAAATATAATTTTATGTCATTTTATCCTATCTTACATATTTATGTATTAAATTATTGTATTTTATCCTACTCTTATTTTAAATTGTTTAGGATTTTATTTATAGTTTATGTTTTTACTTGGCTGTTTACCGCCCTGAGTCCTCAGGGAGAAGGGCGGTATACAAATTTAACAATAAATAAATAAATAAATTAATTAAGGACCACAAAATGCCAAATGGTTTCAGCTCAACTATGTTGCCCAAATTACACTCAGATGGAAGACTGGGTGGCAAAAAGAGGGTTTTGATATTCAGGTTGGGTTATGGCTTATAGGGAAATTCAGCTCTGGCCTTGAGAAGGGGAAGGAGACGAAAATGGTTGTTCAGCTCTGGGTAAGTCGAATGGGTGAAAGAGTGAATCAGCGTAGTTCCAGATTGACTTTCTTGTCCTTAAAAAGGAATAATGGAAGTTTTAAATGGGCTTTCAAATTTCTGCTGCTAAATCCACCAATACAGTGGCATTCCTGGAATCCCTGCCATGGCTTTCCTTGACCTTGCCTACCTCAAAGGGTTGATGTGGCTTTACATACCTTCTCTGGTGATGTGAGACCATTCACATCAATATCCTAGATGGCCCTCAAGGGCTCACCAGTTTATTTTAATGGGCTGCAGTGGCCCAGGTAAGACCCACATGCATCATGCACTGGAACCACGCAGTAATGAAGAAATTCATAGAAGAGGTTAATGGTTTTTCTCCTTCCTTGTAGGACCTCATGGAGAAGATGTTAAATGTTCTTAAGGAGATACCACATGGCGATAAACTGATATATAAATTGATGGTAAGTAGACACACACTTAAGTTCTCTCATTTCTTCTATGACTTCTATGTTACCCTTCTTAGATATAACCTGATCACCCTTCTTGAGCTTGATTCCCATCAAATGATCTCCAGACATTTCAGGAAGAATTCCAGAGGAAGCTACAAACTCTTGGGAAGATTTAAAGAAAGGCACTGTTTTGACTGTTGTCCAGTTTCACAGGTCTTTCCTTTGGCTTAGGCCTTAGGAGAAAGGCTTAAACAAGGATGTCAAGAAATCTTTAGAAGAGCTGCACAATAATGTATCATTTAAGGGAAAAAAATCACAAAATCCCTTTGCTCACAGCACTAACAAGTCTCAGAATGCTATTAATTCATTTTTTTAGCCTTTATCATTCCATTTGGCATAGTTCCTATCTGGAGAATGAAATATATAGATGAAATTGATATACTGTATGGTATTGAAGTTATCTGCAATGGTATAGTTATAGTTAGCGATAGTTATTTTATCAGAATAGAACTGATCCCTTTCATTTCTTTTGTAGAAGGAACTCTTCAAACATGGTCGTCTGGCTGAGTTGGTAGTAAGTAGCTTTGATTTATCTTCTTATGTTTTTTTCTTTAATTTCTTCTTGCATCTGAACAAGGATCTCCTTCATTTTTCTTCACCCAGCACTTAGAGCATCTCCAGAGTCTGGAGAGCACAAACCCAGCAAATAGGTTGAAAACATTTGACTTGTTTTTAAGGCAGCTTAAAGCAACCAACTGACCCCCTTCAAAACAAAACCCAAAACCCAGAGGCTAAATTGGACAGAAGTTTTCCTCTGGGTTTGATTATGAATTAAAAAAAGATTTTATTTCTGACATGGCTGTCCCCACGAGGAGAAAGGATGTGTGCAAGATGATGTCATGATGCAGTTGTGAGTGATGTCAGCGACTAGGTTTGTGTGACCTTTATTTGATGACATCACGATTCATGTCATCATTTGTGTATCATTAGTTGTAGACACTCCTGCTTGAGAAAATGCGGGTCCATCCTGGGCTACATCAAGTCAATCTTGTCCTTATTTTTTTTTATAATAGACTGAATTTCCTACATAATTAGACTAAATTTCCTGACATAATTTAGGACCATGAAATAAATATCAAGAAATGCATAAGAAAAATACATGGATTAGATCACAGAACTTCTAAGAAGCCTGGATCTAGGTTCAGATATGGAAGTGAAGACAGGTAGTGCATATTCCCAAAAGTGCTTTAACCCCAAAAGGCATGTCTGTCAAAGCACCTCCGAAACCCTCTTTTGTGTTCATGTATAAATTCAATACAAGCATTCTGATTCAGGTTTCTCTGTGCTTGTGTGAATGTGGAAGAACATTAAAAGATAATGAAAACAATAAGGCGGCCTCAGAATACTATTAATTCAAGATTGTGTTTTTGGTCCCAAATCGCTTTGTGCTGTAATAAATAATAAAAATTTGCAATCGGTAGAATGAAGAAATTCATTTTCTTGAGATATGAAATGGCAGAGAAAGCATGGTTGGAGAAGTTATATACCTTCTGATGTCAGAATAGAGCTGATAACCTTTGTTTCCATTGTAGAATGGACTGAGTGAGGAATATACATTGGAAATAATTGTAAGTATCTCTTTGACCATCTTCTCCCTTTTCCATGGGAAATACCTTTCTTCCATGTGTTCAAGCAGTCCTTTTCAGATTCTATCCAACCTCCACCAAAATTTAGTCTTATATAGAAAGCACTGATGTACCCAAGTTATATATTTAGGAGGATTGTTATCTTGCTTTAGGACGAAAGCTATGATTTTTTTAAAAAAAATTAAAAATTTAATGCCCACCTGTGAGTGTCCAAATTCTGATGGGTGGGGATGAGTTGGGTGGGAAAAGAAGGGCTTTAGGATGGCATGAATCTTTTTTGAACCTTTTTCTAACTAGAAAATACTCTGAATCTGAGCTGACATTCTTGTAGCAGTTGGAAGAGGAAATGAGAATAAGTTATTGTGGGATTTTAGTAACCCCCTTTCTTCCCAATGGCTACATTGAAAATCAAGAAGAGCAGATATAAGTGGAAACACAAATTTGCTTATTTAATTATGAGTATTTGAACTTTCTTGGAGGAAGAAGAGGCAGGGGATGTGGAGGTGAGGGTGGCTACGTGAAGCAGAATAAAAAATGAAATTTCATCATAAAGAGAATAATAATCATAAGAAATGTGTTTTTCCTAAGTGGAGGAGAGCAGCAATTCATGGAAATAATATCTAAGATGATAGCGATTGCAGGGATAGAGAGGTCTTGGGTGTCTAATTTGACGTTTTTGTTTCCTTTGTAGAATATTTTGGAAGCAAAAGACATTGGAAAATTAATAGTAAGTAGTTATTTTTTCATTTTTCGCCGTTTTGTTGAGTGATATTCTTCTTGCATGCAGTGAAGCCCCCCAGAGCAGGCAGGGCCAAAACATTTCACCCCTTTTCTTTTTGAAATAATTTATCCTTTAGAAAAACAGCCACTGCTGAGTAGAAAAGGCAAGGATGTGCCTGTGAGAAATTGGGGGAAGCCATGCCATGCACATGATTGCATGAGGGATTTCTCTCCCTGAAATTTCTCTCCCTTTTTGGTGTGACACACCTGTGTGGTCCAAATGCAGTTTTGTTGTTGTTCAGGTGGGGATGTGACAACAAGGGAGAGGGGCCCAGCCATTCGAACTGGGTTATAAATATCCTCAGGGAAGTCTGTCATAATTTCCCACATTCGCAAAGCAATAGATCATAAATTGAGGAGTAGAAATATGGCATATAGACATATAATTCTCAAATTTGAACTCCAACTACTCTTTCTATTAAAGGCCGTCTTTTTTTGTGTCAGTAAGCAACTTATCTTTTGAGACAAAAATTCAATACAAGCATTCTTCCACTGGATTCTCTGGGTAGAGTTTGGTTGTGTGAAAGTGGAAGAATATTGAAAAGAAAATGAAATAAAGTGTTTCAGAACACAATTCATCCATATGTGCCTTTTTGTCCTATTATTTTGTCCCTGTTCTGATAACAAATGCATGTATCTCATCTGTAGAATGAAGCGATTTAGATATATGACATCAAAGATTGTAGTGATGGCATAATTTTTATTATTTATTTATTTATTTATTTATCTATCTATTTGTCAAACATGTAAAAGATTACAGAAATAAGTATAAACATGATTATGAATACATGAAATGGATATGAATAAAAGAAAACATTGGGACATGGATGGTAGGCACATTGGTGCGCTTATGCACGCCCCTTACAGACCTCTTAGGAATGGGGTGAGGTCAACAGTAGACAGTCTAAGGTTAAAGTTGTGGGTGTTTGGGGAAGAAACCACAGAGTCAGGTAGTGCATTCTAGGCATTGCTGTTGCTGAAGTCGTATTTTCTGCAATCGAGTTTGGAGCGGTTTACCTTGAGTTTGTATCTATTGTGTGCTCGTGTATTATTGCGGTTGGAGCTGAAATAGTCATTGACAGGTAGGACGTTGTAGCAGATAATTTTGTGTACTACACTTAGGTCAGACCGAAGGTGGCGTAGTTCTAAATTGTCTAATCCCAAAATTTCAAGCCTGGTGGCATAAGGTATTCTGTTGCGAGCAGAGGAGTGGAGGACTCTTCTTGTGAAATATCTCTGGACTCACTCAATTGTATTAATGTCCAATATACAGTGCGGGTTCCAGGCAGATGAGTTGGAGAAATCATATGTTGTATCTTTTCGAAAAAACATATTATCTTTTGTTTCCCTTATAGAATATGAATATAGGTCAAGGTGATAGTTCTAAGTCAATGGTAAGTAGATTGTGTTCATATTCTGAGCTTTCTTTGAGTAATACTCTTTTTGCATGCAATAAAACACTCCTTTTGTTATTCCACACCTCTCAGAAAGCATCTTCAGAGATCCAGAATAGTAACTGAGCAGGCAAGGCCAAAATATTTCATTTATTTCAACTCCTTTTTAAAGCAGCTTCAAATAGCACTATACCCTTTAAAACAATAATGATTCCCAAATTGGAATGATGGTTCCCCTGGGAACCAAGTAGCAAAGAGAGAGAAACTTATATTTTGGAACTAACCCCAAGGAATATTTTTGAGATGAGGAGGGTTTCTCCAAAATCATTTTTCTCTCTGCAAAATGGCAAATTCTTGGCTCAAGTGGTCTTTCTGTCAGATGCAATTTTGCTGGTGAGATGTCTTTCCTCATTTCCCTTCCCAGGATTAATTTCATCAGAATTTGTTTTGGAAACACAGCTTGACTTTGTTCTCCTTGAGCAGGGATAGTATAGTTTTAGACAGGCTTGCAGGTTTCTACTAATAAACCCAACAACATTGTATGATTTTCCATGAATCCCTGCCATGGCTTTCTTTGACTTTGCCTGCCTCAAAGAATTGATATAGCATTATGTTCCTACTCTGGTGTTGTGAGGCCATTCATATCATTATCCACCATGGCCCTCGAGGGCTCACCAGTTTATTTTAGTGGGCTGCAATGGCCCAGACAAGACCCAGAGGTGGGTTTCAGCAGGTTCTGACCAGTTCTGGAGAGCCAGTAGCGGAAATTTTGAGTAGTTTGGAGAACCCGGCAAATCTCCAACCTTTGGCTGGCCCTGCCCCCATCTATTCTTTGCCTCCCGAGTCCCAGCTGATCGGGAGGAAATAGGGATTTTGCAGTAACCTTCCCCTGCCATGCCCACCAAGCCATGCCATGCCCACCAAGCCACACCCACAGAACCAGTAGTAAAAATGTTTGAAACCCACCATTGGCAAGACCCACACATATCATGTATTGGCACAATTTATGAAGGAATCTGTAATGGGTTTTTTTCTTCTTCTTCCTTATAGTCAATCGGGAAAAAGATAATACCTATTATCAAGAAAGCTAAAGGTGGCAAAGGAGTGTCTAAACTGATAGTAAGTAGATACACACTTAATTTGTCTTGTGTCTTTTATGTTTTCAAAGTTGACTTTCTTTTGACAAGTAGCCCTCTTGTGACTAAATTCCCCCCACCCCCAAGGATTTACAGGCATTTCAGGAACAATTCTAGCAGGAAATTAAAACTCTTGGGAATATGTAAAGGAGAGCATCATGATGATGCTCAGAATTTGAGAGATTATAGCTTAGAAGAAAGTCTTAAAAGAAAAGGTCAGGAAACTCCATAAATATTTATACTTTTCCTGAAGGTATCTACCCATTCTACCTGATTGGATAAAGTAGGTATGCTTTAAAGCTCTTTCCCATAAGATTGCCATCTAGTGCAGTGTTTTTCAGATGTGTGGACTTCAACTCCCAGAATTCCCCAGCTTGTATGCTGACTATGGAATTCTGGATGTTGGAGATCTCACTTCCCTAAAGTTGCCAGGTTTGAGGAACACTGGTGTAATGGGATCCAGAATTCCATTTCCATTGTAACTCCTGCCCGCTGGGTCACTTTTCCTCCTGGGATCCAGTAGGTCTCCTGGAATCCACTTTTTTAACCTTCCGGAAGGCTGTGGGAGAAGGTGAGGTTGTAGCCTGAATATGGTGGCAAGGTCTGGGTTGGAGAATGGTGGCGGCACCAGATTCTTCTTGCTTTTTTTGTTTTTAGAGTGTTTTGATTTTGTACCACAGCTGTGAACCACCCAGAGCTGCCTGCTTTAAGATGGATGGCCATATCAGTTTTTTAAAGCAATTAATTAAGACACATATATTTTTTAAAACCCAGTTCTTTACAAGAATTGCTTGTTTTTGAAAGAAAAAGTTCCCCAAACCCTTTGCTCATGAAAACAAAATAAAACCCTCAATTAATTATTATGCGTCTCTTTGATCCCGATCAGTCTATGTTCTGATAAGAAAGGCGACTTTCCAACTGAGGAATGAAATACAAATATAATTATCACTATAAATATACAATATGGATATATAATATTGGAGATGGCAACTACACCCGTTCTTGATTTGAACAAACTAGTGGCCCAGCCTGATGCTCACAAATCCTCACAGGATACTCTGCCCGATCATGATTTTAAAGATATCCTTTTGTTTCCACTTTAGAGTATGTTTATCGGTGATGGAAATGTAAAAGAGGTAAGTAGCTGGAAACAGAAAGCATCAAAGGGCATCTAAGAGTGATTCTTGCCTCGTTCATTAGAGGGTCACAGAGAGGGAAGGGAAAATCCAATCAGCATTCAGATTCTTGGTATAGCAAAACTGTGCACCTCACTTTTTAAAATTGTTTGCCCTGTGAATATCTCCAGGCTCATAATTTCTTCTTCATTTCCTTCAAGGGAATTCCACTATTTCCATAGCATGTTTAGATGAAGACACACATTACAATGAGCAGGGGTTGGACTAGAAGACCTCCACGGTCCCTTCCAACCCTCTTTTTCTATCTTCTGTGTTCAGAATGGCCTAGGTCCCTTTGGATCTTTTTCTGACTAGCAAAAATCTGAAATTTGAGCTGAAATTTTATTAGAAATTAGAAGATGACATGGGAATCTTCTTTTGGGTTTCAGAGACCGGTTGCTTCCTACACAGTAGCTGCACAGGAAAACATACAAAGGAGATCTTGATGGACCGAGAAAGCTGTATCTACAACCATGTCTCTCTTTTCCTTTTGTAACTTGCTTTGGAGTAAAAGGAGATGGGGGTGCAGGATGCCTAGAAAGGAGAGGGCCCCCAAAAGATCTTCCCATTAGATATAGCTTTGCATAGAATGGATTTCAGATGTAATAGATTCTCTCACTTTCTTTCATTTCACATGGGAATTTTGTGAAACCCAAAAAAAGGAGATTTTCAACTCATCTGAAATATTTAACAAAAAAAAATCTACCTTAATAACCTGGTCTACTACTTCGTGTTACAAAGCACATGCAACACACTTATTCTGGCTATTAATCTATTCTGCAATCTCCATAATATATGAAGTGGTAAGCAGATCAAAAACCTTGACTTGGTTCGGTAACTAACATGAACTCAAAAGTCACATATGGAATGTGATCACGTTCTGTAAGGTTCCTGAAAGAGCTTTTACCTCAGAGCTAGGTCTGTTAAAGGCCCTCAGTTCTCAGCAACGAATTTCATGCGTCAAGGGCTAAACTCAGCGCAACCATTTTTCTCTGTGCACATTATGGATGTGTGAATTTGGAAGGACATTGAAAAGAAATTAACTCTCCCAACAGTTTTTAACAAATATCACTATGTGTTGTGTGAAAGAATGCACATTTTTAAATCTGGAGAATGAAGATATTCATGTATCTGATGCTGAAGATGGTGGTGATGGCACAGTTTGAGAAGTCATAAGTATAACCACATCAGAGTAGAATGTTAATTTTTGTTTCCCTTCAGAGCTTGAATGAGGGTGGTGAGTTTGCAGTGATGGTAAGTAGCTTTTGTTTATTTTGCTTTCTTTCCCATTCTTCTTCCGTCCAAATAAGCAACCTGCTTCATTCTTCCTCCTAAACCAAAAACATCTTCAGATTCCCCCGAGCATAATCACAACGGGAAGAGCCCAAACACTTGGCTTGTTTTTAACCTCCTTTTTCCAATTGATCACTTAAAAATTGGCTAAATCTCCCATACCTGTTTGGGGCTTGATCCCCCACCCCACTGCTTTAACACAATTCTTTCCTCCCAATGTGCACAGTTGCAGCAGCCACCCCACCCATCCACAGATGAAACACAATTCTCCTACAAAAGCTCCAGAAATGTAGAGAAAAACACAGATGCTCTCTTGGTCCCACCAGCCTGACTCAGTTGGCACTTGCAATGTTTCTCCTTTCCTTAGAAGTTCCTCCAGTGCAGGGAGAGATGTGATAAGAGGCTGGCACCAGCCAGTCTACTCAATCCACTGATCATCTATAGAGTTAAAGCAGAACCGGTCCATGGCTGCACTTCTGGTGCTTCCTCCACACCCTCCTTCCCCTGACACGTTGGGGGGATTAATCCTTAGCAGAGGCCCTCCCAGGAGGTCTTTATTTGACTCAGAAGCCATATAGAAAGGCTGATATAAGGCATAGGTTGTGGTTGGCTGGTTTGAAACTCAGAGTTGTGTTTGTAAAGTCCCTGGTTTGGTTCCTTATTTTCATGTCTTCCAGGCTCTCCCTTACCATCATCCTGTCCCTGGTGGACTCCGTCCTGGGATGGCTGTATATATTCAAGGCTCAGTGCCCAAAGACAGCAACAGGTAAAGTTCCTTTGCAGGCTCGCAGGAAGGACAAGTTGCTACCTTATTCAAAATAATAGTAATAAGACTATTATGTTGTTAAGGATAGCTTGTATAATCCAAATTCTGCCTGTCTTAATTTTCCTGCTTCTTCCAACTCCAACTAAGCTATGCGGGTTTTAGGAATTTTGAGTTTTCTCTTAAAGCAAAACAAAACTATCCTACAGATTGTAGCTTCAGAGCAACGGAGAAACAAGTGGGGAGGAGCAGAACTTCTCTCTGAGATTGCTCCCCCCACTTCCCCATTTTATTTTCCTCTTCTTTTCTCCCTCTTTCTCCAGATTCGGTGTGGACTTTGCCTTTGCAAAGTATCAAGGGCCCGATATCCCCTTCCACTTCAACCCTCGCTTCAGTTGGTGGAATAAAGTTGTGCTCAACTCATTTGAGTCTGGCAGATGGAGAAAGGAAGAGAAACGCAAGATGCCCTTCCGGAAGGGCGAGCATTTCAAGGTCATCTTCATGGTCACTGAGGCCGGATACCAGGTTGGTCCATTTGACAGAGACCCCTTTGGGACTGAAGGCCCCCTTCAGCCTCTTAATTTCCCCTCCAGAATTCGCTATTTGTCTGGAATGAACCACAAATATATTGTATCACTAAGTTATTATTTCATCACTGTCGTAATGCAAACAATCACTAAAGGAGGATGACCTGTAGCTGAATGGAAAACATTTCGGTCCAGGGGGAAAAAGATAGTTATCGGTGAAAAAAAGCCCTCTCCCTTATTAAATTTATTTATTTATGACCTTTTTGATTCCCTCTGTGGCCACTCTGCTCAACTTTCGGCTGGGATGTGTTTGTGGCAAGAATAAATTTTCTTGCAAAGAAAATGGACGATCCCAAATGAGACTTGATCCCTTCTGCTTTGTCCTGACAGATCCTGGTGAACAGGAAGCAATTCTATGTCTTCAGGCACAGAATTCCACCACAAAGTGTGCGGTTTATTAAGGTTTTTGGAGACCTGGAGCTGCAGTCCCTGAATGTGACGGCAGAACCAATGATAGGGAACATGGTAAGTGTTTGCTGTTGACAAGTCAGCACCTCCTTGATCTCTCTTTGGGAACGGATTCTGGGTTGGTTCAATCCCCCTGCTGCCACTTTCTCTTTCTCCCTTCCAGTTGCTCTTCTTGTATACCTTTCTTGACCCCAAAGAATGGCTGCCCCTCTGGATCCTCAATTGACATGGCTTACATCAATGTATGCTAGCAAAAATAACCATCCAAGGGTGATACTGGGATCAGCAACTGCACAGGGAGAAAATTTACTTGAGGCCGGGGTCCTGTTCTCCACCTTGCAGGTGTCCATAAAGTAGAGTTTCTCAACCTTGGCAAATGTCTATAAAGATTTTCAGTCATCCAGGTCATGGTTGTCCCAAAGGTGCTTTTCTTTTTTCAAGAGGCAACTGGACTTTCTGGTTTTTCTTTGAAGATGTTTCGCTTCTCATCTGAGAAGCTTCTTCAGCTCTGACTGGATGGTGGGGAGTGGAAGGATTTATACTCCTTGCAGACAGCTGGTCATTTGCATTCTTTTAGCGAGTCATTAAGGTCACCTGGAGGCGTATCTGTATCCTCAGGGTCATGTGTTCAATTTTGACATAGATGGCCTCTTTGACCCCTCTTTCAAACCAGCAGTCCTCTCTGTCCAAAATGTGGACTTTGCTGTCTTCAAAAGAGTGAAGTGGCCTCAACGATCCTCTAAAAGGATGCAAATAACCAGCTTGTCTGCAAGGAATATAAATCCTTCCGTTCTCCACCATCCAGTCAGAGCTGAAGAAGCTTCTTGGATGAGAAGCGAAACACCTTCAAGAAAAAACAAAGTCCAGTTGTCATTTCAAGAAGCCCTTTGGGTCAACCTTGGTAACTTTATGTTGTGTAGTCTCAACTCCCAGAATGGCTTAGAAGATGCCCACCTATTCTTATTACCAGACAGGAACACCAGGGAATGTGTAGTGACTGAACACACATGGGCCAAGGCCACTGTGTTATTTTTTCCCTTGGTGCCGAGAGAGAGAGAGGGGGGGGGGAGGGGGGGAGGGAGGGAGAGGATTTCTCCTGTGATGATCAGTTTTAGCCCCCCAAGATTAACATAATACTCTTAATCTGTTTCCTCCATTCACACAACAGAGTGATTTGCAACAGGCTAAGCTACCTCTCCAAAACCAACCCAGGTGAAAAGTAACCAAGTTGAGCAAATGGTACAAAGGCACCCATGAACGCTTCAACTGACCTTGGGTGAATGTGCCACACAAACTCGGCCACAGCTGTCTTCTTAGCTTTTAGGGTACAATATGGGCCACCACTAAATCTTCCTGTAAATACTCAAAATGAAAAAAGGGGGGGCAGCAGGCAAGGACATCCAGGGCTAGAGATTTTGGGAGGAAAAACATGGGGTTGTTAACAGCCTGTTTGGATTTCTCTCCCACCAGATAATGACCTCTCCTGAAATCTACCACTTAGTAAGTACCAAGAGACTTGCTAACCCAGCCTGTCTCTCCTTAAAATGGATACTTCAGCTGACGGGACATTATCTCTTAGCCAGTATTTTAGTCCCGGGGATCAGGCCTGTGGCACAGTTGCAGTCTCTACGTGGCTGCTGCTTCTTCCTTCAAATATATATCTGTGAAATCCGCCTACTTGCTCTGTAGTTTGGAACTGGCTTACCACCAGCAGGAGCAAGGGTTTCTGGGTGTGGTGGTGAAGGCAAGCCAAGATCCCAATCTACTGAGGGATTGTGAAGTTGAGGTGACTTGTGACATAAGGCTTATGCTTTTTGTCAGAGCAGGTTTATTGGAAGTAATGAAAATATTGGTCACTTATTTGTCAAAAGAAATTGGCTACCCTTCTTAACACAGTTCCTCCCTCCCAGTGTGCATAGTTCCAGCAAAAGTCCCAGCAGCCCGCCAATGAATCATGGTTCTCCTATAAAAGCTCCAGAAATGCAGAGAAAAAGGCCAACTCTTGGTCCTGTCAGCGTGTTCCTCACACCTGCAAAGTTTTTCCTTTCCTTAGAAGTTCCTCCAGTGCAGGGAGCGATGGGAAAGGATGCTGGCACCAGCCAGTCTGGCTCAATCCACTGAGCACCCATAGAGCTAAGGCAGAACCGGTCCATGGTGGCAGTTCTGGTGCTTCATCCACACCTTCCTTCCCCTGATACGTTGAGGGGGGGAGGGAATTAATCTTTATCAGAGGCCCTCCCAGGTGGTCTTGGTTTGACTCGGAAGCCACATGGAATGGTTGATACAAGGCAGAAGTTGTGGTTGGTTAGTTTGAATGTCAGTGTTGTGTTTTGCAGTTAAGTCATTGGTTTGGTTCATCATTTTCGTGTCTTCCAGGCTCTCCCTTATGATCAAACTGTCCTTGGTGGGCTCCATCCTGGGATGTCTATATATGTGAATGGCACAGTGCCCGAAGAAAGCGACAGGTAATGTTGCTTTGGAGGCTCACAGGAAGGGCAAGATGCTACCTTACTCAAAATAATAGTCATAGGATTGTTATGTTGTTAAGGATAGGTATAATCCAAATTCTATGCCAAGATTAAAGCCTTTCTTAATTCTTCGGCTAGTTCCACTTCCTGCTTCTTTCAAGTCCAACTAAGTCATGAGGGTTGGGAACTTGATTCTTCCCTTCAAGCAACAAACCAGGGCAAAAGAGAAGGAAGGGGCAGAATTGTACTCTGAAATGCCTGTAATTCCCCCCCATTTAATTTTCCTCTTCTTTTTTCCTCTCTTTCCTCTAGCTTCTCGGTGGACTTTGCCTGTTGCCAGCATAAGAGGGCTGACATTCCTCTCCACTTCAACCCTCGCCTTTTTCAGGAGACTCTTGTGCTCAACTCATATCAGTCTCACAGGTGGGGAAAGGAAGAGAAACTCCAGAATCCCTTCCAAAAGGGAGAGCATTTTGAGATCATCTTCATTGTCAATGAGGCCGAATACCAGGTTGGTACGGGTGACAGAGGCTCCTTTGGGACTGCAGGGGCCTTTTCATTCTACCCACCCCTTAAATTCACCATTTGTTTGGAATGACCCACTAATGTATTTGTATTGCAAGATTAGTATTTCATCGCTGTCATAATGCAAAACAGTTACTAAAGGAGGACGACCTGTAGCTGAAAAGAAAATATTTTGGTCCAGGAGGAAAAAAACCAGGTGTCAATGAAATAAAAGGCCTCCCTCTTTCTATATGTACTTATTTTGACATTTCTGAGTCTCTTTCTGACCATCCTGCTCTGTTTTGGGGTATGCTTTGCATTCTTGGCAAGAATAAACATTTTTTTTCCCTGCAAAGGAATGGGATGATCCCAAGTGAGACTTGATTTCTGCCGCTTTGCCCTCTGACAGATCCTGGTGAACGGGAACCCCTTCTGCAACTATAGCCACAGATTTCCACCACAAGGTGTGCAGCTCATTAGGGTTGATGGAGACGTGGATCTGCAGTCCCTGAATGTGACGGGAGGGCCAAAGATGGGGAACACAGTAAGTGTTTGCTATGGACAAGTCAGCATCTCCTGACCTTGACCTTTTTTGGGGAATGGATCCTGGTGGTTCAATCCTCAAGCTGCCACTTTCTCTTTCTCCCCTCCAGCTGCTCTTCTCATACATCTTTCTTGACCCCTAAGAATGGCTGCCCCACTGGGTCCTCAGTTGTTTTGGCATACAAATCTGCATGCTAGCAAAAATAACCATCCTAGGATGATACCAGGGCCAGCAACTGAAGAGGGAGCCAATTTCCCCCAGGCCAAGGTCCTGCTCTGCCCTTTGCAGAGGTCCATGAAGCAGAGTTTCTCAACCTGGCAGTTTTAAGATGCACGGCTTGAACTTCCATAATGGCTTAGCAGCCATCTGTCCGTCCTTATTAAGAAACACCAGCAGCCAAGAAGTCTGCAATGTTGTTTTCCTATCCTTTCATATCATGATGAACCCTGGATATGGACCACCACAAAATCTTCCTCTAAATACATAGTCAAAAGGAAAAAAGGGGACAGGGGACAAGGATTTCCAGAGCTAGTGATTTTAGAGGAAAAACATGGAGTCACTAATAGTCTGTCTGGATTTCTCTCCCACCAGATAATGACTTCCCCTGCAATCTACCACCCAGTAAGTACGCAGCGTATCTCTCCTTACTTTACCCAAATTTGTGGGATGGGACAAAAACCAGGAGGTGGGGAGTCTGTCTGTATGCATTCAGGTTGAATTCAAGGAGGTTATTCTTTCCTAGTGTTTCCTAGTGTTTAGCTTTGATCAAGCTTACAGTGAACAAGGACTAGAAACTGGACGTTTTACTAAGTAATCTTCCAAGTGCTTCACCAAGCCTCTAAAATCAGATGGAAGGAAGAAAAAGGAACACTGAATGAGATATTTAAGGGAAAATTAGCTTCCTTGGGGTTAAGGGGAAGATTAATAATAGTCCCCTCCCCACAGGTCAAAGGCTACCGGCTCCCCATCTCTCAGAAATTTTCTAACCGAACGAGAGAAGTTGGGATGGAAGATGACTGTTGGGTCAACGTGGGGCAGAGTAGAAAGAAAGACCTATATATTGCACCAGGAAGCCAGTTTTTAGAACCAAGGTTGATGATTTCATCTATAATCTCAGTCTTTCGTGATGCAGGGTCTTTCACAGCCTGTGATTCAAAAAGTCAACATGGCAGCCATGCCAGCAACATCCCCACCCCACCTATTTTCTGTGTTCATTGCACATGAAACAATAGGCTGGGCTTTGTTGGCTCCATCCAGGCTTCCATCTTGAATATTTTGACCACACACTGCAGGCAGCTCTACCGAGCAAACGAAGCACTTGAACGCAGCCAATGCCTGAGTTGCCTGGTTGAAGGAAGAGATGCTTGTAACCACCTGACACAAGATCCCGCAAGCTGCCCCCCACCCATATTGTGGGTCTCCCATTTGGCACCCCAAGACCTACTGGACTGCAACTACTTTGACCTCCAACTACCAGAGATGAGAGAGCCACATGGTTGGATTGGAGAGTCTTAAGTGTAACCTGGGTTCATGTCTATTTCAGCCGGTGCCCTACACAGGCGACATCCCTGGAGGTCTGGGAGCCGAGAGGACCATCACAGTGCGAGGCTCTATTCCGAAGAACGCTAAAAGGTCTCAAGTCTCTCTTTTTTGCATGATTTGGGGATTCAGGCAGAGGAATGGAATCGTAACCATTGGGCATAGCTGCCTTTCTGCAATCTGGGCCACAAGTCCCATGCTGCTGCATCTCCCTGGCATCACACATTTCAGCCCAACTTGCCACCTGGCCCAAGTTAGACACTGGGACTCTGGTTTGGCACAGCAAACACTCACTGCCACAAGAAGCAAGGGCTGTTAGCTTAAGGCAGGGTTCCCCAAAGTGGGGAAGTCTGATGAAAGGTTGGATGAGTGAAAGAGTTTGGGGAATTCTTGCTTAGGAGGTGGATTTGAAGGAAGATTTGGAGTCAAACTGTCACTAAGCAGTAATCAGCTGTTCTTCATCAGAAGAATGCTAGTCACTGCTAGACTGCTGCTGAATATATTTTTATTTTAGCAATATCAATAGTACTTACACTTATATACTACCCTAAAGTGATTTACAGCATTCTCTTGAGAGGTTTACAATGTCAGCCTATTGCCTCCAATAATCCGGGCCCTTATTTTACTGACTTTGGAAGGATGGAAGGCTGAGTCAACCCTGAGAACCATCGGGATTGAACTCCAGGCTGTGGGCAGAGTTAGCCTGCAATACTGCATTCTGCCCTCAACATGAGAGCTCCTTAATATGTGCTTGTCTAATTTATAACCCACTGAGAGTTGGTTTAATTGTGGCAGGATGTAAATGCAATGAACAAATGAATAAATAAATACCTAAAATGCTAACTAGAACTAGCCTTCATCCATGGAAGGATCTGGCAGGCTGCTATTGGATTAAGGGGCGGGGCAGTGGTGGGTTTCAAATTGTTTTACTATCGGTTCTGTAAGTGTGGCTTGGTTGGTGTGGCTTGGTGGGTGTGGCAGGGGAAGGATACTGTAAAATCTCCATTCCCTCCCCACTCCAGAGGAAGGTTACTGCAAAATCCCCTTTTCCTCCTGATCAGCTGGGACTTGGCAGGCAGGGGCCAGTCAGAATTTTTACTACCGGTTCTCCGAACTACTCAAAATTTCTGCTACCGGTTCTCCAGAACTGGTCAGAACCTGCTGAAACCCACCTCTGGGCAGGGGGGAATCAGATTTCCCTTTATTTACTCCAAAGACTGAGAGAAAGACTGAGATGCCTTTTTTTCCCTCTCTTTCCAAGGTTTGAAATCAATTTTATGGCTGGCCAAGAGATCCCTCTGCATATTAACCTTCGCATGAAACCGTGGAGAGCCGTAGTACGCAATAGTTTTTTGAATGGCATCTGGGGAAAGGAGGAACGCAACTTGACCTTCAACCCTTTCCAGCCTGGGCTGTATTTCAAGGTGAGTTGGCTTTGATTCCAGCAGGGAGGGGTGTCCACAGGGAGGACGTCACAAAAGTCAATATGGCTGTCACAGCTATGCAATCGATATATTGGCCATATTTTACCTGGCTTATGCGGACACCCCTGGATTCCAGCAAAGAGTTTGGCTGGTTGCCAGCAAGAAGGCAGTGGGAAGTGAAGAGAAGTTCCAGCTGGTGACTTCCAATTGTGTAAGACTCCATCTTCCATAATTCCCTGCTAGCACAATTTTGAAATCTGAACAGTTGGAAGGCTGGTGTGATGAATGCCCCCTCTAGTGGAGATGAGTGGAATTGCCTCACCAGAATGCCATTCAGAATTATGTTTTTAGCTCTCGGATGGAAAATTACCCTGACATTGCCCTTGGGTGTTTAGGGGTGTGTGTGTGTGTGTGTGTGTGTATGTATGTAGAAAACAGCATGGCAGTTGTGGCCCCCCCAGTAAAGTCTCCATCCCTTATATATAGGGAGTGCTTTTTGATTTTGATGCAAGGTATGGATGGAGTGGAGGACCGTAAGTTATCCAGATGTTCAGCCATGTTAATATCCTCCTTCTCTTCCCAGCTCTCAATCCACTGTGACAACCATGAATTCAAGTTTTATGCCAACGACCAGCCCTTCTTCAACTACACCCATCGTTATGTCCCTATCAAACACATCCGCACCATGGAGATCGATGGAGACGTGACCCTTTCCTACATTAAATACTAAGCAATTAGGGGGGGAGAGAAAGATCAGTAGCAGCATAGACCCCCCCTTCTTTCTTAGTCTGCCAATACATTGAGAATTCTGTTGAATTTGAATGGTCTGCAAGTTCCTATCTATCTATCTATCTATCTATCTATCTATCTATCTATCTATCTATCTGTCTGTCTGTCTGTCTGTCTGTCAATCAGACACTCAAGAATAATAATATAATATTAAGCAACGTTTTCAATAAACCGTTTGATCAAGGAATGCAACAGGCTTATTTTTCTGTCTTCTGAATTTGAGCTGTAGATGATACAAATGTTTGTTTTTTTTAAGTTGGTGCCCTCCAGATGTGTGGGAACAATGTTTCTCAAACCTGGCAAGTTTAAGATGGGTGGATTTTAACCTCTAGATATCCCCATCTCATACTAGATACTGATCCATCTTATGGCTTTGTATAATTCACAAATTGCAGGGTGGATGGATTGAGAATGGAACTTTTTAAAAAGGACAAATTCCCAACTTCCCTAAAGCCTAAAATGCCCATAATTGGATCAGTTAAAGACCAGCAGCTCCATTCACACATTTTGTTTGAACCTTGGTTAGAATGAACTCAACCCATATGGCAAATTTACCATCCATTCCCCCAAATGTGGGAATGCAGTAGCCAATTAAATGTGTCATGTGAACCCAACCCAGGTAGTCTCTGTAGGGACTGGTGCTGAGTCCTTTGCTTCAGAATGAGACTTTCAGCATCACCCAGGAGTCCACCTCCAAGCCCCTATAGGACAACCGATTGTACAACATGCACTGCAGGAGAGAAAAATCAAAGTGACTAATAGTGCACAATGTTTCTAGTCCTCTTGAGGACAAAACCGTGTCTTTACTCTTAGAAAGGCCTAGCAGTTCAAACACCTCTGTAGGCCAGAATTATTTGTGTGGTGTCCAAAATATGGCTTTAAATTGCTGGGAAGAAGGTACAGAATCCTCATGGAGCCTGGGAAATGAGAGTGGATGGATTGGGATAACTATCAGCTGGTTTCTATAACTTGCTAAAACACTTATATCCAGGTTAATTAAAATGGCTCTATTCATATCATTTGCAACTCTTGAAGAAACCACATGACAGTTTAGCATAGGGACTCAGAACCCCATTTAGCCTACTTTTTAATGGAATCCTGTCAATGCTGATGGTTTACGAAAGCCCTTAAGACGGGTCCCCTTGCAGTCATATACAGCTAGTCCTCACTTAATGACCATCATTGGGACGGGCAACTCTCTTACTAAGCAATGTGATCATTAAACAACACATTACATGACTGACATTTGTGATTGCACTGCCAGCTTCTCCATTGATTCTGCTTGTGGGAAGCTGGCTGTAACATGTGCAAATGGTGATCCTGTGACCACGAGACATTGTGAGGGTGATAAACACAAGGTCCAGCCAAAAAGTTACTTCTTCAATGCCACGGTCACTTGGACAGTGGGGGACCTTGAAAGCAGCATTAACAGGCAGACTTTGGTGTCCCAGCCTGGCCTGCCTCACAGGGCTGGCGTGGCACCACACAGCCTCAACCGGCCTGGAGCCCTCAGGCGAGTTTTGGTTGGGGGTCCCAATAGAAAGAGAAGCCTAGATGGACCAGCAAACACCCCGTTCTGAAGAACAGGGAATGGGCCAGGTTGACTTAAATAGGTAGGGTTGGGTGGGTGTGTAAATTGTGAGTGTGGCTGTGGGTGTGGTGGGCACTGCCACCTTGAGCCTCCACATGTGGCTGCTGGTATTCCTACTTGCAGGCACTACCTGAGGGAGTGAGGAAAATCTGCCCGGAGACAGAGAAAGCCTGCCAAAACCTGAGGTAAACGGATTCGACCAATCACAGGCTGCTGACGTCATCTACAAGCTGTATAAATACCAGTTGTGAGGGAACGTGGGACTTGCTTGCTTTGAGACAGTTAGACTATAGATGGGACCTTGGAGGTCTTCTAGTCCAACCCCTGCCAATGGCAGGAGATCCTATTCTGTTCCGGGCAAATGCCTGTCCAGACTCTTCCTGAAAACCTCTAGTGATGTCAGGAAATTTCTCTTCAGTTCTAGGTTAGATGTGTCCTTGATAAGTTTATGGATCTCTTCCATAAACTTCAATCCGTTATTGTCTTACCCTCAGATGCGTTGGAGAATATGTTGTCCTCTTCCTTGTGACAGTTCATTAGTACAATAATGCGGGTTCTTTCCTCTTGACTCTAACCGAGAAGTGTTTGTTTATTTATTAAATTTATATGCTTTCCCATCTCACCAATAAAGCGACTCTGGATAGTTTACAAGTAATAAAAGAGATAAAAATAAAGTACAAACATTAAAAGAGTTACATAATTAAGAGAAAGGGGATGAAAGTGTCAGAGTTGGGTGACAGCTGAGCACACAAATGTTTCTAGCTAATATTCTTACAAATAGGGAAACAGGAAGTTTCCGCCTTAAGTTTCCCTAATCAGTACAATACAGTAATGTATTGTTCCATTGATTGATTGAGAGTTATGTTGCAATGGATGGCTGTGAAAGTTGGACCATAAGGAAGGCTGAGAAGGCCAAAGAATGGAGGCCTTTGAACTCTGGTGCTGGAGAAGACTCCCGCGAGTCCCTTGGACTGCAAGGCGATCAAACCGGTCAGTCCTAGAGGAGATCAACCCTGACTGCTCTTTAGAAGGCCAGATCCTGAAGAGGAAACTCAAATACTTTGGCCACCTAATGAGAAGGAAGGACTCCCTGGAGAAGAGCCTCATGCTGGGAAAGATGGAGGGCAAAAGAAGAAGGGGACGGCAGAGAACGAGGGGGCTGGATGGAGTCACTGAAGCAGTCGGGCATGAACTTAAATGGTCTCCGGGGGATGGTGGACGACAAGAAGGCCTGGAGGAATGCTGTCCATGGGGTCGCGATGGGTCGGACACGACTTCGCAACTAACAACAACAAAGTGAGACATTTATTAAGTGAGTTTTGCCCCATTTTACAACCTTTCTTGCCTCAGTTGTTAAGTGAATCACTGCAGTTGATAAGTTAGTAACCCGTTTGTTAAGTGAATCTGGCTTCCCATTGACTTTGCTTGTCAGAAGGGCACAAAAGGGGATGACATAACCCTGGGACACTGCAACCGTCATAAATACGAACCAGTTGCCAAGCATCTGAGTTTTGATCACATGATCATGGGGATGCTGCAAAGGTTGTAACTGTGAAAAACGGTTGTAAGTCACTTTTTTCAGTGCCATTGTAACTTTGAACTGTCACTAAATGAACTGTTGTAAATTGAGGACTACCTGTAATACATTTTAAAGAAATGCATCAAGAGCTGAAATCTGTTCTTTTCCTTCTGTTTATCCAGTTATTTGTTTTTGCCACATCTCGGTGCAATTTTTGTTACTTTCCCTGATTCTGGTTTAGTGCCATTTTTGTGAGCTCTTGCCTCACAATCGGGAGGTTGCGAGTTCGATCCTAGGTAGAGGCAGATGTAGAGTCTCCTGCTTGGGCAGGGGGTTGGCCTGGATGACCTGCAAGGTCCCTTCCAACTCTGTTAATCTGGAACTGTTTCTTGTCTAATTACAGCAGATACAATCACATCCTGGGACTTGTTGGGCCACTCATTCTTATCTTTATGGTGTTGCCAGTATTGGATACTCTTTTGTGTGGCTTCCTTGTATTTCATAAAGCCAATCAATTAAGCCAACACACTGTTTTCCGACAAAGGGACTTTTGCTGCTTTTGGAAGTCTTTCAGAAGGGATTAACTTCTTGTTTGGAAAAAGTGAGTTAAGCCCTGATAAAGAATTATAAAAAGACATCTGACGGAAAGCATCATGATTACATAAAGCCATTTATCCCCAGTTTTATTTGCATTATTGATGGAAGAAAACTAAAATAAATTTACTTGCAGATGATACATTATTAACATTTCAAAATCCCGTAGTTATTATAGAGAGGATATATTTACACCTGAATGAATTTGGGAAATATAGTGGATTACAAATAAACTGGGAAAAATCAGAAATGATGTTATATAACCATAGTAAAGAAAAAGTGGAGGTATTGAAAGGAAAATATAAATTAAAAATAGTAGATAGTATTAAGTATTTAGGTATTGACATCCCAAAAGATATTCAAGAGTTAAAGAAAATAAATTATGAAAAGCTAAAAAAAGATATAAAAGATAAAATAGATAAATATGAGAAAGTAAAATTATCATGGTTTGGAAGAATTGCAATGATAAAAATGAAAGTTTTGCCAAAAATTAATTTTTTGTTTTGGATGATCCCAATTAAATCTTCGGATCAAGACTTAAAGCAAATTAAGAGGTTGCTAGAGGTGTATTGTAAGGAGGTAAGAGAGCAAGAATAAGTAAAGCATTGTGGTATGAAACATTAAAAAAGGGTGGGCTGGGTTTTCCAAACATTAGAAATTATTGGGTAGCAAATCAATTAAAGGTGGTCCCAAATATTATAGTAGGTAATTAGAGATTTAATATGGAGTTATATAGAGTTGAAAGAATTAAGGGAAATAGGTGATCCTATAGAAACATATTGGTTTAAAAAGGATATTTAAAAAATTGCTAGGCGGATTCAAAATCCCTTTCTAAAAAATTTGATATAATTAAGGAATAAATGGAGATACCGGTTAATGCCAGGAATTTCTCCTTTAACACCAGTGGTAGGAATGGAGAAATTCCCTAAGACTGAATTGAAAGAATGGATTAGTAAACTAAAAGAAAATCAGATATATAAATGGGAAGACTGGAAGAACAAGATAAAGAATATAACACAACTAAAGAACGTTTTAGCAGATATTAAATTAAATTGGTTGAATTTAATACAATTACAGAAATGGATAAAAGTGGAAGAAAGATTCAAGGAGAAAAATAGACAGTTAACAAAATTTGAAATGATTATAAAAGAATATGAGGTGAATGGAGAATATATAGGTAAAGAAAGAATTGGGAAAATATATAGAATATTAATTGAATTAGAAGAGCAGGCAAAAGGTTTAAAATTAATTTGGGAATCAGATTTAGGAGAAATAAATCATAATGATTGGAAAAATATTTGGAATAGAAGAGTATATAAGAATATGTCAGTTAGAGTTAAGGAAAATGGATATAAAGTGATATGGAGATGGTACCTAACACTACGTAAATTAAATCAAATAGATGGTAAATATACAAATATTTGTTGGAGATGCAAGAAAAAAGTTGGAACATATAAACATATGTGGTGGGATTGTGATAGTGCACAAAAAATATGGGACATGGGAGCTTAGAGCACTTTTTGAATGTAAATTTAGACATGTCACCAAGAATTGCATTGTTGTTGCTGGTGGAAAAACAGGATATAAATGAAACAAAAAAGAAATTGATTGTAAATCTGATAATGGCAGCTAGATTAGTGATGGCTAAATATTGGGAATGAAATAGGGATATTCAAAGAAATGAGTGGTATAATAAAATTTGGATTATGACAACAAATGAGAAATTAATAAGAAATTAAATTTAAAAAAGGGATGATCAAAGCAAACAATTATAATGAAATACAGGGGGATTTTATAAAATCAGTGTTGGTGGAAGACAAAGGGAATAAACCTACTCAAGAATGTATGTTGTTTTGGAGGGGATAAGGGCACAATTGGAATATATTGGATAGTTTTTAATTGTTATAGACGAAGAAATATAAGGGGGAAAATTGTGTCTGGGGGTGGAGGTGCATTGTAATATTTGTTTTTTTCCTTTTTTCGTATTTAGATGTATATGTATTATGTTTTGTATTATTTGTATTTTTAAAAAAAATTTTTTTAAAGGACAAGGTTGATAAATCAAAATATCAGGGTTTTGGCACCAGAAACAAAGCACAAATAGGGAGCTATGAAATGCCTCTCCTTTTAGAAGAAATATTCCTCAAGAGGAGCCTGGATTAGACTTGGTCCTCATAGGGAGCAGAATGAGATGGAAGAATTACAAAAAGATGTGTTACCTGTATGAAGTTATAACTTCACAGAGAACAGAGTTACAAGCTCTGCTTTTTAGTTTCAATTTGAGCATGGAGGATGGAATTGTGCATGATGCAAGGGAAGCTCAACATTTCCTTGTAAATCAAGTAACAATGAAGACATTGGGTTTGCGCAATGAGACTTAAGGATTAAGGTATTAAAACGTGGCAGAGGAGCTGAATAAAGTCACTTAGAAGAACAGCAAGGACCAGAAGAGCTGAAGAGCAACCAAGAAGATGCATATCTTTTTAATCTTCGCTTTGACTTTTACGCTTTCTGCACAGCAGGTAAGGCTAAATTTTGTGGGTTGCAATAGCTTTTCAGCTGGGGTGCCTGCAGATGAAATGAGTATGCATCTTTTTGAGCTTGTTGTCCCCACTCTTTAATTTACACATTTCTTCATGAAAGGTTTGAAAAATCAGGCAGAGGGCTTTGGGTACTCGGTCCCTTAATGATCGGGAATTCAACTCCATCAGTGGTTCTGGATTCGGGTTTTGCATCCTGTTCTCTGCATTAGCTTTCTCGGTGTTCACATTATCATGAGAGTCAGAGATAACCTTTTGTTGGACCTACTGAGTTGGACCAATATAAAATGCTGAAAATTTCTTTGGTTGGAAAGATATAAGTTAACTGTGCAAGGTATAAGAAGAGTTTAAGATGAATAAAAATAAGGGACAGAGCAAAATTTACAGGTTCATTGGCACCTAAGCTGCATATTGTGTGTGGTTATATTACCTGAAAACATCTAAGGAAGCTTAATGTTTGACATTTAATTGACATATGGTGTCAAGGCTTATTGGTGGTTGGGTGAATGTGGAAGAATATTGAAAAGAGAAAGGAAAGATAAAAAGTTCTCAGAACTTTATTCATTCAAGTTTGGGGGTTTGGCCTACTCTTAGTAAAGAAAAAGTGTTTTCTATGTGGAGAAATGCAATCATATGTGTTCTATTTAGTGATGGCACGATTGGAGAAGTCATATATGTTATCATGTGATAAACCCTTTGTTTCCATTGTAGAATGCAATTGATGAGGAGGGTCAAGACCAAGTAATCATAAGTAGTTCTTTGACCATCTTTTCCTCTTTCCTTGTGAAATACCTTCCATGCATGCGATCAAGCAGCCCTTTGGGGATTACACACACACCATCTCAAAATTTAGCAGTTTATATTCCCAGATTATAAATTTATGAGGATGGTTGTCTTTTTTATGATACTCATTCTTAAACAAATGTTGCATGTGCCCATCTACCTCAAGAGTTTGGGGAGTAAGTGGAGGTCTTTTGAGTTCTCAAATAAGGGTTTTAGGACTCAGGATGGCTTAAATCTTTTTCAGAACTTTTTCTGACCAGAAAGTGCTCTGAATCTGAACTGGCGTTTTTGTAGCATTTGGAAGAGGAATTGAGATGCTGTTATGGTATTTCAATAGCTCCTTTTCCTCACAGGCCTACCCACAAATAGGTGGACACACAAATCTGCATATTTAATATATATATTTCATCCTTGAATTTACTTGGAGGAGGAAGAGGCAAAGAGGTAGGAAGAGGGGGGCTACGTGAAGCAGAGTAAAGAAACAGCATTCTGTCATAAGGATGTCTTATCTGTATAGGTGTACAGTAGAACTAATGTAAATCTAGATTCGAGTACAAAATACGGACATGTAGAGACATATTCTGGAAAGAGTGTTGTCCCCAATTGCCATGTCTGTTAAAGTGCCTCTTTTCTAAGCAATCATCTTATATGCTGATGAACAAGGTACAAGCATTTCTCCTCAGGTTTCTCAATCCATCTTATACTTCCATGAATGTGAAAGGACATTGACAAGAGAGAAAAGGGGGAAAAAAGCCTTCGAACACTTTTAATTTGTTCTTGAGTCTTACTAATCACTGTTTTTATAAGAAATGTCCATTTCCTAATTGGAGGGGATGGCCAAATCCAGACTGTGCCTCGGCATGCTGTCTTCAATAAGCAACTAAGTCAGAAAGTATAGAAATAAAATAAAACAATAAAACAAAACAAGAAGATTGTTTAAAGGCAATTTATTAGATTACTATGATAAAGAGGGGTCTCTCCATGAAAGTGGAAAGAGAACCTGGAAAAATGGCTTACATTTACTTTTACAGTTAGCACAACAAAGAAATTTCAAAGTAAAAATTGATTGGTTTAGAAACAATCATCTGTCCAGTTACATTATTAGAATTAAATCATCCAAAAATATGTGAGCATAGTCGTAGAAAAGAGCATTGTACTCTGAATAAAAGTGAAAGAAACATTTGCAAGGAAATAAACCTCAAATGGGTATGGATAAGTTACATTTGCAATGCTTCTCAACCCTGGGCTTGAATACTTGCATTGTTCATGGAGGCTTGGGAACAGCTGGAAACTAAAATGGTTTATCTACAATGCATTGAATACTCCTGCCAGTCCTAGTTTCTAAAAGGGAGGATTTTTTTACATTCTTATTGAAGGTTAACGCTTATGAGTTCCCCTCCATTTTCTTTGTATAAAGTGGAGTGGCACAGACAAGTCCCAACCATGAGCCAAAAACATAACAAAATACTTACAAAAGCAGCTACAATCCAGAATGACTGTTTTTTCCACATTTTACAGAACTCAGATACATCAAAACTGATGATACCTTGTCAAGTAACCAGACGGCAAGTCAACATTCCTCTGATGACACTCAGTTCCTTGATGTCTTCTCTATTATTCCTTCCTTGATGTTGTCTATTTCTAGTAGTTGGCACGGCTTTCCTTCATTTGGTTATGAGATGTTTCCCCCATCTTTTATTCTTCTGGTGGTGTCTAAATTGCTTAAATAAAATAAAATTGCAGTATAATAATATCCTTTGTGGGTCTCAATCACATCATTCATTTTATTTACATAAACCACCACGACTCAAGCTTTGCTGACCCTTGTGTTGAAAGCAGGAGAAAATACTTACAAAGCTATCTATAATCTGGGATGACTGTTTTCTCCACTTCTTGTAGGATTCACGTGGCACCAACGATGATTGCAGATTGTCAAGTAACCAGGGGGTAAGTCAATATACCTGATGTCACTCATATCCTTGATGTCTTCTTCATTATTTTTTCTGTCAGACCTGCCACAACTGAAACCTATAAGTTTCATGATTGGGATTGGGTGGGTTCAATAAATAAATTTAAATTAATATCCTTTGAAGGGCTCAAGGATTTTAATCGTATAAAGTGCAGTGGCATAGGCATGTCCCAACCATGAGCCAAAAACATGACAAAATTCTTACAAAAGCATCTACAATCCAGAATAACTGTTTTTTCCACATCTTGCAGAATTCAGATAGCATCAAAACTGGTGATACCTTATCAAGTCACCAGTGGATAAATCAACATTCCTCCGATGACACTCAGTTCCTTGATGTCTCCTCTATTATTCCTTCCTTGATGTTGCCTGTTTCTAGTGATTGGCATAGCTTTCCTTCGCTTGGCCATGTGATGTTTTCCCCGTCTTTCATTCTCTTGCTGTATTCCAATTTTATTTTGGAGCTTTTATTGTTGGGTTGGCTGGTGATGTCTAAATGTCTTAAATCAAATTAAATTACAATATAATATGTGGGCCTCAATCCCAGCTCCCATTTTATTTATATAAAGCACCATGACTCTAGCATGGCCGACTCTTGTGCTGATTACACAAAGTAATCCGGGATGACTGTTTTCTCTACTTCTTGTAGAATTCACCTGGCATCAACACTGGTAGTAGATTTTCAAGTAACCAGGTGGTAAGTCAATATGCCTCTGATGACACTCATTTCCTTGATGTCTTCTCCATTATTTCTTGTGTACGTAACCGCAACCCGTGTGTTGTGACCCCCAAAAATCTCCCAATGTTTGAGGAGTAATTCCAGTAGAAATTTTGAAGTTGTTGGAAATGTTTAAATGAAGAACTTGTAGAGAACCATGGACATGACCTTTGGGAAGGTAGGCAGAGGCGTGTCTGTGTGTGTGTTGAAAACACGTTTTACATTCTGGAAACAGAAAACATGACTAGAGGATCCCAGAGAAAGTGGGGGAAATTAGTCAGGCTTTTAGGTTTCTTGGCATAGCAAACCTCTGTCCCTCACTTTTTCCATTATACCATTTGCCCTGAGAATATCATCTGTAATCTCCAAACCCAAAATTTCTTTTTTGTTTCCCTCAAGGGAATTCAACTATTTTGAAAGGGAGATGAGGTCTATATGAAGACATGTATTAGGATCAAGAACGTCGTAGGCCAGAGGTGTCAAACACAAAGCCCAGGGGCCGGATCCTGCCCATGGGGTGCTTAGATCTGGCCCACTGGCCAGCTGGCCTTCGGTCTCTGCTGCGCATGTGCACATTTGTGCATGTCCACCCATGTGCACACACGCACCTTTCAGTTTGGGCACTCGGTGTCTAAAAGGTTCGCCATCACTGCTCTAGTTGAATAAGCAATTAGAGAAGCTGGGATGGAAGAAGGCTGGTGAGCCAATGTGGACAAAAGTAGGCAGACAGACCTACATGTTGCACCATAAACCCCCAACCCAGTGGTGAAATCTAAAATTTGTTACTATCGGTTCTGTGGGCGTGGCTTGGTGGTGGTAGTAATGTGACTGGGTGGGCATTGCCAATTTTTTTTTTTACTTTTAAAAGCATTTTTTGGCCGAAGAGGTTGTAGAAAAAATGCTTTTAAAAGTTTTTTAAAAAGCCTCTGATGATTGTGCGGCTCAGCTGGGCATGGGGGGAGGGCACGGCTTTTTGCTACCGGTTCTCCGAACCACCCGCCTCCATCGCTACCGATCGGGCGATCCAGTCCGAACCGGGAGCATTTGACCCCTGCCACATTATTAGATTGAGGTGGGGGGTGGGACATTAATTGTAACCTGGATTTTTGACTCTTTCAGATGCTGCCTTTCAAGAACATCATCCCTGGAGGTCTGAAACCCAAGATGACCTTTATAATACGAGGCTTCGTTCCATGGAAAGCTTCCAGGTCTTCTTTTTTTTTTGCATGCTTTTGGGGATTCAGGTCAAGAAACAGAATTATTATCAACCCCTGACTTAGGAGGCGGCCTTAGAGAATGATTAGGACCTGAACCATTATTATGTAGGGATCTGCTTTCATCAAAAGAATGCTATTTAGTGGTAGACTACAGCTGAATATGGCTTTCTTTTTCTAGTTGTTTTTTTCCTCACATATAGCCCAACAAGGGTTGGCTTTGATTGTGACAGGACCTCCATATTCTGCAGCAGTTTATCAATAAAGGGTATTTGGAAAAAAAAGTTTCCCCCCTTAGCCTTTACCCACTGAAACATGTGGCAAGCTGCTAGTGTGTGTGTGTGGGGGGGTGGGTGGGTGGGGTGGGGGAAATGGAGGGATCACATTTCAAAAGCCTACTTTTCATTGCCTGCTTTTTTTCTCTTTCCAAGCTTTGGAATCGATTTTGTGGCTGGCCCAGATATTGCTCTGCACATTAATCCACGCCTGAGTCAGGGAACGGTGGTGCGCAACAGCTTCCTGAAAGGCAGCTGGGGACCTGAGGAACTGGATCTGCCCTTTAACCCTTTCGAATATGGGAAGTTCTTTGAAGTGAGTTGGCTTTGATTCCAGCAGGGAGGTATCTCTATACAAAGGTGGTTGTCAAAAAAATTAATATAGCTATGCACTGGATGTGTTACCCCTATTTTACCCGGATTCCAGCAAAGAGCTTGGCTGGTTGGCTGGTGGTAAAGCAAATAGGCAGGCAATGGAGAGAGGTGAGAAAATCCAACATGGTGCCTTAAAGATGTGTAAGATTCCATCTTCCATAATTTCCAGCTAGAACAGCCTTGAAGAATTAAAAACTGACCCTTTGGAAGGCTGGTGGGATAAATACACCCTCTAGTGGAGAAGAGTGGAATTGCTTCTCCAGAGATTCATTCAGAATTCCATTTCTAGCTCTCTGCTGGAAAATTGTCCTCAGGTTTTTTTCTTTTGGGGGGGGGGGTTAAAAAAATGTGGGAGCTACAACTCCCTGATTGAAGTCCCACCCCTTATGTATGGGGGGTGCTTTTTGAGTTTGATGCAACTGTGGATTATGCATCCTCCTCCCTGGAGGATTGGAGATGATCCAAATGTGTTGGTTCAGCTGTGCTAACATCCTTCCTCTCTTTCCAGCTCTCAATCAGCTGTGGCAAGTATCAGTTCATTGTTTATGCCAATGATGAGTTCTTATTCAGCTATACCCATCGTTACATCGATTTCCAAAAGATCAACACACTCAAGATTAATGGAGATGTGATCTTTTCCTACATCCAGTATTAAGGGGTGTGTGTCAAAAGACAAGCGCTGGTAGAGATCTCCTTTTTTCTCCTTCTCTGCCAGGCCACTCAGAGTTCTGCTGACCTAGAGCGATCTACAAAGCTCCAGTAAATCAATCAATCAATCAATCAATCAATCAATCAATCAGACATTTGAGAAAAATAAAGAATATTAAGCAATGTTTTCAATAAAACCTCTTGATCAAGCAATGCAAGCCTTATTCTTTTGCCCTCTGAAATTTAAAGACAAGAATAAACTTATAAATGTTAAAAAGTAACCCCAGTTCTCAAGGCAGGTTCTAGGCAGTTGGTTATGCAGTCTCTGCTGGGTAAGGTTTAATTCTTGTCTTCTTCTAGGATTATCTTTAACAAATTGTGGGCTATATCTATTCTATAACAGTGTTTTTTAAACTTGGCAATTTTAAGATGCATTTAGTTCCATTCCCAGAATTCCCCAGTCCCCATTGGGAATTCTGGAAAACACAGAATACATATCTTAAAGTAGTCAAGTTGAAAACCACTCATCTATACATATGTCTTATCAGTTCATATCTGTAGAATCTTTAAATTTGGAAGTGTTAAGTTAAAGAAGGCTGTAACCACCTCCATGAGCCAGCATGGTTGAATGGCTTAATGATTCTGGACATGGTCTTTGCTCCAGTGATTCAAGTCCTAGCAAGGCTGAGCTCCTGTCATTTGCCTCAGCTTCTGCCCACTTAGCAGTTCAAAAGAATGTGCTGTACAAGTAGATAAATCGGTACCACTTCAATGGGGAGACGAGCTGGCGCTTCATGCGGTTAGAATCCTGCCGGTGCTGAACCTTCCTGGTTGCAACGCCTCTTTGTAAGATGGCTTTGGTGGAGGGAGAGAGCCTTGGAAGACACTGCAGGAAAGCCATTCATTCGTTTTTCTTTCTGATGCAGACCTAGCTTGCCTTCCTGTGGCACACCTTGGGAAGCACATGAGAGTGAACCAAACATGGGTAGCAAACAGGCAGTCGAACTACTGCTCTGCATTAGCACTGTAGTCTCCTGACTAACGTAGCATTGCCATACCACAAAACCACCTCTATCACTCTCAAGAGGAAAGATTTGAAAATACCCACTGAATTCATAACCAAGTTACTGATTTTATTCATGTACAACTCAAAAGCACATTTAGATTAAAAAATACTCAACATAAAAAAACTCATGTTTATAGCAACAATAGAATAACTAGAGTTTGTTCAGATTCAGTAACTACAAAGAGCAACTGCTGTAATACATTTGTCTACTTTTCTGGAAACCTCAGAATTGTGCTCCCTTAGTCAGAAAAGTCCATTTGCCCACTGGGACCGACCAGAGACGTTTATGGTTAGAGGGGAGGTCTACTCAAATCTCCAACAACCATGTATGAGGAATGTTGTGTTGCACATGCACCTCATTTATGATGAGTCTTTAAAAACAAACATCAGTGATCATAAAAGAGATATTCATAGCTGGGTTAATGTCTCTTTCTGTCAGAGGGCATTCAAACCCTAATATACTGTCTAAAGCTTGGCCTAGGCCCCATACAAAGGCTTGGCTAGGAAAAGTACTGAACCATATCTCTGAATTAAGCAATTATTTCCTTTTCATTGTTTCACAAATGTAATCAAATCATGCAGGAATTTGATCTACTACAGAATCAGGATATGAGGGATATTCTTCTGCTGAAGATAGCCCTCGTATTTCAGAGACATATTTTCACAAGGGTGTTTGTGCAACCTGTGGCCTGGTAAATTTTGAATTTCTTGCTCATGAATAAAACATTATCTTCTACCTGCTTTCTAAACACTCATCAATAAACATATGCTATGAGTCATCCAGGATCACAGCCTGGTGGTGAAAAAAAGGTCTCTCCTGAAATGGCTTGGATCTCCGTTAGCATAATGATAAATCCTCCCTTCAAGCTAGTGCCATCTGCCAGGTGGGGGTCATAAAAGTCAAGATGATGAGGCTTTCAATGGCTCCTGCTTAAATCCATAATCTGTCTGGGGGGTTTACAGTCTCCCCCAACATCACCAAAACTGTCGTGCAGAAACAAAAAAAATGAAGATCCCTAAATTCCAATGACAATCAAATCCCACTGGAGCTGGAAGTAGAAAAACCCATTTTCTGAGTCAAAATCTTTTCCTAGCCTGGCAGGGGAAAAAAACTACAACCAAACTATCCTGTTAAGAATCTACTGCTCTTTCCACACCAGACTAAAAGAGTGCCCTGCAGCAGCTTCTGCCCTGTCTCCCTTTGCAGGACTGGCCCACCTGGCTCTGCCCCACCCTGCACTTCCCTCCCTCCCACCCCGATTGTCTCTGATGTGAAGTTTCCTTGATTGCCCAACCTTTGGTTTTTCTCCACTGGGAGCCGGCAGAGCCGGTGAAGCTGCCTTGTGGGCATCAAGTCACAGCTGCAGGGTTGATGTCACCCTCCTGGGGAGGCCTGACTCAGCGTGCCCTGGTGGGTGTGGGCAGGGCTGCTGCAGGAAAGATGCTCACGGTAGTCCCGGACATCTATAAAGAGGCTGGGCCGTGCTGCCAGCCTGCCTCCAGCCCAGCGCCGTAGAGATGGCTGTAGAATTCGAGAACTTTGTAAGTAGCACAACCGTTATGATTAATGCTGGAGCAGTTCCAGCTTGTATGTTGTCTTGATGGGGAGGCAGGGAGGGGAAGGGGATGTCACCATTAATGGCTGTGTTCAGGCATGTCTGCAAAAGATGGTCCAAAAAGTCAAGATGATGGCTACAATGGTACATGAAACAATAGTGCAATGCATATTTAAAAAAAAAAACAGGTACGGCTTTTCCTTTCAGATTTGCACTCACCATCTTGATTTTATGGATCCTCTGGCTGGGAGATGCAGAGGCCCTATGTGGGGATTGACATGATCTGACTGCACAATGGTTTAGATACCAACTCAATAAACCAAGATGGCACCAATCTCACCTTAGCATAAACCTAAAGCCAGTCCAAGAATCAGACCCACAGCAGCTTCTCATCTGATATCTGCCATGGAGTTTGGATTCAAGCCCAACACCCCACTTATTTGCTAGAAAGGATGGAGTGCATTTTTTCCCCTCCTAAACAGTCACATTTTCTTAGCCCAACCTGGACGGACAGAGGTTTGGCTAACCTTTGAGGCCAACTGTGTTCCCATGTGCACTTTACAACCCTCGACCTCCATCTGGAGCAAAGAAGGGGAGCAATTTGCCACATTGTGCAATGCAAGGGGTACCTGGGAAACAGCATTCTTTAAAAACCAGAGATGCAGAACCACACTAAACCCAGGATTTGGGGAGGGAGCTTGAAGCAGACTTGCGGATGGCATCCAAAGGTGCCTCTGACCATTTGGGTGTGTGTGTGTCCGAAATCCTATCCATTTGGGGACAGGCTGCCAAAGGGCAGCTTTGCAGGATCCAATGGCCTGACTTGGCTTTGGAGGACAGGGGTTTGGACTGAATTCTGCATTCCTCTGGCTATTGTGGGGGGCATCACAATTTGCCCCCTCTCCCTCCAATCTGGCCTGGCCTGGCCTGGCCTACCCAGCCTGTCCTCTTTTCCAAGAGCACACGGGTGTAAGGCAGCTGCCAACCGGTTCCGAGACCGGTTTCTCCTCTTGGGTGTGTGAGTACAAGTCCTGCCTGCCTGCCGCGGCTACATTCCAGGACTACGTTTCCCAGCATTCCTTCAGCAGCAGGCTGGAAGATCCACATTCACCGTCCAGAGTCACCCTATATGAGGGAGAGGGGCGGTTTCTTTTCTTTTTTTTAAAGGACACGTAAATAAATACATTCTGAAGCAGAGTTTCTCACCCTTGCTGCCTGGGAGTTGAAGTCTACACACCCTTATATTCAGGAAACTCTGCTCTGAAGCTTTGGCCGGTTGGTGAGTCAAATCATCATAAAAAAAGAGGGCTGGGAATCTATTTCAGACTCCATTTCTGTGAAGTAATCAACAGCTTTTCCCTCAGACCTGAAGGGGAAAAAAGCGCGCGCCGAATCCCCTCACAACGGATATTTATACCGCTTGTCAATGACGTCAGCGGCCAGCGATTGGTCAAATATCCGTTTAGCTCAGTTTTGGCGGGCTTTCTCCGTCTCCGGGCAGATTTTCTTCGCTCCCTCAAGGGAGCGTCTGGTAATCCCAGCAGCCTCTTGTGGTCCCTCAGTCATATAGGTGTGATAATGATTGTTTCCACCACAACCACACACCTATGTTCACACCCATCCACCCCTGGTTGCCATGTACTGTTACACACTCGTGTTCACATTTCTAAACAGAAGGAAGCAGAAAAGAATGATTTGGGGGTTTGATTCATCAGAGGTTTAGGGTAACCGGATTAAAAAAATTAAAGTGACTCTTTAGGATCTCAGCTGTTGCTCAGTAAACACCATGAAACTACCCTTACTTCAGAAAACATCCTGAAATTTGGAAAGAGAGGATCTCTGTTGAAAGAGATCTGACTCACTTTTTTTTTTATACCCCTCTGGAGGTGGATGACACTGTCTTCACATCAATGTTCTGCAACAGCGGAAATGTGAGAAACAACAGCTTAGAGAAATTTTCTTGGTACGTAAGAGATTTCAATGCAAGATCAGAAATCCCTGAGACTTATGACAGGTTGGAAGCCACCAAGAAGTCAGTCATAGCAAAATCAACTGGAAAACTCCAGGATGACATGAACAAAGGGCAAGGACTTGAATAGACCAGATTCCTGTTTGATTAAATTCAATCCAGAACTTGATTTATCTATTTCTTTGCTCAAGCTCAGATGCCGCTTCCCTTGTGACCTGTTTACATTTTCAGGTGCAGTTAAAAGGGTAGAACAACCAACGTAATAAAACCCAATAATACAATTCTCTCATCATACCTACCATTTCATTTCATAAATCAGTATAATCCATTAGATATATTCGCCACTATTGCAGAGGTAGATCTTGCTTATTTACTTTGTGACAGTTCAAAGTGGCAAGGAAGTTGTAACTTTACAATGAGTCCTTGCGCTTATAACAACCTCCTATGGTTGTGTAATTGCCACTTGTACGCATCACAGCTGGCTTCCAACAAGCAGAGTCAATAGAGAAGCCGGCTGTACAATTGCAAATTGCTGTGAGAATCAAAAAATATATCCTATTGATCTATTAGAATCATTCAATCCTATGGATGATAGCAGGCTCCAGAAGAAAGAACCAAAGTTTTCAGCTAGGATGGTTTCAAAATGTACCAGAGCTATTTGTAATCCTGCTGAGCCGTTGTTAACTGTGAAACATGTTTTTGCAAAATATGCACATGTATGGATACATTTAAAACAGGAAGAATGAAACTTTGGAAATGAGGAACTGAAAGTAATGTACACAGGTGTTTATGGAAAGTGACAGTTAGTGAAGTTGTGAAGCATGTATATGGTTAGAAGAAGAGTATAAAGGATAGGGTTAGAGATCAGCTCGGAGCCCTTTGATTTATAGCAGTCCATGTAGGATCTGCTGTATATCATTGGACCCCATTGCAATGGCTTGTTAATACAAGTGTATTAATGCTATTATATCTTTTATATCTATTCATTTCTTATGTTCCAAATTATTAGAAACAATAAACCTCTGATCTTAAAGTAAGAATTATTGCTTGTATTGTCTTTGTTTCCTATTGGAATGTTCTTATGACATTGCAATCGTGTAATGTATCACTTAGTGACTATGACACTTAGAAACAGTTGCTACTCCGACTGGTGGTTAAGTGAGTACTAGCTGTATATGATTGCAAGGGGGTGCCCATCTTAATGGTTTTCCTAAACTCCATCAGAGTTGGCAGGATTCCCTAACAAAGTAGGCTAAATGGAGGTTTGGAGTCACTGTGCTAAACCATAATATAGTTTCTTTGGAAATTGTAGATTATATGAACAGAGACATTTTAGTTAACCCGAGTTTAGCAGATTATATTCTCATGGAGCCTGAGAAACAAAGACACTCTCTTGTTTCTCAGGCTCTATGAGGCTTCTGTAGAGTCTCCCCAGCAATTTGAAGCCAAATTTTCAACTCCCAGACCAATAATTTTGGCTTACAGACACCTTTTTGTCCTCAAGAGGACTCGAATCATAGTGTACCATTTGTCACTTTGATTTTTCTCTCCTGCAGCGCATGCCTTACAATCGGGCTGTCCCGTGGGGCTTTGATGCGGACTCCTGGGTGATGCTGGAAGGCCTCATTCTGAAGCAAAGCAAAGGGTAACTCAGCACCAATCCCTTTCACTGGATCAACAACTACTTGGGTTGAGTTCATACATCATGTTTAAGAGGCTACTGAATTCCCATGTTTGGGGGAATGAATGGTTGATTTACCTCGAGGTTGAGTTGACCTCTCAAGCTAACCAAAGTGAAAACAAGCTATGTAAATGGAGTTGCTTGGTCTTTTGACTGATCCAGTTACGGGCAGCCAATTCTTAGGCTGTAGGGAAGCAGGGAATTTTTGTGCCCCTTTGAAAAGTTCCATTCTCAATCCATCCACACTGCAACTTGTAAATGTTACATGGCCATTTATAAAAACTCAGTGCCTTCCAGATGTTAGAACAGAGTTTCTCAGACATGCTACTGTAAGATAGGTGAGCCAACTTCCAGAATTCCCCAGCCAAAACTCTGCTGACTAGCTTGGCATATTTGTGTTGGGTTGACCTAAACAGGAATGTTGCAGATTATGCATCTTTCCTATCCCAGTGAGTCATGGTCGGTGAGGAGAACAATCCATGGGAGATGTTATAGAAGCCAGTCAGTTTCTCCTAGAAAAAGGTCAAGGAAGGGCAAATGGAAACAAGGCAAAAAAATCAAGCGGACTCTGATGTTCTTCTCCAGATTTCATGTGGAATTTGCTTATGGGCAGTTCAATGGGGCCAATATCCCTCTGAAATTCAAACTCCACTTCGAGAGGACACCAGCTTCTTCCAACAGCCCCATCCTGACTCTCAACAGCTTTGTAAATCAACAGTGGGGGAAAGAGATCCGGACAGCAACTCACTTCCAGCCAGGCCAAAAGTTCAAGATTTCTTTCATCGTCACCAGCAAAAGTTACAAGGTGATGGGATGAATTGATTGTCCTCCTTGATGGCAGGGTTGGCCCGCCACTTCACTAAATACAGGGTTGCACAAGAAGTAGAGACGGGGAATGGTGGTTGTCCAGCTATATTGGAGGTCAAAATCATTTGGGACTTTAGCATAAACATTTAGGGTGAGGATAATGAAGTCCAGAAAAATTGGGATTCAGTAGAAGAGCCTTCTCCAATCTCATGTCATCCAGATGTGCTTTGGCCAACCTGGCTGGCAAATGTACCAAAGAGCCTTGGTACTACAGTGGTTTAAAGCACCCTGTTATTAACACAGCTGCCTGCAATTTACTGCTGGTTCGAATCTCTCCAAGGCTCGAGGTTGACTCAGCCTTCCATCCTTTCTAAGGTAGGTTAAATGAGGACCCAGTTTGTGGGGGCAATAAGCTGACTTTGTATAAATATACAAAAGTATGAAGGCTATTGCTGAACGCACTGTAAGCCGCCCTGAGTCTCCGGAGAAGGGCGGCATATAAATCAAATTAAAAAAAAAAAAATGTGAGCCCATCTGGAGGACATCTGGGTAGTATAATTCTCACTTAACGTCCAGCTCACCTTGGCTAGCAGAAACAGTTGTGTACTCACAGCTGGGCCAGATGTTGCAAACTTCCCTCACTTCCCTGAAGAGCAAGGGTTCTAATCTTCACCCAATCTAATGGGTGAAGACCAGGACTACTTCCTTAAAAAAACATAATATACAGAGCTCTGTTCTCTAGCTTATGAATCCCTTATGAAAGGGATTGTGAGGACAGGTGCAAAGGGCTCTCTTGATGGTGAACACCTATAAGATGTATGAAAATTCTGGGCAGAAACATCTTCTATACTGTTTAATTCCAGGCATTAAGATGAATTTGTGAACCAGAATTACAGTGCTATCTTACAAGTCTGTTTCTTAGCAAGAGTTTCCAGTTGGTCTTACACAGGCCCGCAACATGCTAGTTTCCCATTCAAATATTAACCAGGCCTGACCTCGTTTAACTATGAAGGATAGAAGAGATCATAAAACCTTCTCTTCACCATCACCAAGCTTGGGGGAATCACACTCCTGATAGAATTGGAGATTTATCTTTTTTGCTGCCTTTTTTCTTTTTCGCCAGATAATGGAGAACGACATTTTGCTTTCTGAATTTGACCATCGTCTTTCACCCAAGGCCATCCGTTTCCTGGGAATGGATGGCGACATCAAGCTGGAGAAAGTAGTCTTCAGCTGGGAGAGGAAAAATGAAACCAGCAATCCTAGGTTTGATGAAGGCTGACTAGAGGAAGAGTCATGCAAATCAAATCATGCATTCAGGCTATTTTATAAGTTGATTTTGCAGCCAACATCGGAGGGCTATCTGTTGTCATTCTGAGGTGGCATCATAAATCATAAGACAGCACATCTTGGGTGGGTCTAATGTCTGCTTTTATTTGGAACGTCAAAAATAAATGTTATTTGGATTTTCTGGATCTACTTCAGCCTTCAGGAGTGTCCAAAGGGTACGGTCAGAAAAGTCAAGGCGACACACACATCACAGGCACAGCTTCAATTTCCCATCACCTGAACTTGTTCTTCCTCATTCACACCCAGAACCACCCAATTAAAAATTTGGTCTCCTGTCAAATCGATCATAAAAACGATACTGCTCTTACATGTATGAACACAACCGCTTCTCTTGTTTGGCAGCCATGCTGGTGAGGGAATTTTGGAAGACAACCAGATCCTACACTGCTTTAGGATCAGAGTCCAAGTTGACTAAAATTCTTCACATTGTACCTTTTTCCTCGAACTTAGGAAGAAATTCCAGGCCAAAGATGAACCAGGAAAGCAAAACTTAATACTGAGAAACATTTATAAATGGATTTTTCCCTAGAAGCCTTTACTGTACCAATCATCTTTCAGAGAAATACTGTTAGAAAAGGACAGGAAGTGAATAAATAATAAACAATAAAATACTACTGGTAATTTTTGATTCAGCCACCTAAGTCCATACTGGATTGGTCCCTGAAACTCTTTCCAGTCCAACCGGTTTATGGGCCATGCATGCTATGACAAAAACATGTGATTAGTGGAAGACAAATTGTCATGCATATATACTGGATTAGGGAGATTTTTCAGAAACATTTCACAACCCTGTCCCTTCTTGTGGCTTCTTTTTTTAATAGAGACTCAAGTCTTTTCCAGCCCAGGTATAGCAGCTTCCTTCTCTCAATTTATTGATTTTTTTAAAAAAATTTGATTTATATGCCGCCCTTCTCCGGAGACTCAGGGCGGCTTACAATGCGTTAAGCAATAGCCTTCATCCTTTTGTATATTTATACGTCAGCTTATTGCCCCCACAATCTGGGTCCTCAATTTACCTACCTTAGAAAGGATGGAAGGCTGAGTCAACCTTGAGCCTGGCGAGATTCGAACCTGCAGTAATTGCAGGCAGCTGGTTTTAATAACAGGGTGCTTTAGACCACTGTACTACCAAGGCTCTAATGAAGCCTTGAATGAATGAATGAATGAAGGGCACTTTTATTTTTAAAGCAAACAAACCCTCAGCACAATGTATAATTGCATGGCGTTCTCCAGAGGGGAACATATATTCATCAGGTAGGATTACAAAAATAAACCTATTTATTACACATAGCCATTCATCGTACCATTCACCTGGGATGAACTGTTTTGGATGGCTGAAACCCTCCCACAAAAGCTACTTTCAACCCATTTTCAAAATTACGATGGCCGCACCCTATATAGCCACGTGATCAGGGCTTGTCAACTGGCTTGAATTTACAGCCATTTGTAGGGTGCTGTGACTGATTTGCCTTTTTTTTTTTTTTGCTCCTTTCCAGCGTTTACTTCAGTTCCTTCTCCCCCCCTAAAAACCCATCCGATAAAATGGATTCAGTTATCCATTGTGGCATTTGCTTAACAATCATTGCAAAAAAAAAAAAAAATCAGGGCCCGTCACGTAATGCTGTGACTTATGACCATAACTTCAGGCTCAACTATGGTCGTAAATTGAGAAGTATCTGGAGTAGAATCTACTGATGATGGGAGATGGTCGGCTCACTAAGGATGCCGTCTACCAAGGACCACTTCTCTCTTCCGTTGATTTCCTAACCTTCGGATCAAAGCAGCTTCCTAATAAACCAGGTTGGGGAACAACTTTAGAAACCGAACGTCAGGGTCAGCATTTTCTGACCACGGTTTGGAAGGTGGATAAATCTGGGCTAAGCCGGACTCTCTACTTAATTAAGGCTTTCTAAGGGGAAAAAAGGGACACAGTAGCTCAGTGATCAAGATGCTGAGCTTGTCGATCGAAAGGTCGGCAGTTCAGCGGTTCGAATCCTGAGTGCCGCGTAACGGGGTGAGCTCCCGTTGCTTGTCCCAGCTTCTGCCAACCTAGCAGTTCGAAAGCATGTAAAAAATGCAAGTAGAAAAATAGGGACCACCTTTGGTGGGAAGATAACAGCGTTCCATGCGCCTTCGGCATTTAGTCATCCCGGCCACATGACCACGGAGACGTCTTCGGACAGCGCTGGCTCTTCGGCTTTGAAACGGAGATGAGCATTGTCCCCTAGAGTCGGGAACGACTAGCACATATATGCGAGGGGAACCTTTACCTTTACCGTGAGAAAAAAGCAACTACATACGGGTGAGCCATAACAGTCTGGAAGAACCTTGGAGAAGGCAATAGGGGGAAAAAACAACACTTGAACTCACCCTTAAAAATATTATATTTTATTGACTGGTTTCCCAAGAGCAGGGAGAGCTGCTTCCTCAGAAAAGTGTGGAAATTTTAGAACAGATTTGATGGCCAGTAGAGGCAGACAGAACCTGGTTACTCCTTATTATGTCAGGGCTTTTACCCTTGGTAGACAGATTTTTGTAGCAACTGCAATAAAATAAGTCATTAAACTTTTTCCTGATGGCAAAGAGAAAAAAAAGAGAGAGAGAGAAACAAAACCGAAAGGATGCCCTCCTAACTCCCCCACCCCCAAAACAGTGTGGAAATGTTAGTTTATGGTGCTAGAGGCAGCCGTAACCCTTAACTACATGTTGAAAACGAGGGGGCAGGAAAGGGACAGAAACAATGTGTCCCCACCCCAATCAATTAACAATATACAATGCTAGAGGAATATATATATTTATATTTAATAATAATAATAACCATCTGGATTGTTGTTAAATTGCAACCAATTTGCTGTGTCTCTTTAAAAAACAAAACAAAAAACAATTGAGATTTGCATGGTTCTCTTTGAATTTTGAATTTGGTCCTCAGAAAACCCTGCACCATGATGAAGGAGAAATTACAAACAGACGTACGAGGGAGAAGCGACGGATCGAAAGTGTTATTCAGAGAAAAAGGAGAAGGAAGACTTGATGCTGCCCTCTCCTCCCCACCCGCCCCCCAAAAAAACCACAACAGGAACAGCTGAGCAGGTTCGGAGGACTTCCTGGCGAAAGGTTTGCCGGCTTCTTCCTGCCCCGTTTTGCAAAACCTGACATTTGCACGTCCTTCTTTCGTGGTCCCACCAGCCAAAGCTTCCCATATACCTTCCCTTAAGAATCCCCCTTCCAAAATAACGGTGGATGCTCCATGGGTCAATATCCCCTTTTCCTTTATCTTAGTCACTGCCCCACAATGGGGGGGTGGGGGAAGAGAAAACGTGCAAAAATGGGAAAACCCCAGGCCACCTTTGCAAGCAAATCCTGGCTTGTTTTGCCTTCTTGGATCCAAGAAGAGTCCAAACGGCAGCAGAGAGATTTTGTGTGTGTGTGTGTGTGTGTGTGTTGGACAGTGGGGACGCGTTTGCATTCTCAGCCAGAAGTGCCCTCCACCCAAATAACGATAGCCCACTTCTTCTAAGGCAGAATGTTAGAAGCACCGGCCACCCGGGAACGTATTTCAACAAGGTGGGCTGGGGGGCAGGAGTCATCGTGGGCCCGAGAGACCCCTGCCCAGGTCCAACAATTGTGCCTCCCTACTGTGCTGAACACGGCTGAGAAAGGGGGTGGGGTCAGCTCGCTTTGGCGTTGCTAAATTAAAAAGTGGGTAATGGGTTTTTTAAGACGGCAAAGGAAGGTCCTAGCACGGAAGGATAAGAGAGTAAGTGCCTAACCTAAGAAGGGGAAGGAACGAGAATCCTGTCCAGCATTAAAACATACACACATCCAGAGAAAAGTGGGGTGCCCGCTCGATCCCCCTATTATCCATGCACCAGCACTGTTTAGTTCCTGCCGAGTTCCTGCCTACCAGCTACATAAATTAAAAACAAAGAATGAGAAACGAAGCAGGGGACGGGACAACAGAGCCTATAAAAAAGCTTTCCCCTACTTTTTGAACATGATAAGAAAAATATATATATATACCCCCTTCCCATACCAAGGGATATAAGTTGAACAAACCCCCTTCCCAAACTGTGTCTGGATGCTTGTTTGCTGGACTTGGCGCTCCGGCACCCATGATTCTTCCTGCCCGTCACAGCGACGCAATAATCAACGGGGCTGCTGAGTCCCTCTGGAGGGAGTCGGGGGGGGTGTCTTGCCGAAGGGCCCCCCGAAAAAAACCATGGCTGTTGCATAGGTAACCGTGCTCCTAGAAGTCACAATTTTTAAAAAAAATAGATAAAAAGAAAAAAAATGAGAGGAGGCAGCTTCTCGTCTTCAGAGAAAAGGAATAGCGTGGGGTAGTCCCGTTGGTGCGGTGGGCGGGTGAGTGTGTGCAAGTGAGAGGAAGAGGAAGAGGCAGAGAGAAAAAGAGAGAAAACAAAGATACGGTGTGGAAGGAAACGGAATGGGCCTCCCCTCCTCCCTTCCTAAGAAGTGCCAGCGCTTGCTGCTGCCGCCGTTGCCACACCCTCACAGGTCGCTCTCGCCGTACAGCGCCGTGGAGAAGGATTTGTAGTCGAGGGCCCCGGCAATGGTGTCGGGACCCTGGTAAGGTGCCATCCGGGCAATGCAGTATTCTGCCTGGTCTGGAGGGAGCTCTCGCCGCAGTTCCTCCGCTGTGATGTAGTTCTGAGCGGGGGAGAGAAGCGGGTCTTGTGATAACCATAGCAAGAGCACCTAGACTTATATATTTATATAACTTATATACCGCTTCACAGTGCTTTTACAGCCCTCTCTAAGCGGTTTACAGAGTCAGCACATTGCCCCCAACAATCTGGATCCTTATTTGACCGACCTTGGAAGAATGGAAGACCGAGTCAAACCTTGAGCCGGTCAGGATCGAACTGCTGGTGAGTGGCAGAGTTAGCCTGCGATACTGCATTCGAACCACTGTGCCATCATGGCTCGTGATGCTACCCAACCTGGTTAGCCAGTTCTTTAGTGCAGTGGGAGGACCCGTTTCCCAGGATCATTGGGCCTGCCTCTAGCCAGCTTCTCCCCACTTCTGGAAGCCCCACATCCCTGCCAAAACAACCCTGGCCAAATTCTGCAGGCAACGAAGTCCTTCAGCTCACCTTGTCTCCAGCCAGAACTTTGAAGGAAGCAATGACCTGATCAGCCGTGTCTGTGTCGGTTGTTTCCCGGGACATGAAGTCGATGAAGGCTTGGAAAGTCACCACACCGCTGTTGTTGGGGTCTACGACGCTCATGATCCGGTTGAACTCTGCGTCGCCCTGATAAGGGAGGGTAGGTGGGGAGGAGAACAAGACTCAATTCTTCCTGCAGGATGACGGAACCCAGGCCCACTTCTGAAGGGTTCTGCACACACACACAATGTGTGCCAAAGCAGGAACTCTTGAATCCTTCATTGGTGGGTTTCTGATCTTTGGCAAGATTAAAAACATGCGGACTTCAACTCCCACAATTCCCCAGCTGCTCTGCATGGCCCCTGCTGGCTGGGGAATTCTGGGAGTCAAAGTCCACACCCCTTAAAGTCGCCAAGTTTGAAAAATGCAGCTCAGTCTGAGCATTAACTCACGGTTTTCTCGTTCTTCTGTCCTCACCCACCCACCAGTCTGCATGATTTCCCCTCCCCTGCCCTCCCCAATGTCACATTCAAGGCATGGCCTGAAAGCCGTTGCCAAAAAAGGCAAAGAGGTGAGCTGGAGCAGCAGCGTCAGAGCAGCGAGAGAGCCAAGAGAAAGGCAAAAGCAGAGAGCGTACCAGGCTGTATCCCGTGGAGATAAGGAGGGCTCTGTAGTCATCTGCATCCATGCTCCCCGTGCGCTTCTATTCCAAGCAGCCAACAGAAAAGGGAGGAAGGAAGGAAGGAAGGAAGGAAGGAAGGACAGACAGGAACGAAGGAAGGAAGGAAGGAAGGAAAAGTGGCGGGCGAGCAGAGATGGGTAAAGCATGCCGAGAGTCGACGGTGAAAAAGGCATCGACCCCACAGGAGGAGGAAAAGACGCAGAAAGAGAAAAGTCAGTCGGAAAGTATTTGGGATGGGGATCAGCACAAAGGGGGGGGGTGTAGGGGGCAGGAGCAGTCAAAGGGGACCAGATACCAAACATCAGCACGATAGTCAGAGAGAAGGGAGGGAAGAGGAGAACGTAGCGAAGGAAGAGAGAAAGGAAATCGGTTAATTGCAATCTCGTCACTGGCGGGCGGCGCGATTCACGGGGCAACGGGTACCTGTCGGTCATTCTCCACATCGTATCCCAAGCTGATGAGACAGGCCTTGAACTCTTCGGGTCCCAGGGAGCCGCCGTGGTCCTACCGCCAGGCCGCGGGTAGGGAGGGGCGCAGGGCACGGCACGCCCGTCGAGGAAAGGCAGGGGTGGCAGGGAGGCCCCCCGTGAAGGCGAGGAAGGCGGAGCAGAGGGGAAAAGACACGCCGTTAGTTCAAGGCTGGCTGTTGGGGTGGGGGGGTGTGTGAGATCCAAACCAGCTTAGGACTCTTTGACAGGGAGTGGGGGGCTGTAGGACGTCTCCCCATAGCTGGTGGAAGAAGGAAAGGCCAACAAGGGCTGGCCAAGTTACCTTTCACCCCTGCTTAAGCTGGGGACCCCACCTGCTGGCAGAAATCCAATGCCCTGGAACTGCATGGCCACAGTCTGCGCCAGGGCAGCCCAATCTGCACCCCAATGCTTGGGGTTGGGGAGCTGTATCGAGCTCACCCTGGCCTTCTTTTTAGGTGACGGGCAAAGGCAAGAACGTTATGGGATGGCCCTAGCATCGCTTGACCCCAAAGGATCCTTGTGTTATGGAGACCAGGAGAAAGGATGGTTAGTAGTAGGTTTCATGATCTGGGCGGGACAGACCGAGACCCGGTCTCGTTTCATACCATCCAAGGTAGACGGAGGTTGCTACAGGGATCTTAAGGCTTGGTTTAAGAAAACCCAGATTATAATCCCGATCCAGAAGAACTGGATGATCCTGACTGTGTCAGGTTGGGCTTCCTTTTTTAAAGACGGGGATCTACGTGGCTACGAAACTAAGATAATACCTAGCAGTATCTAGGAGTAAAAACGAAATAATATCCTTGATGTAGCCTAAATCAGGGGTCTTCAAGCGTGTCAACTTGAAGACTTGTGGACTTCAACGCCCAGAATTCTGGGAGTTGAAGTCCACAAGTCTTAAAGTTGCCAAGGTTGGAGACCCCTGGTCTAAATCATAGAACTGTAAGGCTAGAAGGGACTTCGAAGGTCTTCTAGTTCAACCCCTTGCTCAAGACAGGAGCCTTATACTATCCCTTAAATTGTTTCTAACTTTTGTTACTTATGTATTTTATTCTGTGCCTGTTCACCGCCCTGAGTCCTTCGGGAGTAGGGCGGTATATAAATTTAATAAAACATAAATTTAATAAAACAAACAAACATCCCAGTCAAATGGCTATCCAATCTATTTTTGAAAACCTCCAGTTAAGATGCCCACCTCTTTGTCTCTTCTACCCCTGAATTGGACTATATACAAGAAATGCTACCTAGCTTCCCTTCGGAGAGCCAGAGACTTCCAAAGAACCAGGAAGGACGTGTGGGTAACATCCACGCGTGTAAATGGGCTACACAAGAGAGGCCCTCCCAGCTATCCCACTTCTCCTACTCGGGTACCTTGTCAAAATGATTGAAGGAGGCCCGGAATTCTTGCATCTGCTCCTGGCTGATCCCTTTGGCGTCCCGGGTCAGGATTTGATTCTCCACCTCGTTGATAGTCCGGGCGATGGTGGTAAGGAGCTGTTCCGATCCAATCCGGATGTGCTGGATGGAAAAATGAAAGGAAGAAAGGGTGGAGGTGGGGGTGGGGGGGAACAAACAAACAAACAGCCAGAATGAATTAATAATCGCTTCATCCTCACGTGTCCTTCCCCCAAAAGTTGCTCAACTAGCCCAGGCAGCATCCTGAAGTTCATATGGCTGATTTAAGACAGACACACACTTCAACAGATCATTAGAACTGCAGAAAAAAACAATGGCTACCAACCTGCCTTCCATGGAGGACCTGTATACTGAACGAGTCAAAAAGAGGGCTGTGAAAATGTCTACAGACCCCTCGCATCCTGGACATAAACTGTCTCAACTCCTACCCTCAAAACGACACTATGGAGCACTGCACACCAGAACAACTAGACACAAGGACAGTTTTTTCCCAAACAGCATCACTCTGCTAAACAAATAATTCCCTCAACTGTCAAACTATTCACTAAGTCTGCACTACTATTAATCTTCTCTTCCTTACTAGTATCTATCTCTTCTCACTTATGACTATAACCACATTGCATGTATCTTTCAATTTATATTGTTTTTATTTGTTTCCTGGTACGATTTGACAGCTTATTAGTAACCTTGACTATCACTAAGTGTTGTATCTTTTTATTCTTGATGAACGTATTTTATTGTCCTTATGTACACTGAGAGCATATACACCAAAGACAAATTCCTTGTGTGTCCAATCACACTTGGCCAATAAAGAATTCAATTCAATTCAATTCTATTCTATTTTTCTCTATTCTGTACTCTATTCTATTCCTCTCCTCTTCTCTTCTGCATTCTATTCCTATTCTCTTCTCTTCATTCCTCTGTTCTATTCTACTCCATTCCATTCCATTCCATTCCATTCCTATCCCTATCCTATCCTCCATTCTACTTCTACTTCTATTCTATTCTATTCCTATCCTCCATCCTACTTCTAATTCTATCCTATCCTATCCTATTCCTATCCTATCCTCCATCCTACTTCTAATTCTATTCTATTCTATTCTATTCTATTCTATTCTATTCTATTCTATTCTATTCTATTCTATTCTATTCTATTCTATTCCTTCAAGTCACTCTACCCTTTTCTCCTGGCACTCCTGGACGTTCGTCTGAATGAAAGCTATTTTCAGCAATCCCATCTGCTTGTTTAACAGACGCACACATGGCTAAAGCAACGAGAAGGAAAACAACACCCGAGCACGTTTCAAACAAGGATGTCAAAAGTTGAATCTACCCAGCTGGTAAGAACACAAGGAGAAGGCAGCCTGCTGAGAGCACGTTCACACGCGCACACATACACAACGTTCCCCCCTGGTGCGTATTCAGCTGTGTGTTAAAATTATAGCCCGGTTCCCATCCCTAGTCTGGATGACGTACAGGATAAAAGCTGCTGTGAGGGCCCTGGATGCTTATTGGAAGTCTCTCCCCTTACTGGCCTTCATCCACCTTCCCCATAGATCAGTGTTTCTCAACCTTGGTAGCTTGAAGATGGGTGGACTTCAACTCCCAGAATCCCCCTTGAGAAACACTGCCATAGAGTGACCCCCACCCCTCGGCTGTGTCCTCACCTCCATGGTGTAGTTAGTGTGCTTGTTGTCGAAGATCAGAGCCTCCTGGATGAGCTGGTGCTGCTGTTCCAAGATGTCGATGTTGGGTTTGTACTCGACGATGTTCAGCTCGTATTGCTTGAGGTGATTCAACTGGTCCTCCAAGGTGCCATTCATCTCAATGGAGATGCGCCCAATCTCCTGCTCAAGGGAAGGCCAATGGGATTGAGTTGACACACTTGCTTGGAAGCAGGGGTGAAATGTAAAATTTGTTACTACCGGTTCTGTGGGCATGGCTTGGTGGTGGGGGTGGGGGTCATGTGACTGGGTGGGTGTGCTGTTACAGATAGTGAGTCCTAGTGAATTAGTTACCTTAAGGATTACGAGCTGTCTCCTTAAGAGATTGCATTGTGGGAGATGTAGAGGGAGAGATTGCATTATAGGAAATGTAGTCCATGACATGTGACCATATCTGTGTGTTTGATCGGCAACTGAGGCTCTCTGCCTAGTGCAGAAAAAAGACCCGGCCATTTTGAATTACCACAGAAGAGAGAAGCATGCTTTCTGTACAGGGGGACAGAACTTCCATCATTTTACACTAGGAAATGGGACAGATTACAAAATCAGGATGAATCTCACCTGGACTCACCAAGATTGTAAGTCTATGTTTGAGGATACCCTAATAAACGATCTGTATGAAAACCTGTTTGCTAAGAGTTTATCTGCCTGTTCCCAGTGGAGCCAGATGCCTGGGGAACAGAACAGTGGGTGTGGCCAATTTTTTTTTTTTTTTACTTCTTTAAAGCATTTTTTTACAACCTATTCGGGCGAATAGGTTGTAAAAAAATGCTTTTAAAAGTTAAAAAAAAAAAGGCTCTGACGATCACAGCTGTGCCGCACGATCGTCAGAGCCTTTTTTTTAACCTTGTAAAAGCAGGAAGTAACGACACCCGGGCGGGTGGGCGGAGCCTCGTGCCGCCATCGCTACCGGTTCTCCGAACCACCTGCCACAATCGCTACCGGATCGCCCGATCCGGTCCAAACCGGGACCATTTCACCCCTGCTGGGGAGGCTCACATAAAGAGAGAGAGACCCACGGGCTCCGCGGTCTTAACCACCGGTGCCCTTAGTTAGGTTGGCAATCCAGCTTCTCTTGCCAACAGAAGCTCAAGATTCCCGGGCAAAGCTTCTCACCTCCATTTTGGTCTGGATCCAGGGCCCCACGATGTTGGCCTGGCTGGCGAACTGTCGGCGCAAGCGTTCATTGGACTGCTGCTTGCTCTGCTCATCCTGAAGGGCGCTGTCCCTCTTGGGTACCAGTTGCTGGACCTGTCGGACCCAAAGGAAGAGAGCCACCATTGAAGGCGACGTTCCTGGGCTCCTCACCCACCCAACCCCTGGCTTAGGGAGAACTCGGGTTGCAACCCAAGGCGGGCAGGCTCTGTCTTCAGCTCCGCCCACTGAGTGTGCATATCGGACGGCCCGGGAAGCACAGGCGTACCTACCCTTTCCCACTTGGAGTTGATGATCTGAGGCGTGACGGAAGTGTAAGGATTGTTCCCGGAGAGCTTTATGTTGTTGTAGTCTGCGATCTTCTGCGCTTCGCTCTCGATGCCCAAGATGGCTTCTCGTTCTCTGTCGGCATCGGGCAACGTGGATTTGAACTGATCGTGGGCAGCAATCAAGCCCTGGAAAGGAACCACACATTCAAAGTCGAGATGGGCGAGGCCAGATCGTTTCAGCCCCAGCCCCACGCCCAGAAAAGACACGAACGGGGTGTCCCCAGGTTCATCCCTATTTGTCTTGGTGGGAATCCAGATGTTTCCCAGAACAAGTTGGGCTTCTTCCATTTGCAGCAGGACGGAGCGTGAGGGGGAAATTCCCCCCTCCCCACCAAGAAGTTCTGGGATGGGAAGGAAGCCAGCTAGAAAAACTTCCATCTGGAGTTGGAGTTTGCACTTATACCGTATTTTTCGGACTATAAGACGCACCGGAGTATAAGACACACCTTAGTTTTTGGGGAGGAAAGTAAGAAAAAAGCTGATTTAGGGTGGATCGGTCTCCCGGAATAACCCCAATCAGCTGTTCCCAGAGATGAACTTTAGCAACAGGTTCGTTGGTTATGAGCTCTGCGCCTTGCTTTTTTCCCAGCCTCTCAAACGGAGGTTTCAGAGGCTTTTTTCAGCCTGTGAAACCGCCCCAAAGGCTGGGCGGGACTACATTTGGTGTATAAGACGCACCCAAATTTTCACCCTCTTTTAGGGGGGAAAAAGGTGCGTCTTATACTCCGAAAAATACGGTAAGTAGCTGAAGGTTCTCCTATTTATTTATTTATTTATTTTTTAATATTAAAAGTCTGGCATAATTACAGATGTGTTGCCTCTTTGAAGCTTCTACTTAGCATTTTCTGGTTCTGTAATCTTTTTACATTTCAAGAAATATATTTGGAGCTTTTAAGATTTTATATCCAGTATATATATATATTTTAAAAACCGCCTTTATCCAGTATATGAATTTATTTTTTAAAAAACAGTCTTTCTCCAGTCCCTTGTAACCACGTAACGTAAGTGTGTAATGCAACCTGATTTTAACACATCATTTTTAACCCTTGCATGTTCTCCCTCAAAACCAGCCCCGTAGGAGGCAAATGACAGCAGATTTTTTAAATTTTAAGAAACTAGGCTGGGAATTCATTGCGTCGTGTCTGCCAATTCTGCTTATTTATTTATTTTATTTTATTTTATTTGTATACTGCCCTTCTCCAACAGGACTCAGGGCGGTGAACAGCCATGGTAAAACATAACATATAAAATTTAAAAGCAATTTAAAAACATTAAATTTGGCTATCCAATTAAAACAACCCCGGTTAAAACCAATTACAAATTAAAAATTGAAGGGATGGGATCAAGCCCATCTGGGATTTGCTTCGGCATCGCAATCTTGCCAGCCTGACAATGACGGGAGGGAGAAGAGATTGAAATGTGGGTGGGTGGGATGGAAGCAGAGCTGGCCCCGACTAGGAGGAGCACCCATCAAGCACAAGGTCCGCAAAAGGAATGCGGAGATAGGAAAGGCTTGAACACAGGACCCGTTTCCAAAATAACCTGAGAAACTTTTAATTGAACACTGACTGATAACTTTGGGGCGGGGGGGAGAGAAATGGCCAGGGGCAAAGGGAAAGTGAACTGCCTCGTTTTCGTGCCAAGCCAACGGATTCTGCCTGCTCTAATCTCTGTAACCGCTTGATTCTCAGCGAAGTATTATAATACCCTTGGAAAAAGAAATGAGCCAGGAGTCTTTCTTTGCTAATTAAAACTAAGTGGGATGGATGACACAATTGGATCAGACAGCAGACGTGTCGACTAATCTCCCTTAAGCACCACTCATCTTTCTCTCTCTCTCTCTCTCTCTCTTAGCTGAAGCCCAGGTAGATACTGTTCTGAGCTAGGCTTCCCCAGCAGCACGAAGCCGAGTCCTCGTCCCGATAAAACCCTTTTATTGAATTGACAGTGAATTCCTCTCCAGCAAAGTCTTTCCTCTCCCACAGTCTTTCAAGACAGTTCACAATTACCGACCTTTATCAGGCTTGGAGAGTGGCCAGGCCGGTATCTTTCAGACACCACAATACTTGGCAAGAATGCAGGAATGAACTAATTGTCTCCTGCCAACTCCACTCCCTTTTTGCTCCTCTTTTATTCCCTCTGGGAGGGGCCCTTCATCATCCACCTGTGGCCTTACTTCTGAGTCGACCCTTGTTCTTTAGCTGTTCCCTTCGTCTGGCAACTCTGCGCATGCGCACTCTGGGAACAGGCTCCAGCTGTTTGCCTGCCTCACAGATGTCAGACTCCGAAGGCAGCTGATAACTGTCAGACGGCCCTGGCCCCCTCTCTGCCTCTGATGCAGAGCCCTCCTCAGAGCCTTCCCCAGACTCCAGGACTGGGCCATGTTCCTCCCTAACCTCCTCACTGTCCGAATCTGCTGCCAGATCCGCTGGCCACTGGCGGGCCACAACAGATACTTCCAGATCCTTGTACCATAGAGAGGGTAGGAAAACTCAACAGACAGCCCTCGTACCTCTATCTCCTCTATGGTATGGACAATGAACATATCCTGGAGGTCCTCCATTGCACTTTCCATCCAGTTGTTGAAGGGCGCGGCTCGCTTGGCATATTCCAGATGGAGCTGGTCGATGGTCTCCAGCTGCTTCTCTGTTTTCTTCGGAAAGAGAAACGGGCAAAAAAAGGATTAGGTCTCCTGACACCGTACTCGCTCGCTCACCTCCTCCTGTGGCGGGGCAGGCTTCTGCTCACCTCCAGCGCTTCCCTCCGTGTGTGGGTCAAGGACCCTAGGGAGTCCCACTGGTCACAGATCTTTTGGCACCGGGCGTTGACACTGGGGGAGTCGTAATAATCCAGCTCGCTGTGGGGCAGAGAAAAGGGAGGGCATTGGTGGGGTGGGCAGGTAACCAGGAAAGAGTTCTCTTGTGGGGCCCTAATCGCCTCTCTATGAATTATGTGGTTATGTTGCTGTAAGCCACTGAGAATCTAGTGACTATCTATCTTCTACCTTTCTATCATCTCTCTATATCTATATCATCCACCTATCTACCTATCTTCTCTCTATATCTATGTATGTATGTATGTATGTCTCTCTCTCTCTTCTCTCTATATCTCTCTATGTATCTATCTACCCTGTTTCCCCGAAAATAAGACATCCCCTGATAATATGCCCAATTGGGCTTTTGAGCACATGCGCTAAAATAAGCCCTCCCCCAAAATAAGCCCTCCCCGGAAATATTTAACCACATGTGCAGCTGGTCCCCGTCATTTCCTCTGATTAGGGTTAGGGAGACAGAGCGGGTGGGGAAGGCCGTTTTCACCCTCCCCAGGCTCCAAGAAAGGCTCTGGAGCCTGGGGAGGGCAAAAAAATGGGCCTACCAGGCCCACTGTGCCAAAAGCAGGGGGACAATGAATTACGGGTGTGGGCACGCATGTGCGCGACACCCCCCCGCCACGCGACCCCTGCTTTTGGCACGCAATGGCAAATGAAGCCTTGGTAGTACAGTGGTCTAAAGCACCCTGTTATTAAGACCAGCTGCCTGCAATTACTGCAGGTTCGAATCTCGCCAAGGCTCAAGGTTGACTCAGCCTTCCATCCTTTCCAAGATGGGTAAATTGAGGACCCAGTTTGTGGGGGCAATAAGCTGACTTTGTATAAAATATACAAAAGGATGAAGGCTGTTGCTTAACGCACTGTAAGCCGCCCTGAGTCTCCGGAGAAGGGCGGCATATAAATCAAATTAAAAAAAAAAAAAAAGGTTAGCCATCACTGGTGCAGGGGCTTTCTTTGAGGTTTGCAGTTCCCGGGTCTGGCCACAAGAGGGCACCCGAGTTCCTTCTTTCGGAATCTGGTGCCCAGGGAGACAAGCCAGCCTCTCAAACATGGCTTGTTGCTTTAAGGACCAAACAGGGAAACCAGCATCCAGCCACTGGCCAAACGAAGCCCCTGCCCCCAGAACGGCGACCGACCAGCCTCCGTTCCAAAGAGTTTCTCCGATGCCAGAGAAAGAATTGAGGGCTTCTCCCCCTCCCCACACACACACAGACCCCCCAGGCTTCCAAATGTTGGCAAGCAGCATCCTCGGGATGAGTGTGCGCTAAGTGTGTTTGTGTAAACGCAGGGGGGCTGTGGGTGAAGTCATGCTGCAGGCTACACACACACACACACACCAGGGTTTCTAACTTCTCGGCCCCTCTCAGCCCCGAAAATAAGGGACCCCCCCCTCCCCTAGTCAAGGCAGGCTCAGCCTGTGGCCTGTGTGTATGTATACTTATGGCGTGTGAGTTTATACGAGGTGGGGGGGCAGGAGGAGTGTGGGGGGTGGGAGGAGTTTGCTCTAAACTCTTACAAGGACCGCATTCTGGCACAACACAGCAAGGGAGGAGGGCTGGAGAACAATGGGGGTACTGTGTAATCGGGGAGGGGGGCAAGTGGCGGGGGGTAGGGTGAGAAAAACACCCTTTGAGGAGCTTCCATTCCCCAAAAGAGAGGTGATCCTAGCTGACTTCAGACGGGAGTCAAGGAGGTGTTTGAAAAAGGATCTTAAAAGATAGGTTTTTGGAGCTGGAGGGATCTGAAAAAGGATCTTCAAAAGATAGTTTTTGAGGGGGAAGCTGCGACTGAGGGGGAGGACGGCTGCTATTTTGAACTTGCCAAAAATACCTTACAACGTCTTTTTGTGTCTTGCGGCAAGACGGTCCAAATCTCACACACACACACACAATATACACACACACAGAGGTTGGCAGGGAAGCTTTTTAAAGGCTCGGAGGTTGCCAAGGCTGGTTTCTGTTTGTTTTTTTTTAACAGGATGCAGGGAATTTTACAGCTTCAAGTGCTCCAAAGCAAGGAATTTGTACAGCCCGGTTTAGAAGCCTGGTTCAGGAGGAATAAGGAGGAGTGGAGAGGAGGAGGAAGAGGAGGCAATTCTGGTGCCTCTCTGAGCTGGATAGTTTTCTTGCAGACATTTCATTACCATACTAGGTAACATCATCAGTGTTAGGAAGTAGGGAGATTTGGGAGGAGGAGGAGGAGATTCTGGTGCTCTCTGAGCTGGATTGTTTTCTTGCAGACATTTAATGACCCAACTAGGGAACATCATCAGTGCTAGAAAGCAGAGGGATGTGTGAAGAGGAGGAGGTGGAGGAGGAGGAGGAGGAGGAGGAGGAGGAGGAATCCCCAAGCTGGTGCTCAGATTCGCTATAACAACTTTTATAGTATTACTTTAAAAGTTTTCTCCCCATGATGGAGAGTTGAGTGTGGAAGGCCAGGCATCCTGCTCCATCGGCAATTTAAAACGGGCGGTTTTTAACGGCAGGGGATAATTTACATTATTAGCAGGATTGGGGTCAATCCTTTGAGAAGTCCATCTGTTGAGAAAGGTGATAGGGAGGAAGAGGAGGGAGGGGGGGTGAGGAACCATGGCCCTTTTCTGCCAGCTCAGAAATTCTGGGAGTTGAAGTCCACAAGACATCGAAGGGCCACGGTTCCCCACCCCTGATCTGGGTAGTCATTAAGAATCAATGTTGACTTGATGGTACACAATCCATCCCAATTTGGCACCTCATCTTGTCCTCAAATTATGATCGATGGCTTACGAGTTACGACAGACACACACACACCCCACTTCCGCCCTCAAGAGAGCTTAGATCTGGTCCGTTGGGCTGCCCTGGAAACAGTGAAGGACCGTCTCGCGGTGCCTCCGCCAGTGAAAATGGAGATCCGTTTTCGCTGACAAGAGGGTTGCAAGGAGGCCGTCACAGCCGAAAACGGAGCTCGGGAGCCCATATTCGCTGGCAGAGCGCTCGGCCCTACACAGGCGCCCCGACACGAGTGACGTCAAGCTGGCCACGGCCACCCTGGCCACGGCCCCCGAGGTCAAGGACAACCTTGATGCGGTCCTCGATGAAATCGAGTTTGACACCCCTGCCCCTGCCCCAACATCTGGCCAGATAGTGGCTCCCAACCAGTGATGGGTTTCACATATTCTTACCACCGTTGCTCGTTTCACGTGTACGCACACCTTCCGTGCATGTATCCGGCCTTCCGTACATGCACTTGGTTCACGTGTGCGCCTTCCATGCATGTGCCCAGCCTTGAAAACATGGCTAAATAGGATGACAAAGTGCTGGGGCAGGTGGGCAGTTGCCGCTACCGGTTCTCCCGAACCGGTGCAAACCGGCTGAATACCAGCTCTGCTCCCAACCCTCCTAAATGTGGCTGAAGGGGGCTTGAAGGTCTTCTGCTCTGCTGCTGGCGGGGAAGAGACTGCCACTAATCCCCATTCCCAGCATCCTTGGCTTGTCCTGGCTCCATCTCAGCTCAAACTCACTTCATCCCTCCCTCCTGTTGTTTTGGCTGAACTATAGTTTCCATTTCCCAGGGCCCTGCTGCCTTCTGGAGCAAGAGGAAGCCCCGGATCTATTTGGAGAACGCAACACACACACACACCCTCAGCATCCCACCCTCCCTCCCCTCCTCCTGCCTCCCCCCCCAAAAAAAGAGTCCGGGCGAACGATACGGCACGGCGCTTTTGCGTACTTGAGCTCTTGAGCGATGGCCGCAATCTGCTCCACGCGGTCTTGGTGGGCCGCCAGGTCGCTCTCAAAGGCTTCGTGCTTCCGGATCAGGGCCTTGATGTCGGACAGGGTGGCCGTCTCGTAGTCCTTCTGCTTCAGCATGGCCTCTTTCCCTGCGGGGCCCAAAACGGAGGAGGGTCAGGGAGAGCTTTTTGCAACCTTCTGACGAGCAACATCAATGGGGAAGCCAGACTCACTTAACAACCAGGTTGCTGGGTTAATAACTGCAGTGCTTCAATTAACAAATGTGGCAAGAAAAGAGCCGAGGTGGCGCAGTGGTTAGAGCGCAGTACTGCAGCTACTTCAGCTGACTGCTAGTTCAGCAGATCAAATCTCACCAGGCTCAAGGTTGACTCAGCCTTCCATCCTTCCGAGGTGGGTAAAATGAGGACCCAGATTGTTGGGGGCCAATAGGCTAATGCTAATGCAATATGCTAATATGCAATATGCCAAATGCTAACTTTGTAAACCGCTTAGAGAAGGCTGTAAAGCACTATGAAGCGGTACAGAAGTCTAAATAAAATAAAAGAAATAAATAAAAGAAATAAAAGTTGTAAAATGGGACAAAATTCACTTAACAAATGTCTCGCTTAGCAACACAAACTTTCTATTCTATTCTATTCTATTCTATTCTATTCTATTCTATTCTATTCTATTCTATTCTATTCTCTATTCTATTATTATTTTCTATTCTACTATTTTCTATTCTATTTTTTTCTATTGTATTCTCTCCCCTCCCCTCCCCTCCCCTCTTCCCTTCCCATTCCCATTCCCATTCCCCTCTACTCTTCTCTTCTCCCTGGGCCTCAGCTTCCCTACTGGTTGAGATTTTCTTGCTGCTGACATAACTCCCCTCTGTGCCCCCCCCCCACTTTGTCTCCTAGCTTCAGCCTAGGGCCAAGCCCCCTTTTTGCAAGCCCACCTCCACATTGCTGGGGTTTCTCCACTAATTGAAAAACTATTTGGGTCGTGGAAGCTGCGGGACGCTTTGAAAACGCGCCTCTGTTCCAATCAGCTGTTCTCCGGGACACGCTGGCTCAGCTTGGAAAATCTGGTCTTGGCCGCCAGCCAGGAGAGATCCAGACAAGCAAAAAGCCCCCGCGGTGCAGTGGGGGGGGGGGAGAGAAACGGCAGTCTCCGTCTGGCTGCGTGCAACGTTAGACGAGAGATCCCTCCGTGTTGCCCCAAGGGAGGCTGAGGTTTTGAGTCCTTGAGCCACGAATATTGGGGATCCCACATAGCAGGAAAGCCCTTTCTTAGGTACCGCATCAAACTGTGATGTTATTCTACAGCAAGGGGGGGGGGGAATTGTGATTTCTGGAATTGTGGCATGAGTGAGGAGACCTAGAAGCCCCTCTACGGGCCAGGCCCAGACAGATGATGAAGCTTGGGGCCTTTAAACTTTAAACAGAGCCAATCACAGCATCGTTCTAGCCTTGGAGTGACAGGCCAGCACAGATGTGAGAGCCGGGAGGCGGGGGGGGGGGAACCAGCTGTTGTCTCATTAGCTTGACTCTCTGCAAGGCAAGTGTTATGGGTCCACCTGCTACACCCACTGAATTTCACACCCTTAGACAGGCTAAATAAACAAGGCCTCCTTCACCGCGTGTGTCTGAGAACCACATTTTGGAAGTGGGGGGGAGAGATTATGGAATTTGTTTTTTTTTTTTTTAACGAACTATTTTTTTTTTTAATAAAACAAGATATGCAGCTGGTATCTTGGCAGCTTTGATGCTGGTCCCATGACTTACGATGGTCAAAGACAGAGGTCTCGGCAACTTTAAGACTTGTGGACTTCAACTCCCAGAATTCCTCAATTGAAGTCCACAAGTCTTAAAAGTCTTACCGTCAGTCAAATGATGCCGACTGGCGACTCCCAGGGGGAGGGCCTTCTCTGTGGGGGCTCCAACCCTTTGGAATGAACTGCCCCCGGAGATACGGAATATCCCTGATCTCCGTGCTTTCCGCCGTGCCCTCAAGACCCTGATGTTCCAACAGGCGGGGCTAAACATACAAACATGTGAATGAATTTTTTAAATGTTATCTAATTCTGGGTTTTATTTAATTGACCAAACTAAGTAATAATTTTAATTAGCAATTTTATGATGTTTGTGTGTCTATATTTTTCTTGACTGTACACCGCCTTGAGTCCTACGGGAGAAAGGCGGTATAGAAATATAATAAATAAATAATAAATAAATAAATAAAAGTTGCCAAGGTTGGAATTCTGGGAATTGGAAGTCCACGGGTCTTAAAAAGCTGCCAAGGTTGGAGACCCCTGGTCAAAGAGACACTGGGAAGAAGACACGTAGTTATTTTGGAGAAGCCTCATTTTGGGGTGTGAGAGAAATGGGCATCTCTGACACACGCGGACACCAACACAGCCGCAAGACAATCTGGACCCTCCAGATTCACTTAATGACGTGATTCATTTAACAGTGGTTCGCTTACCACATGCGTGGCCCAAAAGGCCATTAAAAAAAAAAAAAATCAGCCGCGACTCACTTAACAACCTCGCCTAGCCATGGAAATTCTGCTTCCAACTGTGGTCGTAAAGCGAGGACCGCCTGTGAACGAGAGGTCATTGGGCCAGCCATATCTCCCTATCCAAGGCTCTTTCTCACCTTCGGTCCACGCTTCGTGGATGGACGCCTTCTGCCTGAACTTCAGAGCCAGGTGATCCAGTCTCTCCAGCCTCCGGATTTCATTCAGCTGCCACTCTTCGAAACCTTTCTCGGCCTGTTCCAAGCGCTGCCAGCCGTTGTTGATATCCTGGGGGGGGATTTGGGGGTATGGAAAGGTGGGTCAAGTTAAATACAACGCAACCCCCCCCCCAAAAGCTCTTAACAGCGAGATGGTTTAATGTGGATCCCAATTTTATGGATTCAATCAAAGGGCCGGCCCTGCTTGCTTAAAGAGGTCACGCTTAAGGTCTGTTGTTAATTTGAGGGGGGGGGGGTTTAATCTTTTATTAATCTGAATTTGGGGGATTATCTTTTATTTAAATCAGTGTTTTTCAACTTTGGCCACTTTAAGGCGTGTGGACTTCAACTCCCAGAATTCCCCAGCCAGCCGTCCTCACACCTTAAATTCTGGGAGTTGAAGTCCTCACACCTTAAATTCTGGGAGTTTTTTTTATTTTTTTTATTTTTTTATTTTTATTTATTTTTATATGCCGCCCTTCTCCGGAGACTCAGGGCGGCTTACAATGCGTTAAGCAATTTAACATCTTAAAGGAGTTGAGGTCCTCACACCTTAAATTCTGGGAGTTGAGGTCCTCACACCTTAGATTCTGGGAGTTGAAGTCCTCACACCTTAAATTCTGGGAGTTGAAGTCCTCACACCTTAAATTCTGGGAGTTCCCATACCTTAAAGGAGTTGAGGTCCTCATACCTTAAAGCAGCCAACGTTGAGAAAGACTGACCTAGAGAATCCAGTCCTGGACTTACAACAGTTCGTTTAGTGACCGTTGGAAGTTACAATGGCACTGGAAAAAAGTGACTTAGGACCGTTTTTCACTTATGACCGCTGCAGCATCCCCGTGATCACGTGATCAAGATTCAGCCGTTTGGCGACTGACTCATACTTATGACGGTTGCAGCGTCCCGGAGATCACCTGATCCCTTTTTGCGACCTTCTGACAAGCAAAGTCAATGGGGAAGCCAGATTCACTTAACCACCTCATTACTAACTTAACGACCGCAGTGATTCCGCTTACTAACGGTGGCAGGAACGATCGTAAAATGGGGCAAAATTCACCGAAACAGCTGCCTCGCTCAGCAACAGAAATGTGGGCCTCCATTTGCGGTGGTTAAATTGAGGACCACCCGTGTTGTAAACTATGCAAACCCAGAAGCGAAGAAGGACGGATGAGGGAGATGCGCGTACTACTCACCGATACCATTCTTCCTTCGGAGGGCATGAAGGCCGGCCGGTTGCTAAGTCTCAGTTTGGTCTGCAAGGTGTTGAAGTTGATCTCCAACTGGCACTTCTCCTGCACTTTGGGGGGTTTGTGGACCCGCCGGTAATCCCGGAAGTCCTCCAGCTTCTGCTGCATCTCTTGCATGGTCTTCTGGGGAACCCGGTTCTCCAGCCAAGGGATGGTGCGCTGAATCCATTCCAGAAGCTGTGGAGAGCACACCAGAAGACGGTGAAATATAATGGACTCGTAGCTTCAACAACCAAAAGTACAACGAGACACGTCTACGGAGATTCTCCAGTCATCCAGGTCAATGGTTGTCCCAAGGGTGCTTATTTTCAACAGGCAACTGGACTTCCTTGGGTTTTCTTTGAAGGCGTTTGGCTTCTCATCCAAGAAGCTTCTTCAGCCCTGATTGGCTGGTTGGGGAAGGGAAGGATTTACACTCCTTGCAGACAGCTGGTCATTTGCATCCTTTTAGAGCAGTGTTTCACAACCTTGGAAGCTTGAAGATGGGTGGACTTAAACTTCCAGAATCCCCCAGCCAGCAACGCTGGCTGGGGGATTCTGGGAGTTGAAGTCCACCCATCTTCAAGCTTCTGAGGTTGAGAAACACTGGTCTAGAGAGTCATTGAGGCCACTTGGAGGTTTATCTGTGTCCTCAGGGTCACCTTAAGTGGTCCTCCTGGTTCCTGTAGTCTGCAATTTTTTCCTCTGGAAATCCATTCGTACTCCCACCCCATTCAAAGGATGTTCATCCAAAATTGCATAGCTAAAAGTCTGTAGAGGTTCATCCAAAATTGCATAGCTAAAAGTCTGTAGAGATTCTCGGTCATCCAGGTCGATGGTAGTCCCAAAGGTCCTTTTTTCAAGAGGCAACTGGTTTTTCTTTGAAGACGTTTCATTTCTCATCCAAGAAGCTTCTTCAGCTCGGACTTGGATGGTGGGGAACGGAAGGATTTATACTCCTTCAGGATTTATAATGGAAGGATATTTAATGGAAGGATTTATACTCCCAACAGAGAGGGAGGGAGATGACATCATCTATCTCCAATCTACAACACAGATCCTTTCAGCAGTTCCAAGAAGGCTCCCCATCCATTTGCACCACTCAGGTGACCCTGAGGACACAGGTGAACCTCCAGGTGACCTCAACCACTCGCTAAAAGGATGCAAATGACCGGCTGTCTGCAAGGAGTATCAATCCTTCCATTCCCCACCATCTAGTCAGAACAGAAGAAGCTTCTTGGATGAGAAGCAAAATGTCTTCAAAGAAAAGCCTCCTGGAAAAGAGAATAAAAATAGCACCTTTGTTACAGCAAGACATGGACAGATGTAAAGGTTGGTCATAAATCCAGGGGTTGCTACTAAACAGCAACCTTAACCCTACGTGTTCTAGGAGAAACCTATTTATGAAAGCCGGCTTGGCTTCCTAGAAGTTCTTCAGAGGAAGCCACATAGCTGTCTTTCAGAGACCTTCTAGCATACCACCGATGGAATGAAATGACTTTGGAGGTCCAAATCTAGAATTCTCAAAAGTTGTAAGGATGGGTAAGTTGGCCCACTCATTCCAGGATGGATGAGCAGAAGTCACCCAAACTCAGTTTCGGCACCCATATCTGGATGTCCTTCTCAGCTTTTACTATCAACATGTCAAGAGATTCCATCCAGGTGTTCTCCTCTGTGTGCCTTCCCAGTCTTAAGAAGGGCAGGTTAGCATGAGACAGCCAAGAAGATGTGGCAACATTCAAAGACAACCTTCTCCATATTCAGAAGGTGCCAGATTGGGGGAAGGCTGGCCAAGGCAGACTGTTAGCCGATTTGGCAGCTGTTCACAAAGACCAGATGAACGTTTAAGGGCTGAAGAGAGACAGCGGAGGAGAGGATGGAAATCAAGAAGTTCTCACTGTGCACCGCAGAAGAGAAACAATGTTTGCTTTTGACCAGTGATTCTCACATGGTTGACAACTTGAAGATCTGTGGACTTCAATACCCTGGCTGGAGAAATCTGGGCATTGAAATCCACCCATCTTCAAATTTCCAAGGTTGAGAAACGCTTCTTTTGACCACGAGAAGTCATCAGGGACCAGCATGTGGTCTTATGAGGTCTCCCGTTGGAGCCCGTCCAGCAAGTTCAGAGATAACATCAGTGCTAGCTTCAAAGCCTCTGCGGCCTTTGCAAGCATCTGGGTTTGCTAACCAAGATAGCAACGCAACCTTGTCTTTGGGGGACACTCTTAATGGTGTCCACCTTAAGAATTAAGTTCAGACTGAGAAGTGATTAAAGCACCCAAAGAAATCACTCCTCTCGATTTCTCAACAGCCTCAATTATATCCAGAGCCTGTTGACAGACGGATTCACAAAATTCTTGGCTTGTCACAGGCTTTGACGAGGGGGGGGGAGGTGTCACCAGGTTCAGCTCCTGCCTGTTGAAAAACAGGGAAGGCTCATCAACACTCACGTCAGAAGCCAGCTTCTCGTAATCTTCCATCAGGTGCTCATTCTCTTGGTTGACAGCCAATACTTTGCAAATCCTGTTTGCAGCGGTCTCAGCCTACAAGCAAAACAAGAGGGGGGAAAAAATGGTGACTCGACAGAAAAATGTCCCGGAGACGGGAGATCTACCAAGGAAAGGCACAGCATGAGATCAAAGCAATAACTGAACCATCGTGGTAAATGACCGAGATCCCCCACAAGCCGAGAAAGAGCAGATGTAAAGCAATTAAATTTCAATCCAGGATGATGACATTATCTGGACCACTTGACATTATCAACTTGGACAACCTGAAGATGCGTGGACTTCAACCAGGCTTGGATTCTTCAACCAGGGTTGGGTTTTCTAGCCACGGTTGAGTTCTCCAGCTGGCTAGAGAACTCTGGGAGTTGAAGTCCACCCATCTTATCTTCCAAGTGGATCCAAGCTGATCTGGAAGCTCAGAGTATGGCCAGAAACCACTAACGCAAGCAGAGACAATAGCATGCCAAGCGTAACTCCAGATCGGTTCATCGGACCAACCTTGGCTTGAGCTGCTGGATAACGGAAGCAGATGAGAAGGCTCATCTTTGGCATCTGGCAGGATTGTGGCTTGAACCAATGTTATGTCCAAAGCTCATATATACTTCCTGTTTTCATCCGTAGTGATTGAGCACTTGAATTTACAACTCTTGATGCATCAGAACCAAGACACAAGAGTTAGCATGCGTGGATCACGGCTAGCGTCTTCAAACCGTGGTTTGAGATCCTGGTTTAACCCAATACCGATTACCATATTTTCTAACTTTGATGTTAAGGACAAACAACTGGTTTGCATGAAGATTTAAGGCAGTGTTTCTCAACCTTGGTAGCTTGAAGATGGGTGGACTTCAACTCCCAGAATCCCCCAGCCAGCACCGCTCAACGAGATCGTACTCAAATCCTAGAATCCTAGGGCTGGTAGGGACCTTACTCTAACCCTCCAGCAATTGAGGTAGATTGTTATTCTTCACTCTTCGAGTCCCAGTAACTATAACCTTCCCAGTTTTGTACGGATAGCCGCATTCCAAGCTGGCATTAATCCAAAAACTCAAAGAAAGGAGAAATGAAACCGATGACAAACCGTTGTCAAAAACAATAGGATGTAAAAAACGAGTAGTTTTTGGTTTTGCAGGAGGAGAGCAGGTGAAAGGCCTGCTAAAAAGAGGAAGGCCGAGGTATTGGGAGTCCCATAAACACCCATGCCTGGCTTACCCAAAAGCAAAAAAAATAAAATAAAATGGGGGGGGGCGTGGGGGGACAAATTACACAGAAGCCGTGAAATGGGAAAAGTCAAGAAATCAAGTACCTTACTAGGAGCAGAGAGAGTCCGAGGGAAGGAGATGGAAGCCACACATCAACAGAAAAGGTGAAGAGGAGGGTCTATAGAAGGGGAAGGGGAGAGGGAGAGAGCCATGGAAGAAATGAGTTGCCAACAAAATAGGATATTCGAAAAAAAAGAAAGAAAGAAAAAGAGAGAGATCTTTTATTTCCATTAAAAAAAAAAAAAACCTACAGGTTCCCCACCCCTCCACAGTGGGAATCAACCAGAGTTGGGTTGCTGGGGGTTCGTGAGAACCTCTAGCTAAGATTCTGTGCAGTTCGGAGAACCCCCAAATCTCACTCCTGGCTGGCCCCGCCCACCCCGCACCTCCCCTCCCTGGAGCCCCCACACGGCCCGTTTTGGATGCAGGTAAGGGCAGGGTGCGCGCAGAGGCTCGGGGAGGACGAAAAACAGGCCTCTGGAGCCTGGGGAGGCTGTTTTTAACCCTCCTGGAGGCTCAAAAAAAGCCTCCGGAGCCCAGGGAGGGCAAAAACACCCCCCCTCCCAGTCGTGGTACAGGAGGCCGACTAGGCCACGCCCACCATGGCCACACACACACACAGAGCAACCAAGCAGAGAACCTCTTGCTAAAATTTTTGAAGCCCACCCCTGGAATCAACCGACCGACTTAGAAGACGTCTCCCATGCTTGCTTTAGTCCAGTGTTCCTCAACCTTAGCAGCTCGGAGGCGTGTGGACTTCAACCTCCTGGGAGTTGAGGTCCATACAACCTTCGAGTTGCTGAGGTTGGGATGTGCCGCTTTTAAAACAAGGGCTTCCAAAACGTGGCAAATTTGAAGGCTTGTGGACTTCCAACTCCCAAAATTCCTTAGCCACTCCACAAGTCTTCAAGTTGCCAAGTTTGGAGAGCCCCCCCGCTGCTTTAAAAGATTGTTTTGAAGCAGAAAGGAAAGGACCAAGCATGGGAAGTCTAATTTAGCTCTCAAACTCTTGTCTAAATTCAGTGGGATTTACCCGCAAGTGGGGGAACCAACCTCAAAGTCAACGGAGATCCATTATCACACATTGCTCCTGGGCAACACAGGGAAAACTTGTGGAATTGAATTGGTTACGCTAGCGCATGGGTCTCCAAACTTAGCAACTTTTAAGACTTGTGGATTTCAGCTCCCAGAATTCCTCAACCAGCCATGATGGTTGGTGAATTCTGGGAGTTGAAGTCCACAAGTCTTAAAAAGTTGCCAAGTTTGGAGACCCCTGTGGTAGAGGTCCACGGAGCACCCTCAAACCCAAAACTGTAGACTCGAAGAGAGAGGCAACAGCAGGGGTGGGCTTCAGGTGGTTCGTGCGAACTGGTAGTTGTGACCTGCCGGTGGCCGCCCACATGCCCCGGTGCTATGCTGTCCTATTTAGCTGCGTTTTTTTTAAGCCGTGCACATGCGTGCAAGCGTGCGCGCGCGCAAGCAAAGCACATGCTCAGAAGGCCGTGCGCCTGCTCACATTTTCGGTGCTGAGGCGAACCGGGTTGTTAAATTATGTGAAGCCAACACATAATGGGCAACAGTGCTGGGAAGACACATACATCCAAATCAGGGGTGAAATGCTTCCGGTTCGGACCGGTTCAGACGAACTGGTAGCGATGGCAGCACAAGGCTCCGCCCACCCACCCGGGCATCGTTACTTCCTGGTTTTAACCAGGAAGTAACCTGTTTTTTACCCTCTGCGCATGTGCAACATCATCAGTGCTAGAAAGGATGCAGGGTTTGCTCTTTGTAAACCCCGTAAACAAAGCCCTGATGACGTTACCTAGTTGGGTAGTTAAACGTCTGCCAGAAAACCAGCAAGCTCAGGACCTCTCATTTCAACCCTGAACTACGAATATTCTCTTTGAGAAAGTCAGAAGCAGCTGAAGCAGCCCACTGTGGCCCCAAAAATGACCCCAGTGGCCTTTCTCTGCTAATATGTGCCCTGCTAGACCAAATGGGAGGCACATGGCAACGTCTACAATAGATTATTATTATTATTAATTCAATTTATATGCCGCCTTTCGCCGGAGAACTCCGATGGGGTTCATCAGCTCCAGACGATGAAGCAGACAGGCCCAGCTGAGCCCCCACCCCCACGCCAAAACTGCTGCTCAGATACAATGGGTGATAAAAAAAGAGAGAGAGAGTAGCAAAAGAATCACACAGCCCACCAACCCAAATGTAGAGAGGAACATCTGCTTGCAAACCCCTCTTGGGTGCAATCAAGTTTGGGCATAGCTTGAAGGGAGGGTTCCTTCCAGCTGGGACCGGCAGAAAAAAATGGATGTTTTTCCTGCATCTGAAAAGCAGGCAGAGGCTAGGAACTCCGACTTGAATATTGGCCTTTTCGGCTATAAAATGGGGATATTTTCTTGTGGACCCTCAGGAATTCTGGTTCGTTCAAAGGACCAACTCTCAACCCCTGGAGCCTCTGAGAAAGGGAGGTGGGTGCATCTTTGCTTTCCATGCTAAGTGATCAAGGAAGGCGCCAAGGCAGGTCAGGTTAAGAAACTTAAGAAACGGTTGGCGCTGCGGAAATCGCAGCTGTTCCTTTAAGAGACAGGATGGGGAATTCTGGGAATGGAAGTCCACGTGTACTACTAAGCTGGGGAAATGGAAGTTCGCCCAGCTTAAAAGTTCGCTGAGCTTTTAAGAGATCAACTGCTCTCCATCACGCCTCCTCGTGCAATCCCATCACTAGCCCAAATTGCATAAAATATTGGCACGTACTCTACCCGTCCTGGCAGAATTTCTTTATTTTTATAATTTTTATAGCTTTGGGCTTTATTGGGACTTAAAAAAAAAAAAAAAACTAGTGAAAAGTTGTAGATTTCTATTAGGAGCCAATCTGACCAGGAGGAACATAAAGCCCCCATAACGTTAACATAAAGAAGCCATCCAAAAAGAAGGAACAAGAACAGAGGAAAAGGGGAAAGGACGCGGGCACAGCAAAGGGGAGGACCAGGAAAATGGAGGTTCGTTGCAGCATACAAAGGAAGGGGAATACACGAAGGAGGGAGCTTTTAGGCAAGGCCTGGCAGGCTTCTCATTTTCCTTTCCAGGCTCCAAGGAGAAGGAGAAGGGACACTTAGCATCCGACGGGGAAGACAGGCTCGTAAACTGTTCGGCATGCAAAAGACAAAATTAGCAAGCAAGCAATTAAGCCAGGGGAGGAGGGGGAAAAAAAGAAAGAAAGAAACAGAACTCTGTGCCAGAAAAACAAATCTCTAAAGCCAGTACAAACTCATGCTTACGGGTGCATTTTTTTGCCCCCCCACCCCCAAGGCTTGGCTCTGCTCCCGTTAAAGTCACTAAAAGAGCGAGGGACTGGAAGCGAGAAAGCCTAACAGGATCTTAAAAATCCACTCGGGGCAGAGAGGTTTTCACCAGGCCTGGCTAGGAGAAAAATCCAGCTGCTTCTTTGCAGCAGTTAAGAACGTTTTTTTTAAATAATTTCAAGATAGTTTCTCTCTAACCCCCTCCCCCAAAGGAAAAAACAAAGCAAAACAAAACAGATGTTCAGGAAACTGTGCGGTAATTCTTAATCCTGGCTCTGGAGGACGCCGAAGGGAGATTTGCAGAACCCACACCGATCCCCCTTCTCACGGCACGCGAGCGTAGCCCACCCCTCCGGCAGCAATCCCTTCCTGAATGCAATCCCCCCCTTGCAAAGAATTCCTCCTCAGGAACTCGGGCCCCTGTGGGCTCTTCTTCCCAGATTTCAATCCCGGGTTTCTACCACCTCGAGGGCCCTCCCGCCAGATTTTTCACCTCCCGCCAAGGGCTAAAAAGAATTCGAAGGGCTGTGCATTTTGCCAGGTTCCTAATCCCAATTCTCCCGGGATCTTTGGAAACGCAGAAAAAGGCTGTGTGGGTTGCCAGGTTAGGGAAGATGCCACACCGACACCTTAAATCGGGGGCATCGTTTTTTTCCCCCCCGCCACAAGCTGCACATCGGTTGCTTAGCTGCCTGCGGCTTCCACTGCTCGCTCTGGAAACGGCGTCGCTCAAGGTCGACGCTAAGCCAAAATGTCAACTGTCACGCCATTCATCCTGTGGTTGAAACCGGAGGACGGTTGAATGAGAGACACTTCATCCAGAAAATTTGGGGGGGGGGGGGGTTTCTGTAAAAAAATTTTTGAGAGAGGGGGGGGGGGGGCAGGTCTTCTCTTTCTCTCGTCTGGAAGAACAAGCAAGAATAATCAAAACCAGAAAGACATTTCCAGAGTAGAGGAAGCTTTTTTGGGGGGTGAGGGTTGGGGAGAAGGGCAGTTCCGCAGCTGGTGTCCTTGTGGTGTTTTCTTACACCTCTCCTTAAAGGGAGAGCTTGAAAAAAAAAGTGGCTTTTGAAAGTCAACCTGAACTCGTCTCGCGTTTCATTTCCGCTTCAAAAAAAAAAAAAACGACGGGAGAAGACGGGGCAGGAGAGGAGGCACTTTAGTGGGCTTAGATCAGCCTTTTCTCAACCTCGGGGGGGCCATTCAAGACGTGCCGGACTTCAACTCCCAGAATTCCCCTACCTGCAGGAGTTGGAAGTCCACCTCTTTAAGGTTGTCAAAGTTGAGAAACTTTTAGGTACTCTACATCAGGGTTTCTCAACCTTTTCGGCCAGTTTTTTAAGATGCATGGATTTCCGACTCCCAACGAGGTTCAATTGGGGAATTCTGGGAGTTGGAAGTCCACACATCTTAAAAATAACTAAGGTGGAGAAATATTTGACCTGCTCAGAATCGTGTTCCTGGCCCGTTATTGTAATATTTCTTGGGGGAACCATACCCAATATCCTAACCTACAGACACACCCACATCCCTGTGTTTCCGAGCCCTTTCATGGCGAGATCTAAATTTAATTTATTGATGATTTATTCCACAGGTCTTCAAACTTGGTGGCTTGAAGACTTGTGGACTTCAACTCCCAGAATTCTCCAGCCAGCATAGTTGAAGTCCACAAGTCTTCAAGCCGCCAAGTTTGAAGACCTCTGATTTATTCAGTCCATCTCTACAGCCATGCTCCGGAAGGCCGAGCGACAAACCGGTTAGTGCCAGCCCTCTCCTGCAGCCCAAGATCTTCCCAAGCCAACAGCCGCAAGCAGCACGAAGCAGCCCAAGCCCAGCCCCACGCTCACCTTCTGTGCCCCCGAGAAAGCATGATAGAAGCAGGAGACATAAGTCATGATGGCCTTCTCGTCGGGCCTGAGCGTGCCTACAATATCTGCGCAAGAGGGAAAGAGAAAAAGAGAAGCAGAGTCAAGGGCAACGCAGAAGACCCTCCAGGCCTGCCCGGACATGCAGAAGACCAGAGGCAGGATGGATGGATGGAAGAAAGAAAGGTTATGCTCCCTGGGGGAACCAGACCTCAGCTAGGACAGAATTTAGCCGTTCCAAATCCTTTGTTTAGACCAGAGCAAGGGTGGGCAATTAATTTTCCCATGAGAAACTGAGACTGTGGTGGACGGGGCCGAAACAACAGTGATGTAAAGTAAAGGTAAAGGTTCCCCTCACATATATGTGCTAGTCGTTCCTGACTCTAGGGGGCGGTCTCATCTCCGTTTCAAAGCCGAAGAGCCAGCGCTGTCCGAAGACATCTCCGTGCTCATGGGGCTGGCATGACTCAACGCCAAAGGTGCACGGAACGCTGTTACCTTCCCACCAAAGGTGGTCCCTATTTTTCTACTTGCATTTTTTACCTGCTTTCGAACTGCTAGGTTGGCAGAAGCTGGGACAAGGAATGGGAGCTCACCCAGTTACGCGGGACTAGAGATTCGAACCTCTGAATTGTCGACTTTTCAATCGACAAGCTCAGCGTCTTAGCCACCGCGTCCCTATGGCTGTGTGGATATAGGTAAATTGCGGGGGAGGGGCAGGAGGAAATAGCAGTCGCCCTCAAAATAAAAGCAGTCCAAACAGGCCAGATAGGGACAGCCAAATGGCCAGATGTGGCCTGGGGGTCTGGCCAGAGGACCCCCAGGGAATCTCTCAAAAGGAACTCAATTTCATCCTTGACCCCTGAAACAAACCCTTTAGGCCTACAAGATGGCCGCACTTCGTGTTCTGGGAGTTGAAGTCTACATTTGCCAAGTGAGGCTACTTCCTTAAGTGAGAACTTGTGACCGTGGTCTTGATCAACTCAAGTTCTGATTGACTTCTTTGATGGGGGAAAGGATGAATTTCGATGAGTTTTGGAGTTTGTTTGGTTGGAGAGTCCTGGTTACACCGTCGTAAAGCATTTTAATGTTGCCTCTCCTTCTCCTAAGGTAGCCTCCATCTATGACAAGGTCAGGTCTCATTGTCCACCCTCTCCCCAAAAGGACTTATGGTGAGTTTTGAAGAAAAAGCCCATATTTTTTTCTGCATTGGGTGTCCCAAAGGTGCCTTTTCAAGAGGCAAATCTGGACTTTCTGGTTTTTCTCTGAAGACGTTGCACTTCTCGTCCAAAAAGCAGAAGCGGAAGAGGAGGAGGAAGAAGAAGAAAAGAAGAGGAGGAAGAGGAGGAGGAAGAGGAGGAGGAGGAGGAAGAAGAAGAAAAGAAGAGGAGGAAGAGGAGGAGGAGGAAGAGGAGGAGGAGGAAGAGGAGGAGGAGATGGAGAAAGAGAAGGAGGAGGAAGAGATGGAGATGGAGAAGGAGGAGGAGGAGGAGGAGGAGATGGAGAAGGAGGAGGAGATGGAGAAGGAGATGGAAAAGGAGATGGAAAAGGAAGAGGAGATGGAGATGGAGATGGAGAAGGAGAAGGAGAAGGAGAAAGAGGAGGAGAAGGAGAAGGAGAAGGAGAAGGAGAAGAAGGAGAAAAAGGAGAAGGAGAAAAAGCAGTAGCAGCTGCTTCTTGGATGAGGAAGCGAAACGTCTTCAGAGAAAAACCCAGTTTTGCCTCTTGAAAAAAAGCACCTTTGGGACCACCATGATCTTGGAGGACTGAGACTCTTCTTGCCCTGGATCTTTGTAAAGCTTGTCCTGAACTAGCTGAGGTCTGGGTTCCCAGGTTGATCGAAGCGGCGGCCCTCTCCAAGGGAAGTCAAAATAAGCCAGGATGCTGGAAAGAACAGAAGCGGTTAATGGAGGGGGGAAAAAAAATCGCCGTCCATTTCTGGTACCTTCTGCGCCCCAGAGAAGGCATGGTAGAAGCTGGAGACATAGGTCATAATAGCCTTCTCATCAGGACGGGCTGTGTTGACGATGTCTGAAAAGCGAACAAGAAGTATTAAACACATCAGAAACAACTCATCATCCCCGCGAACTAATGTCATTTGCAGTCAAACATCACCCAAGAGACCTCGGGAAACAATCCAGCTTGCAAAAATATGAATGCCTAAAAATCCAGAAGAACCGACACGGGATGGGATGCTTATCCCAAGATTTGTATCGCATTTCCTGCCGTAACTCAAACGTCTGTTTGAAAGACCGCAAAGCTTGTATGGAACGACCATTCCTTGCATTCTTCTATCGCAGCAGCAGGAATTTTCAGGGTGGTTCTGTAATCTTCTGCAAGATCCCTTTTCCGTCACATGGGCAAAGTTGGGCAAACTGCCAGCTAGGCCGGAGGGAAGAGTCAAGCGGGGACTTAGCTTGGAGTCGTTGCACAGCTGCAAACGGCGTCAGCTTTACTTCCCCACGGGATCCATAAAAACCTTATCGGGTTCTTCCCAGAGGAAGGGCAAGCAATAGGGGGTGATTCTTGTAACATAGGTTAGAGGCAATAAAGTTTCGTATTTCGACTATTCACATCTGGAGCTGGTTGCCTGCACCTGATAGGCGGCCATTCAAATTTGATTAACAATTTTTTTTGGCATTTACATTTCTATTATTATACAACTATTATTATTGTTGGCTTCTCCTCTTTGTCCTCTTCACTTAAGGGAGCTTCTGGAAGTTCTGAAGGCCCTGGCTGAATCCCTGCCTCTGGCACCACATTTTCTCCAGCCTCCTCACTGTCTGACTCAAGTGCCAGCTGCACAGGCTGCTGGCGCAGCACCACACCAGCCTCCTCGCTGTCGGAATCAGCTACTAGCTGCACAGGCCGCTGACGGGCCACAACAACGATGGGATCGTATGATTGCCATGGGCGACCTTCCCAGCCGCCTTCACAAGCAGCCAATGGGGGAGAAACCTGACTTGGTTAACGACCATGTGATTCACTTTAACTACTGTGGCAAAAAAAAAAGGTCATAAAATGGGGCAAAATTCGCTTAACAAATATCTCACTTAACAACAAAAGTTTTGGGCTCAATTGTGGCTGTATGTCTAGGGCTACTTTTAGGCTGATTCTGTAAACTGCTTAAAGGTGGCTGTGAAGCACCATGAAGCGGTATATACCCTGTTTCCCCAAAAATAAGACCCAACCGGAAAATAAGGCCTAGTATGATTTTTCAGGATGCTAGTAATATAAGCCCTACCCCAAAAATAAGCCCCAGTTAATATCGTCAGCAGACGGAGGCATTTAGTAATGTATTTCCCCCCAAAATAAGACCTAACCGGAAAATAACCCATAATGCGTCTTTTGGAGCAAAAATTAATAAAAGACCCGGTCTTATTTTGGGGAAAACATGGTAAATCTATCTCTATTGCTATCCAGCGCCAAGTTTACTCAACTGGCTTCATTCAAATGGTGTTATGACATCTGCCTTGTGGATTTGTAGATTTGTGGAACAAAACGGGAACCCAAGATATTTTAAAGCATCAACCTCTGGCTTACCTTCTGCGTCTAACATCTTGGGAATGTCAAGGTACTTCTCTGCGACCTCAAAAGCGTTGTTCAGATTCGTGACCGGATCGTCCTACGGAAAAAGGAAAATCGCCAGAGAGGGTTAAAACTTGGGGGCCCTGTCCTAAACGGCTCATCTGAATAATAGTAACTTTATTGTCATTGTACGTATATACACAGTATACCATACAACGAAATTCACTTAAAACCCAAAGACCAGGTCCAACACACATAACAATCCCCAAACACACCCCTACCCACCAGAAATTCCCCGTCCCTAAACCACCCAAACATCCATACAACAGAGAGAAGAGAACGAAAATCCATCTTCCTCTTCTCAAAATCATCAGCCGTGCCCCATTTTCTATCCAAACCTCTTGGCTTTCCTAAAACTTCCAAATACAAATATGACCGTGGGAAAATGCACCGAAGCATCTTTGAAGTCCTGCTTCTAAAGACTGACCGTCCACAAATTATGGATTCTCTATCATTTTAATAGTGTTGTGGTCCGCCAGCAGCCTGCGGAGCTGGCAGCCGAGTCAGACAGTGAGGAGGCTGGGGAAGAACATGGGCCAGTCCTGGAGTCAGAGTAAGGCCCGGACGAGGGCTCTGCATCGGAGGCAGAGATGGGGCCAGGGCCATCTGGGAGTGATGTGCGGACTCCGGAGCCTCCAGAGGTGGATAGCAGAGAGGAAGAGGAATAGGAGGAGCCTGTTCCTAGTGCACGCATGCACAGAGCTGCCAGAAGGCAAGAGCAGCTAAAGCAAAAGGGACGACTCGGGAGTAAGGCCAGGAGATGATTGGCCCCTCCCATAAGGCTTAAAAGTGAAACAAAGGCACTTGGGCCTTTTTACAGGAAAGCAGAGTTGCTAACTCTGTTTCCAGTTGGCATCTCATATTTGTTTCTGAACTCTGTGAGGCTTTGCCAAGTAAGGCCTTTGGCAGGGTGTCAAAGAAGATAAAGGTTAGTGATTATCCCTAAGGACTTCTTCCGAAGGACTTGTTTTGCAACTAATTGGGACTCAGCTGGGAATGAACGTAATTCTCAACTGTTACAATAAAATAGGTTTATTTGGGACTAATTGTGTCTTGTAATGACTCCGCTCAGGTCACAACAAATGCGTACTTTCTACGTTAGAACAAACAAGATGAAGTTTCAAATCACTTCGGATCTGGCCCCGATGATTTGGTTCTGGATATTTTGGTCCACAATCGTGGACAAAACCTTGATACTTGCGATCGATCAAGGTCAAATTCCTTTTTCTTGGTTGAGAAACTCAGGTTGGAGATTATGACTTACCCTAGAGCAGGGGTGGGCAAATGTAGCTCTTTTACAACCTGTGGACTTCAACTCCCAGAATCCCTGAGGCAGCCAAGCTGGTTCAGGAATTCTGGGAGTTGAAGTCCACAGGTTGTAAAAGAGCCATATTTGCCCACCCCTCCCCTAGAGCAGTGTCTCTCAACCTTGGTTGCTTTAAGGCAGGTGGACTTCAACTCCCAGAATTCCCCAGCCAGCCAGCAAAGCAAAAGCTGGCTAGGGGATTCTGGGAGTTGAAGTCCACCTGCCTTAAAGCAGCCAAGGTTGACTAACACTACTTCTGACCATAGAAAGACAATTGCTGGCTGGAGAATTCTAGGCGCTGAAGTCCACCCATCTTAAAATGGTCACAGCTGAGGGACACTGTCCTAGAGTAACCCAGGTTATTTTTTATTTATTTATTTATTACAGAATTGGGATTTGATTCCCAGGCCTCACTCAACCCACTACATTCTGGAATTGCAGGAAAAAAAGCGAGTTCACCCGGAGTAAAGGGGGAGAATATTTCAAAACCAAGAAGTGAAAGGCAGATCGGCAAACCCGCCCAAATACCTTTCTGAGCTTGTCGTATTCGATGAGTTCTGGTCGGTGTCTGTGGATCAAGGCGTTAAAAGCAAGACCGTCTTTCCAACTGAAAAATAAAAAAATATAAGAGAGGGTCAAGTCCCTTGAGAAGGCCAACAGTGTCTTTAGAACAGGGGTCTCCAACCTTGGCAACTTTAAGACGGCTGAGGAATTCTGGGAGTTGAAGTCCACAAGTCTTAAAGTTCCGAAGGTTGGAGACCCCTGCTTTAGAAGAACGGTATCGCAAAATGGGGTGTCCTGTTGGGACAACCGAGTTAACGGAAGGAGATCAACATCGGAAGGCACACGGCGGCGCCTTTTCAGACACATGTTCGAGTCAAATGCGTGGGACCCTTCGGAATGTTCCAGTAACATAGCTTAAAGGTCCCATAAGAAGAAGAAATGGCAGCAGATTTAGAGGTTGGGGCTGGGCAGCCATTTTTGTGGGGGTGGCTGTGGCTGTTGAGCGTAGCGTCTACTCAGGAGTAAGCTGTGGAGAGGATGAAGATGAGCAAAGAAAGGTGGACTTAATAGGTGGACGAAGGTTGAGGAGCCAGTGATTATGGCTGTATTCTCTCTGACATTTTTTTCCTTCCTCCCTTCCTTACCCCATATTCCTTTCCTTTCCCTTCCCTTCCCTTCTCTTTCCTTCCTCTTCCTTCCCTTCCTCCATTTTCCTTTCCTTTCCCTTCCTTCCCTTCCCTTCCTCCACTTTCCTTTCCTTTCCCTTTCCCTTTCCTTCCTCTCCCTTCCTCCACTTTCCTTTCTTTTTTTCCTTTCCTCTTTCCTTCCCTTCCCTTTCCTCTTTTCTTTGTTTTTCTGAGATTCTTCTCTTTTTCCCAAGCTCCAGGGAAGGGCAAATAGCTCTTACCAAAAGTCCAAATTGTTCCCTTGCATGAGTTTTGAAATCAGGCCAAGAACGGCCAATGCCCATCCCCGACCAGGGTCAATTAAGTCGAGGGGGTGGGGGTTGAAAGGCTGCTCTATCACCCCTTAAACCTTGCTGTGGAGTGGAAGGATCAACGCCTCTGGGGCCTTTTCCCTACCGGATGCTTCATTGGATCGGCATCCATCAACCCGCCCAACAGAACAACCTCGCTACAGCCAGCTGTCAACACAAAAGCCTTTTTGTGAAGAAAGGAAATTTCTCCGTTCGCAAAGTTCCTTGGATTCTCCAAATCCTGAGCCTCAGGTCCCAGCAGAAAGCTTCAAAAACTTGGCTTCCTGGCTGGCAGAATATTTCATGTCGCAGCACTAAGCCAAGAAGTCAATGTTTTGCAGGCTTTCTAAAGAGGTCCGATTCTCTGGATATGAGACGGCTGGTTCTGTGTTGCAAGAGGGAAATGCAAGTGTTGGGTAGGAGGAGGAGGAGAAGAAGGAGATGGAGGAGGAGAGGAGGAGGAGAAGAAGAAGAAGGGGAAGAAGAAGGGGAAGATAAGAAGAAGAAGAAGAAGAAGAGAAGAAGAAGAAGAAGAAGAAGAGAAGAAGAAGAAGAAGAAGAGAGGAGGAGGAGGAAGAGGGAGAAGGAGAAGAAGGAAGTGATGGAGAGGAGGAGAAGAAAGAGAAAGAGAAAGAGGAGGAGGAGGAGGAGAAGGAGAGAAGGAGAAGGAGAAGGAGAAGAGAGAAGAAGAAGAGAAGAAGAAGAAGAAGAAGAAGAAGAAGAAGAAGAGGAAGAAGGAGAAGGAGAAGAAGAGATGAGGAGGAGGAGGAGAGAAAGAGAAAGAGAAAGAGGAGGAGGAGGAGGAGGAGGAGGAGGAGGAGAAGGAGAAGGAGAAGGAGAAGAGAAGGAGAAGGAGAAGGAGAAGGAGAGAAGAAGAAGAAGAAGAAGAAGAAGAAGAAGAAGAAGAAGAAGAAGAAGAAGAAGAAGAAGAAAGAAGAGAGCGGCGGCATTGTGTTGAAAAGTTACCTGATGTGGAAATTTTGCACGTTGACATTCTTGTAGGGAGCGGTCTTCCTTTGGCACCACAGTAAGAGGCCTTCTTTGGCTGAAGTCTCTGCAGAGAAGAGAGAAAGGAGGCAATTGTGTTGCTCGGGTTGTGTTGTCGCAAGGGCGAGTTCACAACATCACACCGTAAGTCCGGCAGAAAAGGATTGAGCAGTGTTTTTCAACCTTGGCCAATTTTAAGACATGTGGACTTCAACTCCCAGAATTCCCCAGCCAGCTTATTGCTGTGAGTTGGAAGTCCACACATCTTAAAAATAGCCAAGGTTGAAAAACCACCCGAGATGGAGCCAAATCTATAAACCTAAATCCAAATAAATCAAAGCCCATTTGGGATATCTTCCCTTCCGCAAAGAACAACATCTTTATACACGCATTCCTTGCACCGAGAGAAGGATATTTTATTTCTCTTTCCCGCTATTTATATTCCACCCCAATCCCTGGACTCTCGACGGGTAACAGGAGACTAAAACACACAATGCGACATCAGAGAAATAAAACAGATCCCACGGAAAGCAGGTGCCAAAAAAAGAACTTTTAGGGCTGAACATGTCTTCTCGACAAATGGCTTTCATGTGTCTGCAAACAGCCAGGAAGGGAGTGGGGGGAGAGATGAGAGAGACAGCCTTTGGAGGTATTTTGCAGGATGAAGGCCAAATCAAGCCAGCATTCGAATCACAGCTGGCTGCAGAACGCAACTAGCTACCGTATTTTTCGGAGTGTAAGTCGCACCTTAGCTTTTGGGGAAGGAAAATAAAAAAGCTGATTGGCGGGTGGATCGGCCTCCCGGAATAACCCCAATCAGCTGTTCCCAGAGGTGAATTTTAGTAACAGGTTCCTTGGTTGTGAGCTCTGGGCCTTGCTTTCTTTTGCTTTTTTTTTTTCTGACTCTGACTCTGAAACAGTTTCAGAAAAAACTTTTTTTCCTGCCTCTGAAAGCCTCCGAAACAGAGCTTCAGAAAAAAAGCCTCCGAAACAGAGCCTCAGAAAAAAAGCCTCCCAAACAGAGCCTCAGAAAAAAGCCTCTGAAACAGAGCTTCAGAAAAAAAGCCTCCGAAACAGAGCTTCAGAAAAAAAGCCTCCGAAACAGAGCTTCAGAAAAAAAGCCTCCCAAACAGAGCTTCAGAAAAAAGCCTCCCAAACAGAGCTTCAGAAAAAAAGCCTCCCAAACAGAGCTTCAGAAAAAAAGCCCCTGAAACTCTGTTTGGCGGCTTTTTTCAGCCTCTGAAACCTCCGTTTGAGAAGCTGGGTGGGGCTACATTCGGAGTATAAGATGCACCCAGATTTTCATCCTCTTTTTTGGGGGGGAAAAGGTGCATCTTGTACTCGGAAAAATACGGTACTTGAAAGAAAAAGAAAAAAAAAAGATTCAAGGAATTGGAAAAAAAGGGAGAGAGAGGGACATTTGCCGAGCAGATGGGAAAACTAAGAGGGAATGGAAGGAAGGATTTTGTTTATTATAAGCTCCATCCTTCCAGCTACTTTCCGGGCTCCAGATTGAGTAAAGCCTATAAACAATACAGGTACGTCCAGGGGTGGGCTGCTGGGGGTTCGCAGGGGTTCAGCAAAACCTCTAGCTAAGATTCTGTGCAGTTCGGAGAACCCACAAATCCCACTCCTGGCTGGCCCCGCCCACCCTGCCCCTCCCAGGAGTTCTCACACAGCCCCTTTTGGATGCAGGTAAGTGCAGGGTGCGCGCGGAGGCTGGGGAAGGGCGAAAAACGGGCCTACCGGAAGTTCAGGAAGGCCGGAAACGGGCCAGTTTCCAGCTTCCAGAGGGCCTCTGTAACCTGGGGAGGCCATTTTCACCCTCCCGGAGACTTGAGGAAAGCCTCTGGAGCCTGGGGAGGGCAAAAACGCCCCCTCCGCCGTGGTGCAGGAGGCCGACTAGGCCATGCCCTCCATGGCCACGCCCACCCAGCAACCGGGCAGAGAACCCCTTGCTAAAACTTTTGAAGCCCACCCCTGGGTACGTCTTCAACTTACGACTGTAATTCCGCCTGCAATGATGGTCTTTAAGTGGGTCGTCCCCGGACTAAAGTCTCATTTTACCACTTTTCTTGCAACCCTCCTTTAGACAGTCATATTTAGGCGACTGAAGTTTGCAGGCCCCAGTTTCAAGTACATAAATCCCTATTCCTGCAGCTGAGTGAGCATCTGTGCCCTGAAAGATTTATGGGGACTGATGTAGCGAGAAGCTAAAAGCACAGAAGACACTCCTAAGGCGTGAGCAGCATCCTGAATCACCACAAGGCTTCATGTTTGGGTGTTAAATCTCTTCCTCCCACACAGAGTAAAGGCCTTCCTTCAATCAGGCGATCTCCCCGTGTGTTGGACCACACGTCCCATCAATCTTGACCCGCAAAACTGGGTTAAATCGGTATTCTTCCAAACATGGCAACCTCAAGATCAGCGGTGGGTTCCACATATGCTCACCACCGGTTCGCCTTCAACATATACGCTTTGCTCACACGTGCACCTTCCGCGCATTCGCCTGGCCTGGGAAACGTGGCTAAATAAGATGGCATTATGTCCAGCCAGGCGGGCGGGTTTGTGGGCCTGCAGTCACCGCTTACGGTTCTCCCGAACCAGTACGAACCGGCTGAATACCACCTCTGCTCAAGATGTGTGGACTTCAACTCCCAGAATCCCCCAGCCAGGAATTCTGGGAGCTGAAGCCTGCCAATCTTAAAAATCTTAAAAACAAGCATGCTGGCCAGGGAGTTCTGGGAGTTGAAGTCCACAAAAAAATGTTTGAAAAACACTAGGATAAACGGAAGGCTGTTGTTGACTTGGGATGGACAAAAGGGCCTAAATCAGGGGTCTCCAATCTTGGCAACTTTAAGACTTGTGGACTTCAGCTCCCAGAGTTCCTCAGTTCCAAAGTTTTGCTGGCTGAGGAACTCTGGGAGTTGAAGTCCACAAGTCTTAAAGTTGCCAAGATTGGAGACCCCTGGCCTAAACGATCTCACAAACTCAAATCTTCCTTTCTTACCTTCCACTGAGATATCCTGGATGGCAAACCGGAGAATGATGGTCCAGATCATACCCAACGTCATCTTGGCGTTGCCATCGACAATTTCTGGAAAAAAAGATAGCAGGAAGAGAATGAGCAAGGAGACTCTGCGGGGGCATATTCGGAAGTTTGTAGGAAATGAAGATTATCCAGAGGGAAGTGTCTATGGAGATTCTCAGGTTGTCCCAAAGGGGCTTTTTCCAAAGGCAACCGGCCTTTTTTGTTTTTCCTTGAAGACGTTCCGCTTCTCCTCCAAGAAGCTTCTTCAGTTCAGTTCAGCTCAGAACTGAAGAAGCTTCTTGGACGAGAAGCGAAACGCCTTCAAGGAAAAAGATAAAAGTCCAGTTGCCTTTGGAAAAAGCCCCTTTGGGACGATCCGGATGGAAATATGCAGGAACTGTTACCGAAGGAAAAGAGGTGGAAACATTTCCATCAAGGTCACCTTCCTCGCTCTCTACTACACCTTCCTCCTGGAGTGGGTGCACACCCTGGCTGAATGCAGGCGGAAGCAGGACATGCCCGAGAACAAAGGAACTGCCTGTTACTATCAGTTGGCAACACCGGGATGATTAATTGCCAAGCAGGCACAATGCTTTCTCGGTCGCCCGGGAAATGATCCTGCGTAAAGGCCAAATGCTCGCAATTGTACCTGTGCTGGTTTACTATACCATAAAAATCTGGCGAACGGGTTCACAGCACAGGTGGCACAAAGCCAGAACCCTGACTGATTCACTCAAGCACATCCTCACATACAGACCACGAACACTCTCAACTAAATGAAAAGGCTCTGGAGGCTTTACTTGAGCCTCTGGGAGGGCGAAAACGGCCTCCCCAGGCTCCGGAGGCCCTCTGGAGGCTGGAAACAGGCCCGTTTCCGGCCTTCCCAAACTTCCGGTAGGCCCGTTTTTCGCCCTCCCTGAGCCTCCGCGCACGCCCTGCACTTATCGTATGTATTAACTCAGGAGTGTAAAACTCAAGGCCAGTTGGCCTGCGGGGTGCTTAAATCGGGCCTGTGGGGAAATAGAAAAGGACCAGCCTAGGGTGCCTCAGGCAGCCAAATGGGATATGGGGAACCACGCATGGGCCCCCCACAACCCATTTTTGGCCTGGACGGCCTCCTGCAGCACTCTGCCGGCCAAAATGGGGCACGAGGGGGGACCCCGTTTTGGCCGGCATGGTGCTGCAGGAGGCCGTCCAGTTCAAAAATGGGATGCGTGTGTGTGGGGGGGGGCATGAGGCCCCACCGTGCTCCATTTTGGCCAGCAGGGTGCTGCAGGAGGCTGTCCAGGCCAAAAACGGGTTGCAGGGGGGCTTGCGCAGAGCACTCGGGCCCCCGACACAAGTGATGTCAAGCTGGCCACACCTACCTTGGCCATGCCCCCCCCCTCCCGAGATCAAACACAACCCTGATGCGGCCCTCAATGAAATCGAGTTTGACACCCCTCATCTACGGGGAAGGGTAGGGGGATCCAATCAGCAGCCCACCCTGTTCTTAGCTTAACCTTCCTAGGATGGAGATGAGCCGGGAAGGGGTCCAGACTTAAAGACAAATGAGTACCCTACCCCGCTACCCCAAATATAAAGATAAAAAAAAAAAACCAGAGTTCACTTTGAAGGCAGCTAATTTTTCTATCGCTAGACCTTTGCCCCTTGATTAGGAAGTGTTAAAAAGTTTTAAAAGTCCCACTTTAGTTACAGTGTGTAGCAAATTGGGGGCGGAAAGCAGATTATCGGTGCAAAACTCTTCTTTTTTTTAAAAAAATTGCATTCATGGGCCGGCCATCTTACCTTCAGCCCCTATGGAAACCAACTTGACTCCTTTGCTGGCGATGAAATCCAGAGCTTTGTTTACGTTGTTGATTTTATGGACTCTCATTTTCCCTCTTTCCGGCTTCGGTAACCGTTCTCCTGAAATCAATAAAGAAGAGAAGGTTAAAAAGATTCCGAAAACAAACTTAACCGAGAAGCAGAATGTGAGTACAGGTAGTCCTCGACTTACGGCCACAATTTCTGCGGCTAAGTGAGACATTTGTTAAGTGAATGTTGCCCCCTTTTTACGAATTTTCTTGCCGGAGCCGCTAAATGAATCACTGCAGCTCTTAAGTTAGTAGACGGGCTGTGAAGTGAATGCGACTAACCCATGGACTTTGTTCGTTGGAAGGTCGCAAAAGGGTATCAATCACATGACCCTGGGACACTGCAATCGTCATAAGTGTGAATCCGTTGTCAGGCGTCTGAATTTTGATCACGTGATCATGGAGGTGCTGCCAAGCGTGAAAAAGGTCATGTCACTTTTTTCAGTGCTGTTGTAACTTTAAACAGTCACTAAATGAACCGTCGGAAATCGAGGACCACCTCTACAGGTAGTTCTCGACCTATAACCATTCGTTCAGCAACTGTTCAACAATTCCAGTGGCACTGAAAAAAAAGTGACTTACATCTGTTCCTCGCACTTACGACCGTCGCAACATCCCCACAATCACGTGACCAAGATTTAACCGCTTGGCAAACCAGCATGTACCGTATTTATGACGACCGCAGCATCCTAGATCCTGTAACCGCCATTTGCAAAATTTCGCAGCTGGTTCTGACAAGCCAAGTCACCAGGAGAAGCGATTTCGCTTAATGACCACGTGACTCAGTGAATAACTGCAGTGATTTGTTTAACAACAGTGGCAAAAGAGGTTGTTAAATCGGACACCACTCGCTTAACAACTTGTTCTGCTTAGCAACAGAAACTTCCAATTGTAGTCATAAATAGAGGAATACCTCTAGCCCTCCGGGATTATCATAAATTTGCATCCTGCCATATTGAGAAAAAACTCTATAAACAATTAGAGAGAGAGAGAGACAAAGCCATCTGTTTTGCTTGTCAACCTTCTAGCTGTATTTTTAAAACAACATAAAATTTTGCATGCCTTTTGGGGCAGACAGGAACAGAATTTTCTCTCTCTCTCTCTCTCTCTCTCTCTCTCTCTCTCTCTCTCTCTACAATTGCAATAGAAAAGAATATTTGTAGCTCACGGTCGATAATACAAATGTTGACATATGATGCACCATTTCCCCCCTCATTCACATATTTTTCAGTATTTCAGTATTTCACTATTTCTCTATCCATCATTCTATCTATCTATCTATCTATCTATCTATCTAATCTAATCTAATCTATCTATATATATCTCCCTCCATCATTCTATCTCTATCATTCTATCTATTTATCTATATCCCTCTCTCTAGCTCTATCTAATCTCTATCTATCAATCTCTATCTGTCTCTCTTTAATCTATATCTATCATCCATCCATCCATCTATCTCTCCCTCCATCACTGAATCTCTCGTTCTATTTATCTATATCCTTCTCTATCTCTATCTAATCTCTATGTCTCTCTCTCTAATCTATATGTATCCATCTATCTATCTATCTATTTATCTATCTATCTCTAATCTCTCTCTCTCTTTCTCTAATCTATATTTATATCTATATCTAGATAGATAGATAGATAGATAGATAGATAGATAGATAGACAGATAGATAGATAGATAGATACCCTCTTTCCCTGAAAATAAGACCTCCCCTGATAATAAGCCCAATTGGGCTTTTGAGCGCATGCACTAAAATAAGCCTCCCCCCGAAAATAAGCCCTCTTCGAAAATATTTAAACACAGAGCTGGAAATCAGGTAAGACGGCAAGAGGAGCCCCATCTTGCTCCACGCACCCCAAAAGAATAAGACCTCCCCAAAAATAAGGCCAAGCACTTATTTCGGGGTTCAAAAACAATATAAGACAGGGTCTTATTTTGGGGGAAAAACGGTAGATAGATGATAGGTAGGTAGGTAGGTAGATAGTTAGATGATAGATATGAGAGATAGATAGATAGATAGATAGATAGATAGATAGATAGATAGATAGATAGATAGATAGATATAGAAGATAGATGATAGGTAGATAGATAAATAGAAGATATAGATGATAGATAGATAGACAGACAGATAGATAGATAAGATAGATAGATAGATAGAGGTATAGATACAGATACACACACACACACACACACACACACACACAGAGACAGAGAGAGGGAGGGAGGGAGAGAGAGAGTTGTTTTTCGGTTGATTTATTAATTAATTCCAGAAGTATAAACCCAATGAATTTCATTCCCACACCCTCCAGGGGCTGAAGAAGAGCTGCGACACAAAAGTTTCAAACGGAAGACTTTTTGTATACATTTTTACATGTAAATAAGACAGTACTGGATGGGGTTACATCCTGCTCTGTGATTACTTTCCTGCTTTTTTTGTGTGAGCTTTTGTAAACACCTGCCAATTTAGCTCATTCTTAATGAATGCTACAGCGTACTGTTTTACCATTTTAATCTTTTGTAATACTGTTTTTACTATCTGGTATGCCACCCAGAGTCACCTGCCTGCAAGGCAGGTGGCATATAAATTTAATAAATATAATAGATAAACACAAGTCACCCTATTGTTTAATTGTTTCCTTCCCTGATTTGTGTTGTCCTGACTGTTCATCACTGAGAATATATTGTAACAGAGAAACTCGGTAAATATAACACATTCATAACTTGTGAAGAATCTCTCTCATGTGCTCGGTTCAAATCAACACGAAAAATTAAACACAACCAAAATTCCAGATTTAAATGGGCATAAAGAAAAAAGAGAAGGTATGTTGGTGATCCATTTCTGAGTGTAACTCCTGGGATTACAGATAGTCCTTGATTTACAACCATTCATTTAGTGACCATTAGAAGTTCTCGCATCCCCATGGTCATGTGATCAAAATTCAGACGCTCGGCAACTGGCATGTACTTTTGACTGTTGCTGTGTCCCGGGGGGGTCACGTGATCCCCTTTTGCGACCTTCGGACAAAAGCCAAGTCGATGGGGAAGCCAGATTCACTTAACAAGCGTGTTGCTAACTCAACAACTGCAGCAGTCCGCTTAACAACTGTGGCAAGAAAGGTCGTATAATGGGGCCAAACTCACTTAACAGCTCTCTTGCTTAGCGACCAAAATTTAGGGCTGTGATCTGTGGTCGTGATTCAAGGAGGTAGCAAAATTTAAGAGCTTTGGGAATGTCCCTCAAGAAAATATTTCAGACACCTGGTTATCTTCCTCATCCAACAGCTTTAATCAACCTGATACCCTAAACATTGTTTGGGAATTCTCAGAATGGCATTTCCAACAAAAATGGAAAGATCCCCGTTTGGAGAGGACCATATCAGGAAGACCCAAGCATCCAAGAATCATCTCAAGAAGTTACCAAGAGAAGGAGGTCTTAAGAGACCTGAGAAGTCTTCGGTGGTCTCACAACACGTTGGCCATTTGAAGCCTCACCTGATATGACCTCCAGCAACAGCATCAGTTTGAGACCATCCCGGAAGTCTTCGTCGATGTTCTCGATCTGCGTGCCGGCTTTCCGAAGGTGGGAATTGCACCATGCTGTGAAAGTCTAGAAGAGAAAAGGTGAAGAGGTATGAAATTTAGGAACATTTAAGACTCAAAAATGCATAGATGAGCACAGCACTGGACCATCGGAGACATTATTTCGGCCGAGAGGAAGACATCCATAGGATGCCAATTTTCTGCCCCTCATCCCATCCGCTATGTAGCTGCTCCAAAATAGAGGTAGTATCAGGAACGACAGAAGTTACTTCCTAATAGTTCCTTTGTTGTTTCTTGCCTGTAGACGGAATCTTGCCAGACTAAAGCAACTATCTGCAATAACTATTAAATATATTGGGTGGTCCTCAACTTACAACAGTTCGAAGTTACGACAGCACTGAAAAAAGTGGCTCATGACCACTGCAGCATTCCCAAGGTCAGGTGATCAAAATTCAGACGCTTAGCAACTGGCTCATATTTATGACCGTTGCAGTGTCCTGGGGTCACTTTTGCGACCTTCTGTCCAGGAAAGCCAATGGACAAGCCAGATTCACTTAACAACCGGGTTACAAACTTCACAATTCATTTAGTGACTGTTCGACTTTACAACAGCATTGAAAAAAGTGCCTTATGACCATTTCTCACACTTACGACCGCTGAAGCAGCATCAAAATTCAGAGGCTTGGCAACTGGCACGCATTTATGACGGTTGCAGGGTCCCAGGATCACATGATCCCCTTTCGCGACCCCTTCCGTGAAGTTAACAACTTCAGTGATTCACTTAACAACTTGTGCCAAGAAAAATCGTAAAATGGGGGGACAAAATTCACTTATCAACTCTTCTTGCTTAGCCACAAGAGTTTTGGGCTCAATTGTGTAAAGTCAAGGAGTCACAAGGGACACCACTCGGGTGGTGTGAACTTGGGTGAGCTTCCTGGAATCGTCTTTCAAAAGCAGGGGAAGAAATGTAGAAAAGTCCCCGTTGCAATTTCTTCTTTTTGGAAAATTGCATAAGCCGCACAAAGTTTACTTAGGCCTCGTCTGCTGTACCAGGGTTGGCTTTAAGATGACCCTATCGGTTTTTGGAGGGAAAGGATGAGTAAGGGACACATGTGGGGAAAACGGTCTGAAGGAAACTGTTTTTCATCCTCTTTGCACCATTGCGACGAATCATCAAGAGCAGAAGATCAGAAAGGGGAAAAAAGGAAATCTAATCTAATAAGTGGTACTCATGATCGTCCCAGCATCTGATGAAACCATAAGATTCGACCACTATAAAAGGAGATATTTTTCCCCCACCAAAATAGGTTGGGTTTATGCACCGCATTAAGAATAGAATAGAATCACAGAGTTGGAAGGGACCTTGGAGGTCTTCTAGTCCAACCCCCTTCTCAAGCAGGAAATTCTATATCGTTTTAGACAAATCTCTTCTTAAAAACTTCCAGTGTTGGAGCATTCACAACTTCTGGAGGCAAGTTGTTCCACTGATTAATTTATCTCCCTGTCAGGATAATTCCTCCTTAGTTCTAAGTTGCTTCTCTCCTTGATTAGTTTCCACCCGTTGCTTCTTGTCCTGCCTTCTGGTGCTTTGGAGAAAAGCTTGAGTCCCTCTTCCTGCTATCATGTCATCCCTACTCCTTTTTTTCATCAAACCAGACACACCCAGTTCCAGCAACCATTCTTTGTATGTTTTAGCCTCCAATCCCCTAATAACCTTTGCTGCTCTTCTCTGCACTCTTTCTAGACATAGTTTAGGAAATACATCACCACTGGGTTCATACAACAGGCTAAGGCAAGACAAAAGGAGCCACATTACGGGCTGGAGAACAGATCCCTCAACACTGTGGCTCAACAGCAGAGAGAAGTTGAGCCCATGTGCCACTTTGACCGATAGCTGCTGGAGTGACCCGCTTTCAAAGGTTTTCAAGAACTACCCACCTATATATATTGTTTGGGAACCAAAGTCTCATCTAGGTGAACCTGGGATTGATCCAACTAAACTCTCATAACATGAACTCACCGGGATGGCAAGATGGAAAACCAAACCAACATGCTCCACAAATGTTATCGTGTTTTCCCCAAAATAAGACCGGGTCTTATATTAATTTTTGCTCCAAAAGATGCATTATGGCTTATTTTCCGGTTAGGACTTATTTTGGGGGGGGAATACAGTACTAAACGCCTCCGTCTGCTGACGATCTTAACTGGAGCTTATTTTGGGGGTAGGGTTTATATTACGAGCATCCTGAAAAAAATTATACAAGGGCTTATTTTCCAGTTGGGTCTTATTTTCAGGGAAACAGGGTAGTCACCCAAAAGACAATACCGTCCCTATCAGGGTGGATAAAAATCAATGATTTTTTTTAAAAAATCAAAAAAAAAAATCAGATTTTTTAAATTTAAATTGGATTTTTTTGATTTAAATCTGATTTTTTTTTATTTTTATCAAATTTATTTTAATAAAAAACTTTTGGGGTATAAATCTATCGTAAGATAGTTTTCTATTTAAGATACATGAATAATTTAGTTTATTCAGCATGAAATGGAGCTTAGTTACGTAGCAGGAGGCTGTCTATTCTGCAACACTGGGACTATCGGTGAGTCAACAGCGGGTCAAAGGAGTAGCAGAGATGACAGTTGCTCTTTAAAAATTATGATTTAAATCAAGTTGATTTAAATCAAGCCTTTTTACTAGTGATTTAAATCGTGATTTAAATCACGATTTAAATCAAATCAAATCAACTCGATTTAAATCAAATCCACCCTGGTCCCTATTGAGAGATTAGTTGAGAACTGATCCCCAATGGTGCTTCTCCAAAGGCAACCGGACTTTCACTTAACAACCAGATTACTAACTTATCAACTGCAGTGATTCACTTAACAACAATGGCAAGAAAAGTCGTAAAGCGGGGACAAAACTCACTTAACAAATGCCTTCACTTAACCGCAGAAACATTTTGGGCTCACAATTGTGGTTGTAAGTTGAGGACTACCTGTGCAATAGCGATTCTTCGAAAGAATCCCTGATTTGTTCACTTGCGAAGGGATAAAATAATTTAAAAAAAAAAAAAAAGATCAGGAGACACCTGGGATCACCTTTTCTGACTAAGAAAAGCCATTTGTTCTGGAATTATTTGGTTACACCTAACAACTTAATCATCGCCATTCCTCTTGAAAGTTTTGCTTCAGGGAAAAGCTGATTTTTATTTTATTTTTTTTGTGCCAGCGTACGTATTTTCTCGGCCGACACAAGGCACGTTAAGTCTTTTGTGAGTTGTTTCTGTTGCTTTTGAATGAAATGCGTTAGTCAGAAAAGGGCTCCTGAAATCCTTTTGATTCCGGGCTAGCACAGATCAGTAATAGGGTTTCCCTCCCACAATGCTGCCTTTGAGAAAAGGATGCCCAAGGTATATTTTATACGTCCTATTTATTTAATCGTGCATTTGATTGATACGGCCGCCTCTCTCAGTAGGAGACTCTGGGTGGCCGAAAGAACTAAACACTGTAAACAAAACTAAATTACAAACTAAATAAACTAAGCACTAAATGTTAAACGACACTAAAAGTTAAACACTAAACTTAACTCAAAACTAAACTAAATCAATGACAATGAAAGGCATTACGAAAATAAAAAATGCAAAGCTGCCACCCAGATCAGGCGCACAATCTAACTGAAACACCTTCCATCCACCCATCCCTGGAAGTTCAACCACATCTCTCTTCTCCCGCCTCTGCGCATGGACTCCCTCGCCCATGCTGCTCTGCCCTTGCCAAATGTGCCCATTTACGTTCAAAGGGAGAAGCCCCAAGGAGGCGAGGCGGGTGGCGGTGACGGAGCAGACTTTTCTAGTTATTCAGCTCTGGGGCTATGAATAGGTCTTGTCATGCTACGTCTGTTGTCACCCACAGCAGCTCCAACTCCCAACACCTCCCTGCGTCTCACACTCACATGCACGCACACACACACACTGGGAACAGATGGCATGGCCTCCTCAATCATCCATCCATCCATCCATCCAGTGTCTGCATGTCTGTCCATCCATCTACAGCAGAGGTCTTCAAACTTGGCAGGTTTAAGACTTGTGGACTTCAACTCCCAGAATTCCCAGAGTTGAAGTCCACAAGTCTTAAAGCTGCCAAGTTTGGGGACCCCTGATCTACCGTCTCTCCATCCGTCCCTTCATCCATCCATCAACAAGGTCTCTATCCATCTAGTGTCTGTATGTCTGTCCATCCGCCCATCAACAGTGTGTGACTGCCTATTCATCCATCTACAGTGTTTGTCTGTCTGTCTATCCATCTACCGTCTGTCCGTCAATGCATCCACCCATCAACAGGGTCTCTACTGATCTACTGTCTGTATGTCTGTCCATCCACCCATCAACAATGTTTTGTCTCTCTATTCATCTACAGTCTGTCTGTCCGTCCACGCATCTACACATCAACAGGGTCTCTCTATCCATCTATACTAGTGTCTGCATGTCTGTCCATCCACCCATCAACAATGTTTTATCTCTCTATCCATCTACAGTCTGTCTGTCCGTCCATGCATCCACCCATCAACAGGGTCTCTATTGGTCTACTGTCTGTATGTCTGTCCATCCACCCATCAACAATGTTTTATCTCTCTATCCATCTACAGTCTGTCTGTCCGTCCATGCATCCACCCATCAACAGGGTCTCTATTGGTCTACTGTCTGTATGTCTGTCCATCCACCCATCAACGTTTGTCTCTCTATCCATCTACAGTCTGTCTGTCCATCCACGCATCCACACATCAACAGGGTCTCTCTATCCATCTATACTAGTGTCTGCATGTCTGTCCATCCATCTACAGTCTCTCCTTCTGTCCCTTCATCCATCCATCAATAAGGTCTCTATCGATCTAGTGTCTGTATGTCTGTCCATTCACCCATCAACAGTGTTTGTTTGTCTGTCTGTTTATCCATCTACCGTCTGTCCGTCCATCCATGTATCCACTCATCAACAGGGTCTCTCTATCCATCTACAGTGTCTGTATGTCCGTCCATCCACCCACCCACCAACCGTGACTATCTATTCATCCAT